GGTCTTGAAAGAGCTCACACTCGGTGCCGTTGTAGTGGATTCCTCCCCTACAAACGCTGTTTGTCGCTGACGAGCCGACCCACGAATCCAGCCGCACCTCGTGTCTAGGTCAACCAGCGCCGCCTTACACGACTGAGGTCAACTATTAAGCCACGCCTACCCCCGCTTTATAAGACCTGACCTCGTGGTGACCTACCTCTTTCTACCTACAGCCAGTCTTCAAGCAACACCTCCTCCTCCACTCCTGCCTGGCGGCCCTCGCTCCAGCCGGCGACCATGGCGACCCACACCTCGTGGTGACCACTCTTACTACCCCAGCCACCAGCAAGCAACACCTCCTACTACTCCGCTCCAGCCTGGCGGCCCTCGCTCCCGCCGGCAACTGTGGCGACCCACAAGCTGGTCCTCCTCTGAGCACCCTCACCAACCAGCTCTCTCTACTCATCGCTTGTAACCACGCTGCCTTCCCAGCACCAAGCTGCATTGTACATCCAATACAACATGTATACAGAGAGCACATTGTGTGTTTCCTTTCTCCATCCCATCCTGAGTGTGAACCAACATCTCGTACCCCACACCGTCACAACACTTTCTGACAGATTGAGCGCTAAAAATAAATATATACAGTACAGTATACACAATATAAGAACATGCGAGACTGGCATGCATTGCGAGTCCATAGTGTATAAAAGTTGGAAAAAAATAGTGCCAATTTGGTCTACTTTTTTATTTATTTTAATAGCTACTATTATAAATATTTTAATGGTCAAGTCTCATTGTGATTGTCTTCAAAGGCCAAAAGAAATGAACCTCGTAATTCTTTAGGTGCATAAAACCTTTAGGACTGAGTGGTTCATGGGATGAACCAGAGATGATGAGGTAGACTTGGTAGTGTGGGGTACGGGATATTAGGTCACATTCAGGATGGGATGGAGAAAGGAAACTCACAATATGCTCTCTGTATACATATTGTATTGGATGTACAATGCAGTTTGGTGCTGGGAAGGCAGCATGGTTACAAGCGATGAGTAGAGAGAGCTGGTTGGTGAGGGTGCTCAGAGGACCAGCTTGTGGGTCGCCATGGTCGCCGGCGGGAGCGGAGGAGGAGGAGGTGTTGCTGGCCGGTGGCTGTACGTAGTAAGAGCAGGTAGGTCACCTCGAGGTGAGGTCTTATATAGCGGAGGTAGGCGTGGCTTAATAGTTGACCTCAGTCATGTAAGGCGGCGCTGGTTGCTGACCTAGACCACGAGGCATACACTGAGGAATTCTAGGGTCGACTAGTCAGTGACAAATGGCGTTTGTAGGGGAGGAATCCACTACAGTAGCCCTTCATATATACTGTATAGTGTATACATTATGTCTGAAAGTAATTAGCCAACGCCTACGGGCACACACTGCGGATTACAGGCATGGGAACCAGATCAAGACTTTGAAGGTCATCGTGGGTAGAGCGACTCCGAAAACTAATACACAGGAATGAATGAATATAATCTGATTGACAGACCACCACTGTATCGAGGCTTATAGAGAAGGGTGTTGTCCAGTGTGAACCTACCAAACACCACAGGTTTCCCGGTCCCCGGTTTTCTCCTGTATTAACACTGGTTAGACCTCCCAAACGGCTAGTAGCTGATAAGTGGCGAATATGATATTAAAGAAAATCTATTTAAAAAATGGCTCATAAATATACACTGGCGACTGGCGTCGATTGGAGATGATGGCTGATTGGCCGCAACACAACAAAAAAGGCAAAGAAGTGTGTGCCTAGTCGCCTAATTATCTACCAAACGGAGCAATTTCCATAAAAATGATTATTATATCAAAACTCATTGATGAAAATATAGTAAGAATATAAACATCAAACCAAATAATGTGTCGGCTGTGAAGTCCTCCAGCTTAGCCCCCAAAACAAAGACTTGTTGACTAGACAGAACACAATATCTATCATATTTATACTGTATGTGCCAACTCTCCACAGAACCAAGTGTATAGGCTTATTACTGAGTGGAAAACTTGAAACCGTAAACAACTTTATTTGTTAAAATCACACTCTAGAGTCTAGATGCTCGTATTGTTGGTGTATTTTTTAAAGATATGATCATTTGTTCTGATTCCCACAACATTATAAGTACGTATGTAGCTGTATAATATGTGTTGTGCATGTGGTACAAAAATATATCCCCTTGACAAGTAGTCACGAACAAAAGGTTTGTCGCCTCTCCTGCTGCCCCACAAACCCAGAGATTCAGACTCATGAACCAGAAGCAGTAGACACTGATGCATTACTGTATATAATATTCTGTCCATAGCTGCTTCGGATCCACGAGTCTTGAATTTTGGGGTTCATGGTCCAGCAGAAGCGACAGTACTTTTGTTCATGACTGTACTGTATCTACTAAATGCATCTCTTGCTATGTATCAATTCATGTATTCTTTGACATTTATTTCTTGATATGATAAATATTCCTTAGTGAGCTATGAATGGAAATGACTATGTTAAATAGGTTTCTGTTCTGTATTTCTTACGAATTTGTCCTTATTGGTTGCACAAAAGTGGACAGGGTTTTGAAGTAGAGGGAAACTGCATGTTAAAAATATGCAAGGAACTGACGAAATGAAACCTCCTAATCAGAGAAACCAGGAGAACCTTACCTAATCTCCTAGAGCCCCCCTTAAATGTTAAAAAAAAATTTATATAATTAACAGATTCAGGAAGATAAAGAGGTGCCACTTGAATGAGGAAATTGTACAGTGTGGTGTTCTGATATATAAATCACTATATAAATCACTATATATTGTTATATTTTATAGAATCATTGTATGTACTGTAGTTGTTATGCTGTAATTTGTCAGTTTATAATGCTATCATTGTAGTTATGCCACATTCTGCCATTGTTTACTGTATATTACTGTCATTGTAGTTATGCCATAAATCTGCCATTGTTTACTGTATATTACTGTCATTATAGTTGTTACACTATATTCTACCAGTGTTTACACATGTTGCAAGTGGAAATAAATATTACCGAAGCATTTGATGTCTTCATGTGTCAGGTTCACCTCCAATATTTTTAATTTCCATTTCTTTTCTTTGTACCTGAGATACTGTACAGAGAGAGAGAGAGAGAGAGAGAAATTTTGCTCCCTTTGTATCTCTCCTTGATTTGGTAAACAAATTCCTGAAACATCACCAATTCTAATTTAACTTATTTAAATTGCTGGTAATTCATATACTTCACACACATTGATTCTTTCAGATAAACTGTACAGTACAGTATTAGCTATCACTCAAAATATCTGCAGTACATTCAAATGAGTTTATAGATGACTATTGTTTTCACCACCTTCACCCTAATTTTCACAAGTCATCAAATTCCCCTCATATTTGCCCTAGCCCTGTCCTCAAGGAAGGATGAAAATGTCTCCAACTCCCTAATTACAAGACTAAAATTGTAGATAAGTTTATGATTTCTGTGTCAGAAGTTGTAAACTGGTTCTTTGTTGTTATAAATTTACAAGTTGTGTGGATTAGCTAAGGAATGACGATGAAGAACAAACCATAGCTTATAAAACCATGATGTCAGAGAGTAAGAAATTAAAATTCATGATTAGCATAAAATAATTTTGGCCACTAAAACAGAATAAAATGGGTATGGTAACTTTTACCTCCTGTCCTGAGTTAAGTAAAAGCTCACCCTGAGCACACCCAGTCCACCTAGCTGTAAATGGGTACTGTACCTAACTTTACAGTTGGGGAAGTGAAGGCAGTTGGAGAAAATGTTGGAGACTATTTGGGCCAAGAGATGAATGATCTTGAATGTGGAAAGGAGTTTAACCAAGAATGACAGGGGGAGAAGTTGAGAGAAATTACCCCAGAGATGAGAATCTGATGACAGAGGCTGCAATTACACATAAGAAGATTGGAAGGCAGGGAGGTCCAGGGTGTGGCAGAAATGGACATTCATTGTGTCTACAAATACTTGTTGCGCTTAATACAGATACAATTGTTTTGGATTTTAGATCAAATTCACAGGAAAATTTTAAATACAATATGTTTCTATTAACTCAGAGGCTTCACATGACATGTGCTCACATGGCTTTGGTTCACGTCATATGAAGTAATGTAATGTCACAAAACTGTTTGAATTGCCAAGCACACCTGGCTAGATTATGTTACCAAGTAGGAATTTGTCTTTTACTTGTTCACACATGTGGCTTGCACTTCACATGCCTCACCACATGTTTCTACCTAAGCACAAGTGTAGTAGGGGACTCTTGACTCTCAGCAGATTAATGATCAATTACTGGAGGCAGTAATAATAACTGTAAATAGTAATAACATAATGTAATAAAATAAAGTGTCCTGTGCCTCACACTGCCTACAAATCAGTGTTGTTTACCTCATACTGCCAACCCCACCCCACAGTGTCACACACACCACTTCATGCACATGTACTTCTTTACTGTTTATATCATGCATGAGCAGTTCCTAAGATTAGAATTTTTTTTTTTTTTCAAAAATATACCTGCGTGTGTGTGAGGGAGGATAGATACAGTAGCTGGCTATCACTAGGTAGTGTTTCCCTATATTTGTCATTAAAATTGAATTGTTGCTCCTGTCTACAGTATATGAGTTCACTTTAATTTTTAGGAGTACTGTACTGTATAGAATAAAAATAAATTCTTATGGGAACATTTGTTGCATTTTTTAGTCTAGCTTTATTTTTCTCTATATGAACATATCCAGTTACATAATACTGTACATGATTATGGTTACCAGTAAAGAAGTTTCTCTAAATGTAATTTCAAGATTCATACAGCATAACTTTTCCAGAATTTGTCTACAGTATTTCATGAAAATGGAGAAAAACTATATTACAACCACATAACTGTTGTAACTGAAGAATGGACCACTTAAAGAGAATTAACAACCCTTACTTATCCTTATCTAACTCACCAGAATTTAGGTATAGCATTATGTCATGACAGAAAACAACATCTTAAATGAAATAGAATAATCTTTAATATCCAAACTAATTTCCATTATGATACAGCGATAAGTTATCCTCAAGTGTGTTTTAAGACTTAAATAGATGATGATTATATACACATACAGTATATATAGACACAAATACAGTAAGGGCCAGCATAATGAGTGATACATGTTCCTAAAAAGTGCTCATTATGTTATTTCTCATTCAACAGGAGTCATTTACCCCTAGGATCCCATGATAAAAGCCGAGATGTGTTCCAGCCCAAAATTTTCAACCCAAAACCTCAATTGTGACCCAATATATTGTTATCACAGGTCAGCGATGGTAGTCTGCATTCAGCAAGAGATGGCAGCAGAGAGAAGCGACATTACCCACAATGCACTGGTTCCTGGGTTTGTTATTGATTTTAACTGCTTTCTTGATCGGTCATGCCTCTTTGACTGTTTTAGCCAGAATTTTGGGGGGTATATATTACATCCCTGCATCATACCACCAGTGCATAAAAAGAAGGCTGCCCCAGACCCCAGTAAATGCCAAAGATGTGTTTATTCACCTCAAAATAAGGCTGATAAGATAAATGTAAAGACTAACACAGCATGTATGGTTATGTGTTAATGTGTTTAATAGTCTTGGGGGGCTATTTAGGTTGGTTATGGGGAGGCAGCTTGGGGGTCTTGGGATGAAACCATATTTTTCCCCTTAGATAGTTGACTTATTGCAGATTTGCCTATCACAGCACTTGTCTGGTCCCTAACCCCTGTGAATTTCGAGGATAGATGTAATAAATTCATGCTTACTACCCATTCGTTACAAAAATATTACTATTTATTGGAGAGAAAGCAACATCTCACAGGTGAGCATCTGCCTAGATCACAATGCAGTGCAGATGAAAAAGCAGTGACTAATGAGAGTTGATTCATGAGTACTTTATTCACTGAATCAAATAAAAATTTGTTAATTGAATTTTCATACCCTAAAACACTAAGCTTGTAAACCGAATTCTCATTCATCTGTTACTGGTTTAACAGAACCTTACTGTATGTAAAGCACAAAACACATACAGAAATATACATTACAAAAACAAATCTTCCCAAATAAGGACAGAAAATAAACTTAGCTCAGATACCCTGAGGGTAGGGAAAAAGTGAGGGCTGAACTTCAGAAACCCAAGTTTACATTAGAAATGTTCAAAGCACATAACATGATAGTGGATTCACCCAAGTGACTGCAGTGACTGCTCAACTCGTGGTCTTTGCAAAGAAACTTTTACTGAAGATCATGGTTGAGATTTTGCCTTTGCTATCCACTGATTTACCTGGTAAGAATTACCTTATAAGTAACCACTAACTCATTTGTGTTGAACAGTTTCCTTGCCTTTTGATGTAAATATTCCCCAGGGGAGTTCAGAGCAAGTATGTCACACAAGTCGTTTAGTAATGAACCAAAGGCCATAAAATAAATGGTTGCTGTAAATCATACTATTTACAAATACCATTCTAATTGATGTATCAGTATAAATGACTGTCTACAGTGTAATAAAATTTGAACATATTCTCTGAGATAAGATGATCATGAGGAAATAAAGCTATAGAGAGAGCACTGCAGCATCCTACTCTCGGCTGACACTCCTTCTGAAAGTCATGGTCTTCACTCCAGGGAATTTCTTCATATCATCAGCCACATCTGAAATGTCTCCCATCTCAGCATCTTGCTCACCATGGGCACCATCTCGTACCTCAATGTCATCCTCTGTTCCTCTCTTGCGTCCTGTGTGGTGACCTCTACTCTTTCCTTCATTTAATTTATAGTACCTCTCACTATTGGTTTCGTTACTCTTCATCCTGCTCTCCCTAAAACTCTTATTACCCACCTGGCTATCCCTACCCCTCTCTTCCTTAGACTTCGAATACTCTTGCTCAAAGTCCACAGAGTCACTTCTGGATTCTACAGATCCTTCTTTGGAGTTCGCTGTATCTCTTTGGGTATCAGAACCTTCTTTTTTTGACTGAGAGTGGTACTTTTTGGGGTCCCCTGAAGGCATGACAGGACTGGGACTAGATGAGGATGTTTCTGCACCTTCCTCTCGGTCTTGACGCATCCGACTACTAAGTCGAGATTGCCCTGGTCTGTAGAGAGCCATTGCTGGACGATCCTGTACAAGGAATAGAGCAAATATTATGCAAGTTCCACAAGACAAAGTTTGTATTTAATATCATTTCTCCTCCCTTGCATAATCTACCTCAAATAAGTTACTTCCTCAGAAACATGGAAGTACAGTAGACCCTTGGCATTCGCAGGTTTGCGATTCACGATTTCGATGATTTGCAGTAAGCAAATGGTGGCTATGGTGGCTAGCTTGCGAGCCTTTTCCTGCAGCACAATGAGTCACCCCACGCAGCATCTCGTGTTGTACTGTCAAAACTTTAGTGTTCCTGTGTGAAAATGGCCCCTAAAAGACTGCCTAGTGTCAGTGCTAGCGGAGTGAAACGTAAAAGGCAGTGATGACCCTGACAAAGAGAGTTGAATTATTAGACAAGTTAAAAGAGGGGATGAGTGCTGCCACGGCTGGTCAGATGTTTGGTATAGGTACCTACAGTAGTGCACTAAGGTAGTATAAGTTGCTAAAAGCAGTTTTGCCTATTAGCGCCAATCTTTGGAACCTATCCCTCGCGAATAACAAGGGTTTACTGTATGGCATAAGTGGGTACTGTATGCTGTGCTGTCTCTGTACATAGATACCTGTACCTCAAATGGACAAGACTATCAAGAACAATGGGGGTCTGACAGAGGCTAGAGGCAACCTTCACCTGATGTGGCTGCCACTAGTTGTTGTGACTGCTAGATAAATTGTGTAGATAAATTTGGTAACTTCTGAGTAATGGATGAAGTGCATGTGTGTAAGGGATACTGTACAGTCAACCCTCGCTTTACGCGGTCCCACATTCCGCGATTCCACGTTTACGCGGTACCCTGCCGAAACCGGAATGCTCACATTCCGCGGTGCGTGTACCCCTTTACGCGGAGAGCGGCTGGCGAGCCGCGCCATTTTTGGATCCAAACCTCCCGCCATCTCTCCCGCCCTCCGCCATGTTGTGTAAGCGGCGCGAGCAGTGCGAAGGTCGCCCAGTCATCAACATACGATTACATCTGCCTCTGGAACCAACCCCCCATCCCCATGTGCCCAGCCATCTTTTCTACTAATGTAAGTGTTAAAAAACCTAATATTATTGATATTTCTCTTAATTATTAATTGTGTGTGCATACCATCATAAAATTAAGAAGTTATTTTTACTAAAACGTAGGTAGTGTGTCTGAAAAAGTGGAGTTTGGGGGTCGGCCCGGTCTCTATTTCAATTAATCCCATATGTTATGTTGTTCACTTTACGCGTTTCTCACTTTCCGCGTTACCCTGTGGGTTGAATTAACCGCATAAAGTGAGGGTTCACTGTATATAGTATAACCAATGTGACATGAAGCCTGCATTTTACATTCCTATACTATATGACAATCATCAGTATTTTGGTTAAATATAAGATGTATATTTTTCCCAAATATACCTGCGTGTGTGTGAGGGAGGATAGATACAGTAGCTGGCTATCACTAGGTAGTGTTTCCCTATATTTGTCATTAAAATTGAATTGTTGCTCCTGTCTACAGTATATGAGTTCACTTTAATTTTTAGGAGTACTGTATAAAATAAAAGTAAATTCTTATGGGAACATTTTCTCTATATGAACATATCCAGTTACATAATACTGTACATGATTATGGTTACCAGTAAAGAAGTTTCTCTAAATGTAATTTCAAGATTCATACAGCATAACTTTTTCAGAATTTGTCTATTTCATAAAAGAGGATGGTGCAACATTCTAAGAAAGGAAAAACTGAAGAGTAAGAATGTTCAGTAATGATTTTGTTGATTATAGTTTAGAGTATTAAAATGCTTCAAAAGAAAAGGGGGACAGGAAAGGAGTAACAGCAACAGAATGAACAAGTGAACCCTGAAGGGTACATAATACCCTTCAACAGGTGATAAGTCGAGTTATAAGAAATATCTGACCCTGAGGGCATAAATAGGTTTAATGTAACAGGGTATTTGAGTTGTCTGCCATGAAATAACCATTACTGGTATATATAAAAGGTAAATGTATTAGCAACAACAACACATTTTAATTTTGAGATAATACAGTACTGTACATGTATACACACTGTGATACTATAATGTAGAGAACAATGAAAATGAGGCACAACCCATGAAATAGTTAACAAGTAAACCTTATTTTCATACTACAGGTACTTGACCATGGTATCAGGACAACTGCCCCCTGGACAATTGTCCCCCCATTGCCCAGAAGTAATGTTTGTCAGGCAGGAAATCAAGAGGAAAGCTATTAACACCCAAGAGACAGCGCAGCAAATTATTAACAAAACAGTTCAGACCACAACTACCACCTGTTAGACATATTCAACGTGCAACAAGACACTACAAACAAGCTGTCGATGCCCCTCATCCCATTCCATTAAACCTCACTGACTTGGTCATTCCATCTGAGTATAAGATCACAGCTGATGGTGAAGATTTCCTGTTGTATGATAGTGGACCTCCGGCTACTGGAGAATTCAACTGATTGGTCAATGGATGTTTCTACCACTTATTGCAAAACATATATTGCAAGGTGCAATCTGGGGGATTACAAGGAAAATATCAAATTGAAGTTGACTTTGCCCTGAAAATTCGAATGTTACCAGCCCTGGCATTCATCCCACAAGATGAAGTGGTTGATGCATTTGGGACACTGCAAGAGACTATGCCACCTGAAGCTGATCCTGTCATAGAGTACTTCGAAGATACATAGGCAAACAACGTCAACATAATAGGTGAGTTCCACGTTTCCCTGTCAGCATGTGGAATATTTATGATCGTGTAGACAAAGATTTACCTAGCACCAACAACTCCTTGGAAGGATGGCATAACCATATGCAAGCTCACATTACTTCATTCCATCCAAATATCTGGAAGTTTCTTGAAGTGTAGAAGAGGGAGCAGGCACTGACCAACATCACCATCAACCATATTATTGCAGGAGATCCAGCACCACCTCAGAGGAAACGCTATCAGGATTCAACAGCCAGAATAGCAACCATCGTACATGACTTCGAGAACGGCCTGTGTTGGACTTTTTGAGAGGGATAGCCCACAACGATAGCCCACAACTTGCAATTTTAGTGTGTAATATATGTCAGTCAATTTCTAAATATTAAATATGACTGATCCACCATTTTATTAACCTAACCACAATTTTTTATCAATGTTTCTCTAATTACAAAATTGTAGTGCTAAAAAGAATTGTATGAGTTGTGCATTTTGTGTATACAGGGTATAATTATTACTACAAATAAAACATGAATAAATTTCATTAATTCTTAGTGTTACTTTCTCCTCTCTATTCAGTTAGTTCCATGTTTTCTGCCAGTTATTCACTGGCAATGACGGGCAAATGTCCAGGGGGCAGTTGTCCTATGGGGGCAGTTGCCCAGGGGAGAAGTTGTTAGGGGGCAATTATCCAGGGGGGGCAATTGTCCAGGGGGGTGGTTGTCCTAGAGCCCTTGACTATTTATCAGGCTTCCAGGAAACCGGGTATTCTAGAATACAGGCTCGTTTTGAAAGTAGCTACTTTTGAAATTTTCTGGCTTCGTAATTCGTTGGCTGGGCGCTTCGTTTTGATTTTGGTGGCACTATGCTGGTCCATGACAGCCGCATGGCCAGCTCCTCAGTTTAAAATAATAGCTAGTGTCTGTGTTGCTCGATAGAGAGGCTGTACATGAGTGTCTCAACATTAATGAAAATGCTCCAGTTGTATTCCAGCTCAGTGATAGTGAAATTGTAGATGCGGTAATGACTGTTGACAAGAACAAACCAGATGAGTAATGATGATGATAGTAATGAAAGTGCATTGAAAGAATAAGAGAAAGTTTCTATAGGTTAGGTACATTAACCTGACTAAGGAACTGACTTGGGAATGGATCAAGAGAGCTTCATTAGTGAGCAGCACATTATCTGGGTGTATAAAATACAAGAGGTTTTCATAAAAAAACAATAAAAATAATAATTATATGAAACAGCCAGATAAAGGGTCCCACACCTGTACTTACAACTAAAAATTATATATCATGTTGATTAAAGGTAATGTTAGTATGTGGATAAGCCAGAAGATAAAAATTTACAACTAACCTTATTTCTTATCCTTCTTTCCATTCTTGGATCTTTCTCTCTTTTCTTGCGAGTAGGTTTCTCTTCAAAAGTTTCATCTCTTTCCTGTGGTTCTTTACCAGTTTCTTCTTGGTTGGTGTCATCGTTCAAGATCCCCTCCTCACTCTTCTCTTGCTGGGAGTCCTGTGCTTCTAACACTTCCATAGGTTCTGTTGACACTGTAACTCTTTCATTATCAATTTCTTCTACATCCTTTGTCTTAACTTCCCTCTCAATATCATCTTTACTTTTTTTTTCTCTATCTTTTTCTTCCTTCATTCTTCTTTCCCTCTCTCTCTCTTCCTTTCTACGTCCTTCACTGTAACGTTTAGATTTTGCCCCTTCAGGTTTGTTCACATGACTTTTCTCATCCTGCCACTCTTCCTTTATTTCCTCTCTCTGTCTTACTCTCTCTTCCTCCTTCACCTTTATCTTTTCTTCATGTCTTCTCATCCTGAAAGATAAAAGTAAATTCATTTATTCAATAAGAGTGATTGCATCATTGATAAAAAGGTTAAATTTACAACTTAAGTTGGAATGAAAAAATGGCCAAGTGAGAATGTTGTTTTAGAAATTTTACTTATTAAAAGAATTCCTCAATGTGCCAAACATGGTCATTTGCACGTATTCTAGCTCTGTCTATGAACAACAACTATGCCAGGTTTCAGGTAAATTACCATACTTGAAAAATAAGGGAGGAATTGATTAGACAAATAACAGATTGTATATGTAGGCACTACCAGAGAAATGAAAGAACTAATGATGATAACAGTGAAATCAAGTATGGTACCTCCAAATTTCCTGAAAAGGTTACACATATAAACTTCTCTTGTTCATATGATAAATTAAAAATATAATGATTCATTCATAACTTAATACAGCAAACAGAAATTCCCCCTCAATCACTGGATTTTTAATCCAAAATAGTATTCTGTATTTGCAACTGGTCACTAGTGCAAATGGTTGTTATGTTCCTAATCTAGATGGGTGGTGGTGGAGTGGTGTTGATATAGATACAGTAGTTGGCAGTGCAGATGATGGTATAGTTGGTGAGTGGTATAGAAGGGTGGTGGAGAAGATGGTTGGTAGTGTACAGTAGTTGATTAGTAGTAAAGATGGTTAGCGGTGCATATGGTTGGTAATGCATATGGTTATGTTGTTGGTGCATATAACTGTGTTGAAGGTGGCTAGTGGTGGAAATGGTTGGTGATGTAGATGAATGATGGTGTGGATTGATGTTGTGATGTCTCTACATAACCATATCCATTATATATCTCCGCTAGAGGAGTTTCAACAAGGAGAACAGCCATATTGGTACTTCCCATCACAGTTTGTATATTGTTTTGTTACATTCTGAGTCTCTACCACAAATATTATATCAAATATATATATACACTACATGATAACTGCCTCCAAATGATCCAGGTGAATGGACAAGTGGAGAATAGTCAGCATGTTAAAAATCAAATTTACCTGTCTTCTCTTTCTTTTTCCTTTTCTTTTTTCATTAACCTTCCTTTTTCTCGCTCTCTCTTTTGCCTATCTTCTTCAATTCTTCTTTGTTTCTCTTTTTCATACCTTTCTACTTTCCTTGACATCTTTACCTCAGTGGTATAATCCTCCCTAATTCTTTCTGGTCGCAATACCTGCAAATAAGTAAAACAATGAGTTATCTTTGATAATATTATATTATTTATAACTACAGGGATGGGTGATTAATGTGACAAAATGCAACCCCCTCCCCCCTGCCCAACAGTTCTACAGATGCATGTAATATGCAAAAGCTTTAGGCAAACTGCAGTACAGTCAACCCTCGCTTTACGCGGTCCCACTTTACGCGTTTCCACGTTTACGCGGTACCCTGCCGAAACCGGAATGCTCACTTTCCGCGGTGTGTGTACCCTTTTACGCGGAGAGCAGCGCGAGCAGGGTGCGCACAAGGTCACCTAGTCATCAAAACATTACCGAGTTCTTCACCCGCCACCCACCACAGCCGGTCCAAGTCAGTGATAGTGATAATGATAGTGAGGATATGGACTTATATGGACTTTGAGGGGTTTGACAAAGAGGCCCTGCAACCCTCTGTGGTGGATAGTGATACAATTGATGCGAGTGATACAGGTGAGGGCCAATAATCTGCCCTCTGCCTCGGAACCAACCCCCCATCCCTGTGTGCCCAGCCATCTTTTCTACTAATGTAAGTGTTAAAAAACCTAATATTATTGATATTTCTCTTAATTATTAATTGTGTGTGCATACCATCATAAAATTAAGAAGTTATTTTTCTACAACGTAGGTATTGTGTCTAAAAAAGTGGAGTTTGGGGGTCGGCCCGGTCTCTATTTCAATTAATCCCATATGTTATGTTGTTCACTTTACGCGTTTCTCACTTTACGCGGTACCCTGTGGGTTGTATTAACCGCGTAAAGTGAGGGTTGACTGTATATATTATACTGGTGGGCAGACATTTTGTCACCAGACAATTCATCACCAATCTTTTGAATACAGGATACTCTTTTATATTTCTTAAATTTAGATAATATCTTAATTTGGGAGGCAATTAAGCCATGGTTAGGTTACGTTTATAGTGAACCGGTGACGAAATGTCCAGTGAGAAATGTCCTAGAACCACTATATAATGCCAGGCTACAAAATAAAGTCAAATCAAACCATTCATGCTGAGCAAAATTCTGGATACACTTCCAAAAGGATGTGGGAGGGTCCAGGTCCATACCACAAAATTGGTTCCTCACATAACACAGCTTAATCCATCAACATTTAAAAATTATGAGTGATTCATCTGTGTAAACACACAAGTAGAATAATGAGTACTACCTTCACCGAGCTGTCATCCTTTGTGTCCTCCTTCTTCTTTATGTCCCTGTGGTCCTTCACATCTTTCTTCTTTCTTTTATCCTCTTCTCTTGCCTTTTTTCTTTCAAATTCTTTTCTTCTCCTCTCTTCTTTTTTCTCTTCTTTACTTCTCAATTTCTCTGCTTTTTTTAGTTCAATAAACTCAAGAAGAGGCGTCTTGATTTTCATCACTCCATTGTTTGCTGCAATCAATACACATGATTTTCTAAAGAATTTTGTTACCAATAAAATTTGTGATATAAATTACAAAAAAAAGTAAATAAAAATGGTTATCAATCAATACACACTATATAACAAATATATATTGAATATTAATCACTTATGTACAGAGTACCCTCTCTGCTGAATAGAATCGTCTGACACTAGTAAAATAAAATATTTAAAGTGGCATCTCTGTAGTGAAGGTTAATGAGAGTGAAAGTTCGTTGTCATGAACTACCTAACCACCTTTCAAATTGAAAGTTTAATATACATAATATTACTTATAAAACATATTGGTCTCAATTAAATATGTACTTAAAAAGTCTTTTTCTTCTTTTGAGGGGACAATTTTTTGTCCATATGAAACCATCTCCAATTACATAATGGATGTCAATGAAAAATAAGTTTTGAGTTATGGAATTTTGGGCTAAGGACAACTTTTAATGAACATAACCATAATGTAACTCAGGGGATGTCTGTGCTGTATTTGAATGCTTGGAGGAATACCTGTACTGATCTGTGTTACGACTATTAAAGATGCAGTAATCTACAGAAGTGTTGAAATGATACTGATGGTATTGGATAAATCTGTGAAACGTCTCAGAGAACTGTTACAACATGGGGTAAAAAATGGTGGGAAACTTGAGTAGAAGTAACAATGTTAAAAACAATAGTGTATTCACAGAGTAAATTTCCATAGTAGCTGTACAGTATAACAAAATACTGTAGTATCAAGAGTTTGGACATTGGGATTCATTTCTTTTTTCTTTTCTTTTTTCAAAATAGTTACCCTTTAACTCCCTATCTTGTGCCTGAATCTCCTCAAGCACAGCCTCCATTGGCGGGAGTGTCACAGTTACAGGGTTAGTGATAGTCTCCAAGAAGGCGAGGAAATCTGGGTCATGATCAATGGTTCCGCATCTTGCATCTCTCTTCTTTCCACTGGTGCGTTTTGGTATCTTTTGAAAGGGAGCAAATTCCACCATGGCAGGATGTTCATTCCCTGTACAAATGTATCAAGCAATAAGTTACAAAACCAGAAACATCTTAGACTCCACTTGTTATATACAGTATGGATCTGACAAACAACATACACTGTACTACCTATACTTAATTTCCTTTTTGGGCGGCTTCACACTGGCATTCTTTCGTCAATTTTTGTTTGTCAACTTTCAGAAAATCCTCCTACTTTTTTGTTGTGCACCATCACACATACGTTTAGAACCAACTCGCCAATTACCCTCATTCAACAACTGTCAACAAACAAGATGGGTCCAACTGACGAAGAAAGCACAGCAATTCTACGCCTTTTTTGGTGTACGAAGAGTCCTAGTGATCCCAGAGACAGCGGCGCTGCCTTATCTGGCCACCTATGGCTCCGTCATGTTGTTGTTATACCCGCTTGGTCAAAATGTAAACAACAAATGACATTTTTTTACCCTTTTAAAATCACGAAATTAAACATAATACTGTAATGAGTAATGTAAGGAAGAAGAGTAATAATTATACTTCATAATAATTTTAGCTGTATATTTTAAGTAGAAATTAGTTTATTTTTTTAACTATTTGTAGAATCAATTATGGATCTTGAGTTGACTCCGGTAAGTTGTCGAAGTTGTCGTACGAATTGTCAGTGCAGATAGTACAGACTGACAGCCAATGACAACTCCAACGATTCATGAAAAAAGTTGACAATAATGAAAAAGTTGACAGTAGAAATGCTGATGCCGCTTTTACATGACAAAACATTTACATTCATTTAATAAGTATGACATACCAAATTTTTTCATGAGGTAGTGTTGTATCATATTTTGTAGTAACATATCTAAATAATTTCACAATTTCACACATCATTGCTCTTTCTCAAAAAGGTATCTTGTAAAAAAAATATGCAGCACAAAGAACTTTATATGGCTAATAAATAAACTCACTCTCTCTCTTTAAATATGGTAGGTATACAGTATCTAATAATTACTGTACTGTAAAACCTCTACTGTCTGCACATTCTACCCATTCATATTCATAAATGTTAACTTCCTCCACCACTCACAGACAAATATTCTCTGCATCACAAACATCTCTGCTTTGGAAGAGGTTGTTGGTTTACATCCAAATGTTAAAGTGGTTCCTCTACTCCCAAACACCACTTCCCTACTCCGAATGCAATTGCCATATTCGAGAAATATTATTTGAGGAGGACCATGGAACTTTGAAGGGCTATAACATCCTTAACACATTGCTTCATGTTGGAATGAATTCCAGCAACCCACCCTGAATACTTTTGCTTTAAGTTGGTTCATGATTGTGTAGGCTTTGAAAAAAGGCAAAAAGGCATAATAGAGGAGGCTGTAGACATGAAAAATAACTTAACCTGGAGATGGATGTTGATGATATGAGTGAGTTGTTGAAGTCTCATGGCAAGTGTGTAAGTTCACAAGAGGTGTTGACTTACATATTTTTACAGTATTCTTTATGCACCTGACAACTTACAACTCATTCATTCCGCTATCAGTTCATTTAGACAATGCATTTACCTTTCTGATCAACAAATACATAGCCATCAAACTTGTCTCTGAATGTGAAGACATCATCCACATTCTTGAAGTTAATATAAGCTCGGGTATATCCATTGGGACCAAGGGCGTAGTCAGCAGTGGCGAAGTTGAAGTAGTCATGTTCTGGCATGGGAGACACAGCCTCAAGAAACTCCTCCTCTGTCATGTTCGGGGGAAGTCGACGTAGCACCACCTGAATATAACATTTCCAAGTACTTTAAGGAGAAAAAATCACATAACTGTTTTCCTTAATTAACCTAACCTAAACCCCTAGCGGGGATGGGGCTTCGCCTCCCCTCGACCCCCCCCCCCAGTGGTTATATAATGTTTTCGGTATTTAAATTATCCTTATTTAACCTTACGTAACGTATTTCCCTATTCGGGAAAAGCGTTTTTTTCAGAGTTGGGCCTGCGCACTACTTACTCCCCCTCCCATGGCTCTCCAACAGGCTCGTAGACAGTATTGCAGTATAAAATATAAAAAAAGAAACACTTCCCCAGAAGAGAACATTGTCACTAGCAATTAATAACAAAAGTTATGGTGGAAAAGCAGTGTATTCTCGCTAGAATCGTTGGCAGCATTAACCAAAAAATATACTTTTGTATCAAAACCTGGTCAGTCAATGGACGAATATTTACCCCTACTCATACTATATTATTTTAGATTGTTAAATCAGGCCAAACAAGGAGTACAAAGTGTTTTGTTGTGTAAACACAGGGAGTAAGACTACCTTGGTAAGAGGCGTATTGGTCTTCTCTTTCTTATTCTTGACATTCTGCCTGTTGTCTGTTGACCTCTTTGTAAGGCCTTCATTGTAGCTCTTAGATCCTTCTCTTCTTGATGCCTCGTTAGTCTTGACTGTCATGGGGAACACTATTATAACTATCACTACGTCAGAAAGGTTGTCAGGGAGTTGATCAGTGTTTACCTTTACTCCTCCAGTGAACCTCAGTATAAACAAGAAAATTTAATGATAATATATTTTTATCGTATTTTATTAATTATATTCTTAATTCAATAATCTCTAATTTTACATATGTAGCAAGAAGATTAATTATCAACTACTTTACAACATTGTACTATTTTATTACAGTACATGCTAAAAAACAAAATCCCTTGTGGACAGCACGTCAAACCATTTGTAAATTTGTCTGATCATTTTACTGAATCGATATTATCATATTATGGCCATCCAGTGACTTCACCACCAACTGTTGTAACATCATTACCAACTGCTGTAACATCATCACCAACTGCTGTGACATCACCACCAACTTCTATGACGTCATCACCAACTGTTGTGACGGCATAACCAACTACTGACATCAACCAGGGACGTCATCACCAGCTGCTGACATCAACCAGGGACGTCATCACCAACTGCTGACATCAACCAGTGACGTCACACCAATTTAGAGTAGGCCAGGTCAGGTCAAGTCAGGTTAGGTTAGAGTAGGTTAGGTCATGTCAGGTTAGGTAAATAGTCTCAATTCGTAAAGCATAAAGTGACTGCTTTATTTTCTTACGTGATAGTGTGCACGATAGAGGGTAGATAAAATGGGAGTATTTTATGGGTTGGCTGGTCCCTATCCCCCTGATTTTTTCATCTTGTGGGATTAATTGCTTTGATAATTTATTTATTTATTTATTTATTTATTGGGCACTCCCCTACATCCTTGTGTAAGGTGAAGCGCAGAAGCGTTTACAGTGCCCAACAGGGAAGCATGCTAAGTTCATGCTTGCCTTTATGTCTCATGAGTTAAGGGCGTAGAAGCTTGAAGAGTTAAGGGCGTAGAAGCCTGAAGAGTCAGTGGTTTATGTCATCAAGTTATTGGAAGCTCCAACAACTTTCCCTGAATACGAATTCGCAACTTAAGACTTACAACAGGTACCTACTTTACTGCTAGGTGAACAGGGACTAATGGGGGCTAGGAAGTAAGTCCAAGCAACTTCCACCGGTCCGGGAATAGAACCCGATCCCTCATGCTTTGATAACCATTGATTCACTAACCAACAACTTTTCACAGTCACCTATATATGTTGGTTATTAATGTATTATGTATACCTGTATTACTGATTAGAAACCAATCGTAAGTCTAAGTAAAGGACCCTCCTAAAAATAAACTCACGACTGCTTTGTCGGCTATCCTTGGTCAAGTTGCCTTACTGTTTACCATTGTTGTTTACTTAGTCTCTACACACAGGAAACTGTACATACAGAATACAGTACTCCCACCGTCCATGGCCTACATGCATCATGTACTATACATACTTTGTCTTTATTCATGCTCAACTGTATAACTGTAGTTTATAAAAATAATTAACAAATTGTAAACATGAATAACTACTTTACTGCATAAATATTATTATTAATACTCCGTCTAACTTATTTACTAACACTGCAGGGTCCGGTACAGGTACTGTAGATTATGGGATTAATGCTTAATGTAGCATTAGCTGTATGCCTGCGATCTATATTCTGTTACCCCTCTACAGACCATTTTCTCTCTCTGAGGTAATGAGAATGCATCAGGTGATGTCTGTCTGTATGTGTGTGAATCTGAGTGTACAGTATAGTCAGTATTGTGTCTTGTATATGATGGAACTTGGTAGGATTTTTTCTGTAGGTGAGGTCTGTCACAGACTTACCTTGGAGATATTCGTCACGTTTGTAGAAGAACCAATACATTGAGAGCATCAGTCATGGTGAAATAAAAAACAAATCTCTTTACATTATGCTCAGCCATGAATGTTAAAGCGTCAAGTTGTGTTTCCCTTAACCATCTGTCTGTCTATTTCATTCATACGAACTGACTTTTCTTAAACAATGTTGGCCAAACACTCATGATACTTCACGAGCACTTGCACTTTAATGAGAAATCTAGCATCAGATCAAAATAAGGTCAATATGCCCTATTTTTTGGTAGGTTTCTCCTCTCCAGCTTTATTATCACAGTAGCATTAGTATACTGCTCTTAAACATTCACCTAAAACTGTTTTTTGTGACTAAAGTGCTTTGCCTCTGTGTGGGAGTCAGAGTGACGTCTCCACTCCACCTACATGAGTTCCCTTAGCTTCGAAGGGGACATGTGATGATGACCAGGCTTGTTCTTCATGATGTAGTGAGTGTTGTTTATCGGATAATTGCTTTCTATTGATTTTATGAGTGTCGGAATTTTTTTGTCGGTGATATGAGTGTGCTTGAGGACTGTCTGGGAACGTATCTCCATTGAACCCCGTGTTATAATGATCTCGATCTACGATATTTCACATAGCGATGGGTTTTTCAGGAACCTAATCCCATCGTTTATTGACGCTTACCTGTGAACCTAGATATGTAACCCCTCTGGTTACCAAAAAAATTATACTGTATATATTTTTTTTGGGGGGGGGGGGCGAGAAAATTTAGATAATGATTTCAAAAATCATTTCTAAAATTCTGGTTGACTGATTCATAGGTAGAATCTAATATAGTGACTCCCTTTCCAAGTGGATTAGTGTCACCCTTGAAAATACTGTACAACGTTGCCATGATCTCTGAGTGGGCGGGCAGGATGCACACAGTATCACACTCGGCATTTATTTTACACCACTTAATTTTGTTCTTTCCACCTTATTTTAATATTAAACTCATGATTATATAATACTGGATAGGTAGGTGAATAGAAAAATGGAATTCAAACATAATTTTTTGTTTACTTACATATCGCAATTCTAAATGGAATGTGATTAACGGAGGCCTCTGCCCCACAGCAAACTACCACGGTGAGTTTCAGATATCACTTACATAAAACAACTTACATTTACATAACTCTACTCTTATTTTACTATTTATTGTACACAAATATGTAAATATTATTCACTGGGGCAATTTTTAAATTCGGCACTTGACATATGCTGTAGAGTAAGGCGGTGATGGTGGTAGAGGCAGACAGAGCTCCCTCTCAACCCCCCACCTGTGCCTCGCCGCTAAGTACTGAATCCTCCTCTACCACCTGCCCACCCCACCCCTACTTTTACGCTACCACCCGTCATAATATCATATCACGCCCACACCTGCCCATGTACACCCACAAAGCCCACCCAGTAGAAATGCACACTTGGAGCACAGAATCCCCATTTTTCGACTTCCTTTCTGAATTTTTCCCAGTGAGTTGAAGATCACTAAACCAAACAATTGCAGAACGTTAAATAACCATGGGTGTTAGAAATATTAAATCCCTAAACCAAATTATCGCTAAGGGAACGAATGCTAAATGGCACATCCTTGTACAGTACATGTAATTACAATAATACTTATTTCTTAAATGTAAGTAAATTCTGGGTTTATTTTTCTTGTACTGTACTCTGTATATTTTGGCCGTTTTTGTGTAGTATTTTACCTTTTTCAGGGAAGATTTGAGCACCTGTTTGAGTGTTGAACTCAGCATCTTCAGTCAAACATCAGGTGGTTGAATATAGATGATATAATATGCAACATTTCATAATTTATGATACAGTATTTCCCAAATACTGTACCTTCTTAGTTACTGTCAATGGTGACAGATGGATGATGATTTATTTGTAAAGCTGATGATCCCCAGAAGGAAATTGAGAAAATAGGAATTATTTTTCTTTTCAATGAATTTCATAAATAAGATAATTTGTCTTTTAAACCTTATTTACCTAATGGCCACTTACTAGAGGTGGTCATGCCAAAGGAAAGATGCCAGTGGCCTGTGTAGGATCTCTCCATTGTCCTTGAATATTTTGTCAATGGCTATTTAGAAGCCCAGTACTGTTCTTGATTACACAGCCATGTGTCTGAGGAAGTATTTTATTTCCTTGCATTTGTTCTGCATGATAACTTGGTGAGCTTGTAGTTATGTCCCCTTGTGTTGGTGGTGCATGGTATCACAAAGAAATGGCCCAGATTCATGCTTTCCAGCCCTTTCAGAACTTTGAATGCATCAATGAGATCTGTCCTGTTGTGCCTTGTCTGAAGAGTTGTTAGTCCTAAGGCCCTCAGTCTACTTGGATAGTTGAGTTGACACAGTTCAGGAATCATCTTAGTCGCTCTGTGTTGCACCTTTTCTAAGAATGTTAGGTCTTTCTGAAGGTAAGGTTTTCCATGCTTGTAAACAGTAATCCAGACTGGGACATACTTGAGATTTGTACAGTTGAAGGATCATGTTCCTATCTTTGTATTTAAAGGTATTCTTTATAATTACCAAATTTTGGTTTGCTTTCCTCACTTGTTTTGCCACCTTCAGTGAATGGGTCTATCAGTGCCTATAACTTTCTCCCTATTGACAGTATCCAGGAAAGTGTTACAACAGAATAGTTCTTGATAAAATTACACGGGAAAATGGAAACAACGAAGCACCTTAGCTTTCGTCTTTATTCAAGACATCTTCAGAGGCTAAGGTGCTGTGAAATTATGGCTGAGGATTTGGGTGAACAAGTGAATAAAGACATACGTGAGTGTGTGTTGTTTTCATTACAATTTGATGAGTCTACTGATGTGGTCGATACATCACAATTATGCATTTTCATTATAATGGTGTTTAAAGACATGAGGAACTGCTGAAAATTCTACCATTAAAAGGAAAAACTTGGGGTGAAGACATATTTCAGACTTTCAGTGATTATGTTAACAGTACACAGTTGCCAGTGAGTAAGCTCGTATCTATAACAACTGAAGGGGCACCTGTAATGGCTGGCCGAATCAGTGGGTTCATTGCCCTGTGCAGGAGTGATGATAGGTTTCCTAACTTCTTCAATTATCACTGCATCATTCATCAACAAGTACTTTGTGGTAAAATGTTGAATATGAAAGAAGTCATGGATATTTCCCTCGAGATTGTGTGTTTAATTCGGGCCAGAAGTCTTCAGAGGCGGCTGTTCCGATCTCTCCATACAAATGTTTCAGATGATCACGACAAAAGGGCCAGAATAGCCAAACTCACATATAAAGTCAATCCTTTACTAAAATAAGAATTACTGTACAGTATTTTACAGAAATATGTTTTTACTTATATATTTGTGTTTAATGTTCTTTAAATGTGTTATAAATAGAAAACAGTTGTTACATTGTTAAAGAGTCATGCTTGGACTAGATGCTATACTTGTGCTTCACATTCATATTATAAAATGGCTGAAACAGTGATGAGGGAACTAAAATATATAGGTACTGACTGTGTCCTGAAAGAAGTAAACAGAAGACAAGCGGACCCCTGGATCCCATCCACATCCATTTTAAAATACGTACTCATATATATATATATATATATATATATATATATATATATATATATATATATATATATATATATATATATATATATCATTTTAAAATACGTACTCATATATATATATATATATATATATATATATATATATATATATTATACTTTGAGTTACATTGTTGCTTATATATTATAGGAATTTAAGACATTTTCATGTTACATGTACAAAGTTAAATAAAATTATTCATTAGTGTATATTCAAAGTTGAAAGTACTACATGGGAAAACTCCACCTCTTACCCTTACCATTTACCTGTGCATTAGGTGTTGTTCTAACCCGTCCTTCAAGAGACAGAATCTTGACCTTCTGGGCAGTGACTAACCATCTTGAGGGCCTGTTTGACCCATAGGTATTACCTGGTAACATATGAACAGTTGAGATTGTCTTACTGTAAATGTGAGAGGATGACCTTGAGTCATACATCACATTACTGGGTGTCTGTATGGTGCCACATATACTTGGCAATAATGTACTCATATTTGATGGGAACATTATGCCATAATTATTTGGGATGAGAGTTTGATCAGTCCTATTATTATTTATTGGTTTTGAGGGATTCAAGACAGGCTGGAACCCTCCCTCGGCAATGGGATCTGAAGGGAGTTCTCTCGGGAATTGAAGGATTGTGACATTTTGTTTACTAATAGAAATGGGTCTTAATGTTTGTTGTTCTGTACTTGTAAGTATTTTAGCTTCCTCAGGCAGTAAATTTTTAGCAAGTGATTCTGAAGTGTCAGCTTCTTTTTTGTTAAACAAAAAGAAACGAGCAAGTTTGTTAATGTCAGTATGGTTAATTGTGTTAGGGGAAAGAGGTGCAAGTGATGTTGGATTGTGGTTAGGATAAAATAGTTCAAACAGATCTTTACTACTTTGGATTGTCTGTGTGCTTGTTGGTTGGCTGGATGTTTCTCTTACATTAACTTCATCCATAATTCTGAGTCTCTGAAGTTTATCTTTTGCAGTCAGTCTTGAGAGTTGAATCTCGTCCACAATTTGCTGTGTGGTAGGTGTCTCAACAGAGGCATCAACAAGTCCATCTGGTGTGTGTGTAAGTCTTATGGTTTCTGTCTCGCCTACAGACTGCTGCGTCGTGACTGGTGTTTGTACAAGAGTGTCAGCGAGTCTGTCAGGTGTGTTAGTTGAGTCCTCTATCAGTAAGATTGTTTCATTTGTCATCTCAGGTGAATCATCTGTTACCAAACTCTCAGACATAACTGGTTTCTCATTTTGAGTGTGAGTTGTAATTACCACAGGGTTCATGATGAGGTCACTTGGTGTAAGTCTTAGTTTGGGTGTTGTTACTGTTGGCTGAGTCAAGACTTCCAGAGATTTACCACCTTCAGAGTTCTCCAAGGTGTCCTTCAGAGGACGTCTTTTAATTTTCTGTTCAGGGAAAACAAGATTATTTGGCGATACTGTTGGAGTTGGGACGACTTCTGTGGATGCTACTGGAGATTCTGATGCTGCAAAAGTTAATGGTGAGGAAGTTTCAGGGACCTCAGGAGTTCTATCAGAAGATTCAAAGACCTTAGAAGAAGTAGTTGAGGTGACAGGAGAGAGCGTGTAGGCTGTGGGCAGGAGTGATGGCTTGGCAGGTGTAGCTGTGGTGTAGGTTAGGCCTTGCTGGGAGAGAGACTCCGCTTCTTCAGCTGTAAAAGTTGTTGACTCATAAGTGGGCAAATTGTATGGTAATGACTTGGCAGTGAATGAGTTAGTAACTTCAGATAACTTTGAACTCTTATGATCTTCTACATTTAGCTTAAAATTGAATGGATTATGTCTGGGGAAAAGCTTGGAGGGAACACTGAACACAAAATCTTTACCTACCGGAACACTGATAGCTGCATTGAAGTGATCATTATATGGGCGGAGGGGCTTAAAAATAAGTGGGTCGACATCCTCAAGGGAAGGGAGGGGAGCTGGCATGGGGACATCGTGGTATAGTTTCAGGGGTGGCAGGAGGTCATCTTGGTGGACAGGCAATAGATATTTGGTGTTGGGAGGATGTTTAGGTTTGAGGTCATGATGTGGGGCAAAGGGTGTTGGGGGATAGGGACGAGGAGCTTTGTTGTACCTGTGGTAAGTTGGTGGTGGCGGTGGAGAGTAAAGTGGCTCAGGATGATAAACAGCAGGAGGTTCATATTTGGCCTTGATGAATCCATGTGGGGGAGCATCCTCATACAGGGCATCTCTATTCACGTGCAAGGAAGCAAGTTGACTGACGCCGTATTCAAAGGATCTTGAACCTTTTCGGTACTCGTGCTTGACTTCTTCCACTGGTTCTGTGTGGTCTAGGTAAGGATCAGGATAGGGGTGGTCGTAATACTGTGGCTTGTAATCGTCCTTTCGGTCATATACGTCGAGGTGGTATTCATACTTGGGAGGAGGTGGGTGGTGGTGGTGCACTTCAGGATGGTAGTAATCAGGTTCATGGTAATAGTCGGTCTCATGGTATGGTTTTGGTGGTGGTGGAGGGGGTGGCAGGTAGTCATGGTGGCTAGGAGGATGGTACACTGGAGGGTCGTATTGGTAACCCTTCTCGGGCTTTGAGAGAGGAAGGGGAGGTGGTGGAGGGGGGTGATACTCTAATTTGTGGTCATATAACGTCTCTGGGTAAAATTTGGGTTTGTGGTAGCTGGGCTCATTGTAATCTGAGGCGTGGTAGTACTTTGTTTCTGTCTCATAGCTGTGGTACCCTTTATCATGGTAGTACTTGGAAGGAGGAATAGGTGGATGGTACTCGGGTACAGGATGATATTTTGGAGGTGGAGGATGGTGTTCAGGTTCAGGATGATATGATGGAGGAGGAGGAGGAGGAGGATAGTATTCTGGTGGATGATGGTATGGAGAAGGAGAAGGATGAACAGGATGCTTGTCGAGGAAATAGTCAGCTTCATGGTTCCTCTGGACTATGGTAACAAAGATGGGTGCAGAGAGTGACTCCTCAGCCACCAGGTCACCATCTTCCTTGAGTTGTGTGGCTGCTGGGTCGTCCTCCACCACTGTGGTTGCTGTGCCTGAGGGAAGTCAACCAAAGATAGTTAGCCTGAAATACACTAACGATATCTGACTTGCCGTGTCCTACAAAATAACTGAAATATCTCAAAGACAACTCCTTAGCATTACAGTATGAGCAATTTTTTTTTTTTTTTTTTAGTGTACCAGTAAAGTATCTGTGAAGAGGGGGACTTTGTTTTTGGCATTTATGAACCCAGAAAAAGCATAGAATAATAAAGGTATATAATTGGAACAGATGTAAATGTTAAAATCATACAGATGTACCAAGATGAGCCATTTGAACACAGTTAAATGTTCATAGTGTTCCTCCATTCACATCCTCTCAACACCTCACATCTGTTAATGTTAAAGAACACCCTGGAACAACACCAACCTTGTGGGTATAGAATGATTTACCGACATCATCAAGACCTTAGTGATGATATTATGAAACACATGTCACTTTTGTACTTTCTATGACAAATATATTTCAAAGTTATGTAACGACAAACTCCTGGCGACCGTAGAGCAAAGTCTCCAACAAATTTAGTTTAGTATAATCCTTGCCTAAACTAAATTAGTATAATCATAACTTAATCTAGTCCTAGCTTGACCTATTTCCTTTATAGACTAACCTAACAGGGTGGGTGACCATATAAGATGTGAGATGGTGGGATTATATCCAGTCTGTGTGTCAAATTGTCTGGTAAGATATTGTCAGTGTGACACATGAGCCACAGCCACAGTTGGCAATAAATAATTACGAAACTACAGGTAGACAAGAGACCAGCTGGTTGTGGTGTTACAAGAGATAAGTTGATGTGAGGTTGTCAAGGCGAGACTGTTGTGTTAAGGTTGCAGATGAATGGCCACTTATTATGGTGTAACAAGCGATAAGTTGGTGAAAGATTAGAGAGGCTTGTGGACTTGTGACAGATGGCCAGTTGCTGTGGTGCAGAGAAAGTTGTGATGTAAGATAACAGAAACAAGGTCTGTATTATGTGGAAATGATATGACAAATAATCTTCTGCAATATTGCGTTTTGTGCGAAAAAGTTCCTAATATTTATAAAAGTAGTTTTTTTTTTTAATTGAGTGTACTTTTTAGACATTTTGGCAGCTGTATTATTGCAACAAATAAGAAACTGATTTTAGTTTAGAGGTGGGACTTGTAATTATATGACTCATTGCTGTGTTAAAGTAAAGATGCTCAAATATAAGTAGTGTTTAATGAAACTGCTGTTAGATTAGGGTAAAAAATTTCAATAATCCCTATACTCTCCCCCCCCCCCTTTTTTTTTAATTTATTCGGGGTTAATTTTTTTTCTCCCATTAGGCCCCGATGTGGGTCGGTAACCTATGCCCAGGTGGGCTAATCCCTATAAAAATAAAATGTTAAATTAACATAACCATATATGTCAAATCCGAATGTTAACGTCCTGAAGGTAGAGTTCGGATAATTTATTATTTTAACGTTATCCTCTGCCATGTATAATGGTTGGCGTTACAATATCAACGTTATAGAGGTAAGGTTGAAGAAACAATAACGAACAACGGAATTTCGTTTCTAAGTTAAGTTCAGATAGTGTGATAATTTGTTTCACTAACAAAATAATAATAAAAATCATTAAAAAGAAAAGAGGTGTAGTGACCACTGGTAGTTCACTGTCCGTTAAGAAGAGACAGATAAAAGCCACACCTGAGATCTTGTAGTGACAAGTGAAAGTGTTGTGATGGTTGCCACCCCATGTGTTGTCATGGTCAGTAAGAGATGACGTTTGCAGGGGAAATATATTAATAAACTTATCCACTCGTAAATCATCCTATCTGCTCCTTTACTGGTCATGTTGTTTGGTAGTTTTTACTCTTTTTTTTTGCCCTTTTCGACAAACAAAACCTTCATACCAACTTCCATTTTATTAAACTGAGTTAATATATAGGACTAACCCATAAGCGAGTTATTTTTATTACTGTTTATTTTCTTACAATATTTTCATCAGTGAGTTCTGTATGATAATCATTATTGTGGAAATTGTTCGTTTCATAGATAATTAGGCGGGCAGTAGTTTATCTTGCGGGCGGTAATGAGGCCGTGCTAGGCTGAGGGTTTTTTCCCGCGCCCGGGCAGTTTGTTTTTCAGCATGTTGTGTGCAGGTTGTCACCGACTCACACGGACGTAATTTGTGAATTTAGGGGTAAAGACAACGAGACCCTTCAATTGTTTAAAACTCACAGCATTGTTCTTTTACATAGAGACTGTTTATTTTCTTACATTATTTTAATGTTAGTTCTGATATGATAATCATTTATTGTGGAACCCGCCAATACAGTAAGTCACTCCACCGCCCGGGCTCCTTAGCGCCGATGCGGCCGTATCATCTCACGTCCAGAAAAGGACTTCAAATTTCACCATATCATAGTAAGGTTTGTTTACCTCTTCTATTTAATAAATCTTAATACTGTTGTACCACTCATAGAAGCACATATGTTAGAGTACAGTACTTAATGGGAAACATCAAAACGGAAGCCCCCCCCCCCACGGGAAATAATCGCCTCACACCCGCCTCATCCACGCCATATACGGGTGGCTGATGTTACCTCGGTGCTGAGGTGTTTTAGGGGTTGCGACGAAGTAATAGATGTCATACAGTCATCAGCAAATAGTGAGATTAACAGCCGTTCCAAACCACACAAGCGTACAATTTTACTGGCCAGTTATTTTATTGGTGTGTTAAATTAGGAAAGTCTCGCTCCACAGCTGACGCGTTTAAGGATGTGTTCTCAAATTATCTAACAAACAATGACATAACACAGAACGCATGAACCAGTCAGTCTTTAATCCTTGTAATATAGGTTTGTTTACTGACCATCTGTCGTGCGCGTGATAGTTGGAGGGCATTATTATAGTTTGTAACCGACTGAGTACTGGGTGTTGGCGTTGCGATGGTGTACTGAAGGGTGGTGGATATTTTCATCAATCTATTGAATACCGTATTATATTTATTAAATATAGATGATGTCTTGTTTGGAAGCGATGAAGCCATGGTTAGGATAGATTACGTTTATATTGAACTGGTGACAAATGTCCTTGAAACATACAGAAACATAAACACTTGTTTACACTCTGGAGCAGTGGTCTCCAACCTGTAGGGCGCCCGCAGAATCATATTATGGAGCCCGCAAGGGTTTATTAGAAAATTGTGAATTATTTGGGTTGTTTTGTAAGAGTGAAATTAATGAAATATGTAATAACTGATACAACTGTCGTGTACAGGAAGGTGTGTATTTATTGCAACTATATCTTGTGCTAGTCAGGCCGCACCTCGATTATGCGGTTCAGTTCTGGTGCCCTTATTATAGAATGGATATCAATTCACTAGAGTCGGTGCAGCGAAGAATGACGAAAATGATTCCGGGACTTGGAAACCTTCCATATCAGGATAGGTTAAAGAACTAAACTTGCATTCCCTAGAACGACGAAGAGTGCGGGGAGCTATGATAAAAGTATTTAAGTGGGTGAAAGGAATCAATAAAGGGGATATAGATAAAGTTCTTATAATTTCCGAGCAGGATAGGATTCGGAGCAACGGATTTAAGTTGGATAAGTTTAGGTTTAGGAGGGAGATAGGAAAGAACTGGTTCACAAATAGGGTGGTGGACGAGTGGAACAAGCTTAGCAACTTTGTAGTAAGTGCTGGAACGCTGGAAAGTTTCAAAAGGAGGCTGGATAGATTCATGGATGATAGAGAGTGGTAGTAACTCTCGACAGGAGCTGCCATGCACAGGCCAACCGGCCTATTGCAGACTCCTTATTTTCCTATGTTCTTATGTGTACCCCAAACCGGGCTCAGAGAGAGAGAGCCAGCCAGCCTTCTCACTGGGTAAATACACACGTCCTCTCCAAGAGTACTGTAAATGTGCGAATTATGTAACTAGTAACAGTTAGACCATATGGGATTTTTTTTTTTTTTTTTTTTGTACAATGATAAATGTGGCCCAGAGCCGACAAAAGGTTGGGGACCACTGTGATTCTGGACTCGGGAGGATGCTACACACCCAGTCCCAGCGGCCAAAACATCAGTATGTAAACATCAGCAGTATTCTTCACAGGTTCATGTTCGCTGTGACGTAATTTAAGGAAAACTTGTAAAGATGGCGTTTTGGTCAAAGGGATTCTGGTAATGCAAACATCACATCAAGACACTTTATAAATACCCTGTATATGTTTCTGTGGTTTTTCTCCACGAAAAACTGTTGTCAACAAACTTACTGTTTGTTTCTTAGAACATCTCTCTCTCTCTCTCTCTCTCTCTCTCTCTCTCTCTCTATATATATATATATATATATATATATATATATATATATATATATATATATATATATATATATATATATATATATATATATATATATATATATATATATATATATATGCATGCACGTGTAAGTACGCGTGATCCAGGTATATGCTGATAACCACAAGGAAAGAAGAAAACACGAAGTTCCCAAGCGCTTTCGTGTAATTCACATCTTCAGGGGTGAGTACAGACTGAAGAGAAGTACAAAACAAGGTGTATATATACAGAGGAGGGTAATCATGCAATCCACTTCATTCCGACCACTCAGCAATATTGGCTTGGAAGAGTGGAAAAATAGTATAATTTTCTTTTATCCTCTTCGCCACTGATCGGCTCGTTACCCGCTTGGGCGGTCGGTCACGTCTCTGTTACACACTGTTGGCAAATACTGGGCATGCACTGGCTCTTGAATATATCGGAACCTGCCCCAGTGTTGGTCAAGTCTGGCCTTGAATGAACTCACACTCGGTGCCGTCAAAACGCTCTCTGGCAGATTGTTCCAGGAGTTCACAATTCCCTTTACGAAAAGGTTTGCCCTCACAGTTTTCTGGACTTGTGGCTTCTCCAACCTCGAGCTGTGACCCCTTGTGGAGAGGTCGTCCACCAGCTCCAGATATGTGGTACATTCGACCAAGTAGTGCCCCTGAGATGTTAATACACTTCGATTAGTTCGTCCCTCGCCTGTATGTAATGAAAGCTAGGTACTGTATTTGTATGTGCTCCAAACTCTCTGAGAGCGATATATATATATATATATATATATATATATATATATATATATATATATATATATATATATATATATATATATATATATATATATATATATATATATATTGTTTACTGAACCCCTTGAAGAATTATGTTTTCGGTACTTGATTTTCTGGTTATTTCCAGCACGTAATAAAAATATCTTCCAAATTTTGTTTACATATATTGTACACATTGCTCATTTATTCCACGAAAAACTGTGAACTTCAATTGGTTTATTATTTCCTTGCGTTTAATAACGTAATCTTAATATATGTACATTATAAGGTATTCCTTGAAGTAAAAAGACGTCATCAGTGCAGTATTTTTGATTGCTTAATTTGTTCCCCTATATAACGATACCCGCAAAAATTTTCGCACCATATTTAACGATTCTACTGTCAATAATGTGCCGTACTCATAATGAACATAGAAAATTGTAATATAAACCCGTATTTTTGTTCGACATAAAAGTATTTAATTATCAGTACCTCAAACCATTTAAATATTTCTCGCACGTCCGAAGGCTAAGAAAGTTTAACTTCTCAACCTTACAAAGAATCAATTACCGTGGCGCCATCTGTCGAGGGCCTAGCCTAGAAGGAGGAGCTGACATGAACATACTGTACAGTATTCCTAAATATTCAACAAAAAAGTGAGTGAGGCAGCTGACAGTGAAACTATAGTGTGGAGGGAAGCCCCTTACCTGCTGGCTGCAATTATTGTTTGTTCGGCTCTGTTTATTAAGATACGATAGTTATTATAATTGGTAACATGTGTAAAGTCACGTCCCTTTACACGCCAATCCCCGAACTGTCTGTTATCTTGTAGATGACGTCATAGTTTAATATCTCATCTGAGTTTTGCAGTTTCGAACCATTTCTCACAGTAACTCAATAAAAACATGTCAACTGAGGACTTGGAATTCAACATTGTGACATCCAAGGACTACATTATTGTTACTGTACATGGCATTTACTTTTAATATTACGTTTTATTGAGTATACAGTGTGTGTGTGTGATATTGAGTACTGTATACACTATATATGATACTGAGTACAGTATACAGTGCATGATATTGAGTATGCGTAGTGTGTGTGGGGGGGGGGGTGAAATGTTATGGTGATAATGGCAAAATCATCATCACTTAGCCCCACTCAAATTTATCTACGCAGACTTTAAATAAACATGAAAGGAAAGAAAATAAAAACAAATGTTCTTCAGTAGTAAAACCAAATAAGGTTCACAGTCCTACTTTTATCACTGTCGGGGTATTTGTCTGTCCACACTCTTGCTCTGTCTGTTCGTCTCCTCAGTGGGTGTCTGGCTGTCTCCTGTCTTCTGTCTTGGTTGTTTCTTCCTCTAGTTGTGTTTGTACTGTGTGCGGATTGTGTATCGTTTTCTAAAAGTGTACTGTAAGAAAATGTACTAGAATTTCTTCTGATACGTCTTCTCTTGTTATATTTCTTTCTCTTGTTTAATATATTACGATGAATTAATTTTGTTTTCTTTCTTATTGTGTTGACAAGTTTGTTAATCTCAGGTTTATTATTGCGTTTTGGAAATCTTAATCTTTTAATAGAGTTAAGGTGAAAAAGATAATGTTCCATGGCCGGTGTCACCAAGTTTATCGTGTTTGTACTGTCAGCTGACTGGGAGAGACTTGATCCTGTCCATGTTTCACTGACTCTACGTTCAACGAGTGTCTTAGATGTAGGATGTGTCCCAACATCTTGTGTGTCTTGTGATCCTAACAACCCTGTGTCTGTTAATGTAAGGAAATGTAGCCACCCGGTGTCTGTAAGATGAGTGTCTGTGATGGTGGCAGTGTCTTGTAACCTTGTCGTGTCCGTCGGACGAAACCTTTGATGAACCTCACCTGCAATACAGTAAATACTTGAGAAATAATGGAACAACTCGACATAGCCCAATAGCAATATAATATTGATTAAAGCTTCTGTATGAGTGTATGTTCAGGAATTTTATATAGGTCAGAAGCGTGGACACTTTCAGCAGACACTAGACCTTTGAAATGTGGTGTTATAGGCGAATGTAAAAAAAAAAGTTACACTGACAGTAAAACAAATGAAGACGTAGTAGGAAATGGTGAACTTTAAGAGAAACACTTGAAATTTATAGACTAAGGAAAATGAGATACTATGGTCATATAATTAGTGATGAGGGGATAATAACAGAAATATTAATGAGCAAAGTTGAGGGTAAGAGGGCCAGGGGAAGGCAGAGACTGGGACGGATGAATTAAATAAAAAATTGGGTCCCCAGAGATACACGATCCCTTGGGTTGGTAAAAACAGTCCGAAAACGTTTAGAGAGGAGGACTGTGGTCGCCAACTCTCAGCTTATTATGAGGGCAATTTTGACTGAATTACTGAAATATGTAAGCCAAAACAAACATGACAATGCAAATTAACTGTCCTACTTTTATGAGGGGAGAAAAACACAAGCCTTGTCTCACACGTAATCATTTTTCTCATTAATAGCGGCAATGACCCACATCAATTTTCGCAAACGCATTTACTTTCCAGTGTGGAAATTCTAACTATAACAAGTGTAAAGCAAGCAGCTGCGATCTTTTTAGAATGTGAATTGGCTTCAAATTATAATACATTACGTCATATGAGTCCGCTTCAGTTAGTAAAATAGTTATAACCTGAGTCAGATTGTTCTCATGGAGTGTTATTGTTAGAAGTTTTACTCAAACCTGTCACTGTTTGTTTTCATTATAAAACTAACCAACACACCTGCTGGCATTACGGCGTTGCGTATGTATAATTTCACCACTGATAGACATAAGTGCAAATATTCACCCTTTTTGGTATTTTATGAATACAGCAACAAGAGCGGTCGTCTACATCCGTTTGTTTGTCAGTGATTCCGTGGTCTGTCTGACAGCCATGATATCCAGTATTTAACATGGATATTTCCCTCAGGATGCCATGGTTAATTTTGTTATGACCGTCCTGACGACGAGCCACCGTGAAGCTGCGGTCTGTCTTGTTGTAAATGAAACCGGCCGAACGTGGTCAAACATAACCCAGCTGGAGAACAAAATTGTGTGGTCAAAGTGAACGTGGCCAAAAGTTAATTAAACAAAGCTGACCAAAAAAAAGTCAGTGTAAATGACACCAAATTTACCCAAACGAAGTCTTGCTTTGTCTAACTTAACCTAACGCATTGTTTGGTATCAATTGATTAGGAACTATTGTTACAATTAAACCAAAGGGTGATTATAAATGTAAATTTTGCCAAACAAAAGTTAATCTCTCATGAGCGTACACAAACTGAGTCGCCTCCGGATGCTGTAGTCGAGGACATTATTTTCTGAACATAACTGAATTAATGTTAAATTCCGATCCAGAACTTTTTAATTTATATTGTTTCCGTCCGAACGTCTTTCATTTTTTAACTAACTTGCTCAGGCCAAAACCCTAACATACGCGATGATAATACAAATAATGATTTCAAGTTCCTTTGCACGTTTCATTGTTAATCAAGCTTTAACGCACAATACTACCATTCTTAGCCACTAAACACTGATTTTTATTAATTTTCATATATGCCTTGTATTAGGCTACCCAAACACACCCAAAAACATTACGGTCATATTACTTGAAACACGTTTTACAATAAAGTTTATACCTCTTAAGTGTTTCTGTAACATACGTTTTTAACATTGCGTTGGTTAAGTCGTCCACTAACGAAAGTAGAAGCGTTTGGTATTAAGGAAGATATTTGTACAAGTGAAACCTATTGTTATATTGACCACAACATATGACGGGTCGTACGGAGACAAGGCTGGACAACTCTTGCTTGTTACGCTACACCGCCTGCCTCACTCACTCCACCACCACCTAGCTCAGACAAAATCTCACAAAGTAAAAAATCTCCCACTTGACTAAATTCCGCAACACAATCCCACTTGGCAGTCATACGAGTTGAGTTATGGGCTACCCTGTATAGTGAAGTGGATATTTGATTAATTTAGGCTGAATTAAGTTAGGTTATGAAAGTACAGTAAGTTAAGTTACGTGAAATTGGTTAAGGCAGGTAAAGTTATGAGAGCATAAGTTTAGATTAAGTTAGAATAAGGTAGGTAGAGTTAAGAAGACTTAGATTAATTTATGCAAAGTTATTAGTAAGTTAGGTTAGGTAAGGTTAAAGTAGATTATATTAGATTAATGTGGCTTAAAAATCAATTACTGAATCAGATATCAGATTCAATTGCAGTGTGTGGTTCATTACAGTCTTAATTGTCCCTCATAACAGGCTGTTGTGTAGTTCATTAAAAACTGTAATCACTAACCAATAATGGCAGCTTTCATGGTTACAGTAGTCATGAATACAGTAACTAATGACGAATGATTACATGGTAGATAATTGGTTATGTTTGACTTGTGTTTGCTGACTAGACGTTGAGACTAATGACAGCTGCTAATGATTATGCTATATTAGCTCAATTTCTTTAGTTTAACTTTTGAAGTTATATTTATACGTTTAATAAAATTTATTATGTTTGTATAATTATCTTATTTGAATGATATTGATATGCTCTGTAAAACACCTAACATTGTTGTTTTCTTTGATACCGTAACTTTTGTTCACTTAATCTAATATACTGTACTTGACTTTATCAAATTTATCTTATTATTTCATATTTCATAATTGTTGATTTATTAAAAAATCCACTTGTTTGTGGCATTTATATATTTACTTCTATATAAATCATACAAACCTCGTCATTTAAAGCACTAATATTTACTTATCATGAAAAAAATAATAGTAATGGATATCTTTAACGACCATTTAGGTACATAATTTACAAGAACTCGTATCACAATGAGTGAGTCTAACCTCGTAAGATAATTCACATTCTAAGAGAAATAGAGACTTAGAGAGTGAGAGCGAGTGATCCACCATATGGCAAGTCCAAACACACCCGGGGGCACACACACACATACACACTACTGTCCATAGCCAGAGCCCCGGGACACACATTTTCTCTATGGCTCCAGACTCTCCCATCCTGAACCTACTTCGAGAGGGATAGTAATTATGTAATCTTCCGTTCATAAGTGTTAAACATGACACTATCAGTTTATGTTATTGTTTTTTATTATTTATATATTCATTTTGAAGATTATTATATGTTTATGCGGCAGCTGTAGTAGTAGTTGTAGTTGTTGTACTAGGGGTGGTGGTATTAGTAGTAAAGTAGTGGTAATAGTAGTGGTTAGCAACAGTGGTAAAGGTGTGCAGGTTCAGTACACGCAGAGACCTTGGTATAGGGGATAACACCAACACTCTCCCATTGAACGGTTTTTAACATGTTACATTCAACTAAGTGGTCACTGCGGTTCACCAACATCCACACACACACTCTCCATACACACACATAGCGGAGAGCTTTTGATGTTTACATGGTTTATACCTACACACACACACACACACACACACACACACGGCAGAGAGATTTTGATGTTTACATGGCTTATACCTAGATGAGTGAATGGTTTACGTCTAGGTAAGTGAATGACCTACGTATAATTCGTAATAGTTTATTTGCTTGATTTACCTTCTCACAATGGTCCAAGAATTTCTGATCAGTTCGCTGTCAACGTATACAGTATACCACAGGTCCTTTACACTTTTGGTCTCAGTTAATGATGTTTCTTCGTCAGGTTGGGACATGTGATACGCCTCCTTACTATTGGTACGTAGTAGATGTTCCATCAAGGTATCTCGTATAATGCTCTCTAGTACTTTACACACTATGTTGGTCAAACTCACCGGCCTCATATATACCATTTACCTGTCACTGTCACTGGGAACTTTTTGCTCATCCATGCATCTGCAGAAAAAGATTTTATGGGGCTCGGCAAGCTCGTTACTCAACTCTCAACACTGGGGTGCACACTATCAGGGCCCGGCCTCTTATGAACCTTTAACTTTAACAGTTTGTTTCTAATACACTCTTCTAAGAACATAATGTTCATAGCACTACAGTATGTCAAACAACCTTTTCTCAGCGCAAGTTATTCGTAACAGTAAAAATAACGGTTATAATAATAAGAGTAAAAATCAAGTTAATAAACTATTTTTTATACTAACGGTTAATTGTCAAGTCATTGTAAAAAGTAATGTTAATATAAAGTTAACATAGTAACAACAGTACCGGTTAAGTAATCGTAAGTGGAAATTACTTAATATTGAGTTACATTTTGTATTATTTGTTATATTCAAACTTCGTCATTTTTATTTGTTCGTTTTTCGTTTATCAAATCTATAAATTGTTCTTCAGCTCAAATATTTATTTTTTAATTTGACTATTCTTAATGTTTATATTTCCAAACAATTTATAAATAAGTTCAGATTTGGTAACATTTTCTAAGGGATTTTTTTTTGGGTGGGGGGGGGAGGCGTTTGTCTGAGATTAGCTGTACAGGTGTACAAACGTTTTTAAAGGACAAAAGATTCTGAAGTAATTTCATATTCTTAAACGCTTTAAAGATTTCAAGTTCTTTAACGTTTTAAACGAATTTCTGCTTCACAAAAGTTTTTTATATCAAATTTTCTAAAACTCATCTTTTTTTAACATAATCACAGTAAAAAAAAATAAAAGTCATATATCAGTCCTTGCTGGTGTTCGTCCTGCCTACTTACCGCTGACAGCAGGAACCAGCAGGGAGAGCGACAACAGCGACCACAGGAGCCTGAAGCAGGGGCCCCAGCTGAGTGTTGTTTTCACTCCGCGACGTCTCATGGTGGACTGCTGTCAACACAACCTGGCCCGCCTTTTATAGCTTCCCCACCATGGTGACTCTGGTTCTTTAAAAGATTCGTACGAGTTCTTTTCTCTCTTAACTGGAGACATAGAACATTTCTTAAGTTACTATAACAAGGCACTTAAAAACTCAACGAACTACTACAAGGTACCTAGGTACTTATACGATATGATACTCACAGACATTTATAAACGTAACTCCAATAGAAATTTTAATTACTATCTAGCATCATTCACTGTTATTTATTTATTCCTACTGTTGCAATAGATGTGTTCTGTTATGGTGTTCCCCCATCCACAACGAGGCTTCAAATATGTCTGGTTTTCCCCTAACGCTAAACATAGTTATCTATTAACAGTACATAGACACTTAGATTTATTGATTACTATAGTGAGATACAGTAGAATTATTTAAGGAGCTATATACAGGGTGCATTGGTTCCAAACTGTATGTGTCATGTTAACTTGGACCATAAACGCATTATGTACAATACTGTATAATATAGAGTACGTACTCTTTATACAAATAAGAATATGAAAATGAAGGTAACTGCAGCGGGCCTATTGCCCCATACTTTGTAGCCTTGTTTACACCCAACATTATGAGTCATATAGTCCAAACCTGTATATTTGAAGGTTCCCAGCTAGTTCAAGTTAATGATGATGATTATTTGTTCCACTCATCCACAACTCGATTTCTCAACTAATGTTTACCTGTTTCACGGCTCAATCTAAATTTATCTATCTAAAAAACACTGCTGCGTGCTCGCTCCCGATTGAAATGTTAAAGAGACTGTTAAGTCACCTTTGCTTAACCCCATCTTCCATTTATACACTTCGATCATATTGTCCCTCACTCTACGTCTCTCAAGAGAATACAAATTCAGATTTGTTTAATCTGTTTCTAAACTCAAGGTTCTTAATGCCCGGAATTAGCCTTGTCATCTTCCTCTCAACGCTTTCTAGAGAACAAATATCCATTCTATAGTACGGTGACCAAAACTGAACAGCGTAATCCAGGTGAGGTCTCGCATACACGAGATCTAGTTTAAAACCCCATCACTACGGCAACGCCACTTTTTAAGATTTTATTTGGCTAACGCCGGGCGATTTTCAGCACAAAGAGATCCCCCAGTACACAAGGGATTAAGGATAACCTCGCTTGTCCTGTTACTAACACGCCTTGATATGTAACCCCAGTACCTTGTTAAGTCTTATTTCGAGCATAAGCACATAGTTGTGTTGGTTCTAGTTTCCTACTTATCATTACCCCTAAATCTTTCTCACAGACGGACTTCGTTATATCTACGTTGTTCAGCTGATATTTGGTTTCTGTTTCCGTTCCCTAACCTTACAACTTTGTGTTTTCCACATTAAACTGCATCTGTCATTTTACATTCTATATTTTTTTTAGGTCTTCCTGTAATTTTTCTGAGTCCTCATTAGATTTAATTATTCTCTCTAGTTTTGTGTTGTCAGTCTATATCTATGTCGTTGATCGTATAATAAATAGTAATGGTCCAAGTTCTGAGCCTTGAGGTACTCCACTAGTGACGTTACCCCAGTCATATTTAGTGCCATTAATACTGACTCTGATTCCTGTCCTGTAATCACGCCCTAATCCAATTTAGAATTTCACCTTCAATACCTTGAACCTCAATTTACTCATCAGTCTTTTGTGGGGGACCCTGTCAAAGGATTTGCTAAAGTCGAGGTAAACCACAACATAATCGTGTCGGTCATCAATTTGAGTTTCTCGAGGTGATGTTGAATTGAGTCTCGAACACACACACACACACACACACACACACACACATACATGTACTCTGGCCGTAGTAATTAAGTAAAACGGGAAAGTGAGTGATGAGGCAACAATAGGTCTCTCATAATTATTAGTGGTGAGTTAACAGTTAGGTCAAGAACAGCTTCATCTTATTGAAGGTTTTGACCACAGCCACCACACCATCTTCTGCCTCCCTCCCTCTGTCTGTTGCTGTAATCCATAATGTTTTATTAAAGTGAATATGGGGGAGAAATTTTATATGGAATCAGGAAAATTTGTATTGTTGTAGGGAATTCGATTTATCAGTCTTACTATGAATTATTATTATTATTATTCGATTTATTTGTAACTTAAGTCATAATTATACATATAAACCTATACCTAAGATATTCAGACTAATTGTCCGTGATTTTCGTTTAATATAACAAGAAAATTAAGAAATATAATATAAAATAGCTGTCGGTAGATGGGTAACGATTACATGGGTGTACAGTATCGAGAATTTGACCATTGCCGATTTAGCCTCGTGGAATCAGAATTAGGTTAGGTTAGGTTAGGTTAATAAACATACAGTAGATGTATGAGGACATTTACAGTAATTTATATATAATTCAGTTTGGTCTGGGAAGGTTAGAACAAGACCTGGTTCATGTAACTCAAAACTGATGGATAGTTAGGTTCAGTTAACTCGGGTTTTGGGTTAGGTTTGGTTACGTTAGACCTCCTCCTAACTTAAAACATCCTTAACCAGCAATAGTTATTTCCAAACTGGAATTAATCTTAAATAGAAATTATGGTTGACAACAGGGAATTTAAACATGTCGAAAAAATTTCGTATTTGGGAAGTAACATTAGCTGTGATGGTAGATAGGGCAAGTAAAAACAGCATCTAATAATCTAAAACATCTAATGAAAAGAGAACAGACTTCAATTTGGGAAAATTGCTGCTGAAAGGCTTCATATAACAAGGACTATTGTATGACTCAGATGCGTGGACACTTTCAGTAGATACCAGAAACAGGTTGGAGACCTTTGAAATGTGGTGTTATAGGCGAATGTTAAGAATAAGCTACACTGACAGGAAAACAAATGAAGAAGTATTAAGCTTAGCAAAAATTTCAAAAGAAACGTTTAAAGTGGAGGACTGTGATCGCCAACCCTCAGATATGATGACGGTACTCTGACTGACTGCTTGATTGAAGAGTAAGTTTTGAAATAATGGGTCAGAAAACATCCAAGCTTCGTTACATTTGGCTAGACTACGACACAGACTAGACTTCTCACAGCCACAGTTACGTTAAATGTAGTTACGACATTCGGAGGTAGACAGCACCTTATACAGTAATAGCTTCTTAACGCGTAGAGGGCCTTTAGTGTTACAATCCTCTTGATACATGTTTGGGCAGCTGACACCCCATATGTCAGCCAACACACTAAAATAAATGATGCAACCGACGACACACGCACACATTATTCTGATTTTATCTTGTAGTAAATTTTTAAAAGGAAATGAAATAAAATTCCTTTTAGTTAGTGGGTGTTGGTATATTACTGTGCGTTACATAGTGGTCTTGACGTTATGATATATTACATGATGATTGTAGTGTCATAAACAGTACATGGTAGTTGTGGTTGTGTTCACCGCCATGGAACCAACTGACAAGACATTTTTTTGTGTTGGGAAGTTTATTATAGCAGAGTAAAATACAAAGTAAGGTGCAGCAATGTACATACTGTAAGTTGTATTCGTAAACCTACATATTCAGATTTTTTTTAGTGATCTACATGTATGGTAATTCTGAACTCTTTTAAAGGGTGTTGTGGTTTGGTAAGTTTGATAGGTTTCTTGTTTACACGCTTATAATGTTTTATGGTTTCACAAGTTAATCAGGTTACCTTTTCTCAATTTTGTAAGATTTTGTCACTATTTTTTGTTAATGTAAATCTTATGTTTAAGGATTATAGAGAGTACTTGTGGTGTAACATGTCTCTTGACCTCACATGTTAGCGTGGTGATAAACAATCTTGGCCTCCACGACTCTGTTTAACTGAAGGGCGGGGGCTGAGGAACACTTACCTTGGTTCTTGCCCCGACATGACTCGCTGTAGCTGTTCAAACAACACAGTAGCTCACGGGTACTTACCTCTGTGTACTGCCACGGACCATCACACACGCTCACGTACAAGTGCACCTGTAACACAAATATGCGCATTAATGAACGTTTGTGTTAGATATTTGATTGGACGTCTTTGTATACGTGCAAGTGTAGCACATTATGTACTTTGGTCAAAGATTACACGTACTATCGTGCACCGAAGTCGTGTCCACTACCCATCCACAGTGAGGATTCGAATAGCCTTGAGTCTGAAGTTTCGAAACAGCTGGGGCAAATGCTATGGTCAGCCAACAGATGTCGCCCACTGTAGTGTGGGGGGGGGAGGGGAGTAGAGGAGGTGGGGGTTAGTCTAGTAACAGGCTGTGTGTAGGTGGAGCATAACATCGTGAATTCTGCAATCACTGATAACAATAAGAATGTCATGAAGATATTTAATATTATTAAGCATGGTGAGAGATGTGTAACGGGTAAATAAAAGCACTACAACGACCATATCTCTGCCGTTCATGGCTACGACGGTGAGACTGATGGGCACACCAGTAATTAATTCTCTGTGGCTACCAGTAATGGTAGTCACGGAGAATACACAAGTTGTTACCAAAGTTGGCGAACACTGAAACATGCTGAGGTCTCATTCCTACCATCGTCGTCACCAACAGGTAAGTCACATTAATTTGTCACCATAGCCCATGTCGTCCTGCAGGGTGTCCCATGAGTGACAGCAGATATTTGTAGAGGTGAAACAATATGTGATATTGAGTTGAAAATCTTCTATACACATAAGCATTTTTCGGTTTACTTTAGGCGTGAGGTGGGTTGTAAAAATTACGCAGGGCAAAAATTGTGCCATGTTATATTTTATTTTTCTTTCCAATGCAGCCATACTGTGTGCTGTTGTAATCCTTATTGGTGGATTACATAAGGCCTATTAATAGCGTGAAAACCCGTTTGAAGATACTATAATGATCCAGAACTTGCATTAAACAACATCATAAGTTCACGAGTAAGCCTCTACCCACCCAACTATTAAACCTCATAATTTGAGCATCGTGGGTTACCACACCTAAACACTAATCGACTACTTATTCTCTCCCCACACTCCCCCTCTACCATCCCCCCACTCCACTCCTCCCTCCCCCACCTCTTCCCTTCCATCCCATCACATTACCTTCCCCTGCATTCCCCAACCCCCTCCCCCTATTCTACCCATGGCGACGAATTGGACTACTGTAATGAACACTCACAGAACCGACGACATGGCTCCTCCCCCTTGTATTTAGAGTTAAAACCTTTACAACAAAGGTCAATCCCACGTAACTTGAGCCGGATTAAGATATGTGGAAAAAAAACAAGCAACACCCATGGCCACCCCCTACCCCAACCTAAAATCATGGCCACCACGTCTCTATCTCCATCCGTTTCCCTCTATCTGAAGATGTCTTGAATAAAGACGAAAGCTAAGGTGCTCCGTTGTTTCCCTTTTCCCGTGTGATTTTATCAAGATTTATCTTATCCACGTTTTCATTGTGGATCTACATGAAATATATATATATATATATATATATATATATATATATATATATATATATATATATATAGAAGGAAAAGCACAGGTTCCCAAGCGCTTTCGTGTAATTCACATCTTCAGGGGTGAGTACAGACTAAGGAGAAGTACAAAACAAGGTGTATATATACAGAGGAGGGTGAGATCAGGTCCACAATGGTCAGGTATTAGATAATGACCCTACTAATCTTTAAATAGCACCGCAACGGTCGGTAGTCAGGTCAGAGGGTAAGGTGACCCAACCTTCTCACCTGGTTACAAATCTTTTAATTACAAAATTGTCCAGTTTGTATATGCCATTACTCAAATTCATGTTGAATGCTTCGGTATGTTTAATGAGACTAGATTCTATGATGTTCCTACTGTCAATTGAATTACAAGGTAATACTGAGGAGGCATTATCCCAGTCAATGCAATGCTTGTTATCCCTCAAATGAACAAACAGAGCATTGGATTCCTGGCCTGTCCTAACACTATATTTATGTTGTTTCAGTCTAGTTACAAGATCTTTACCTGTTTGGCCTAAGTAAAACATATTACATTCCTTGCAAGGAACTTTATAAATGCAACCAATTGTGCGCTTGGGAACTTCGTGTTTTCTTCTTTCCTTGTGGTTATCAGCATATACCTGGATCACGCGTAACTACAGTGATTTACTTGCATATATATATATATATATATATATATATATATATATATATATATATATATATATATATATATATATATATATATATATATATATAAAGAGAAAGCTGGCGATTTATCCGACTGTCTATTCAGGGCTAGGGGACACCCGGGGTTCCACCACATATGTGTAAATTTGTAAGTCACTATGTACTTACTATTATGTTTCAATACTTTAAATTATCACACGTATGTGTGACGAGAGCTCTAAGGCAGTGGCTGAAAAATATATATAAGTAACAGTTTTTTTTTACATTATAAACTGCGCTTTTATAGTTTGCTACAGTTATGGATATAATGTATACTCAATGCTCAGAAGTTTCGAGTTCACTCACAATAACCTAACAGCAAATTTCACAGCTGCTTTGCTTGTGAACACCAAAACAAAGTATGGCCCAGCAAAGTTGTCAGCCTTGCACCGCCAGAGCAAACAGCTGCGGTTGACTCATATTTGTAAAAATAATCATGATATACCTGTAGAGAAAATTAAATCGCCTCCCGCAGACACTTCCAGTAGACGGTCATAATCACACACACTGATGGCGGTGAGGCGCGTGTGTCTCACCAATGTGTCAAGGATTCTTTCCATAGCAACAGGAGAAAGTGAGGGCCAGGAATTGCATATGTAATAAAATAAAGGATGGCAGCTATGGGCCTCCACTACTTGTTTGGCCAAGGCCCCAACAACTTTGAATCCGGCCCTGTGTCTATCTATGGCCTTCTGCGAGTCAATTACAGATGTAAACAGTTGTGGGGGTGTTCAACGAGTAGTTATGACGGAGTGAATGTTCAACGAGACAGTAAGATTGTATAACGAAGAGTTGTGAATGAGTGGAAGAGTTCAAAGAGAGCCTGGGTATAACAGAGGACTAGATGGGTGTGAATAGAGGTGTTCAACTGGAGGATTGAGACGTTCACTGAATAAAAGAGCCTGGTGTTGTTAATGATTACAGGCTCTAGGAGGAGAAGAAAAAGGCGGTGCTCAACGAGAACCATAACCCACCTGTTCAATGCACTGTTTCCTGCAGATAATATGTGAGTAACATTTACCAACCAGGGAAGGTTTGAGTAACGTTATCTCTGAGCTGAGGAAGAGACCCCACTCACACGACGCTTGATCCATCCCTCTCACCACACTGTTGGGAGGGTAAACTGTCCTCAACAACAAGTATGCCCATGGTTTGGCTAAGTTTTCTTTGAAGTATTTCTTTCGTCTGCCATCGTTTTCTCATGTGGGTAGTGTGAGGGGCAAAAGTAACTCACGTAAACAGTGTAAAGGGCAGGAGCAGCAGTAACAGCAAGTCGGGGCAAATCATGACGGTGATGGTAGTGGTAGTGGAGACAGAATGGCTTGACTCGTACATGTGCTGCTTCTCACCACCACCCTTTACATTCCCATCTTATCTTCTACGGTACACCACACACTCATCACGTGCCTCTACTTCTTACCACTACCACCACACCACAACAGTACTCAAGGTATCAGTGATCAAACTACAGACCCTACAACTAATTTAGATACACTTATTAATGTCTCAATCACTACCAATGCGCTGATTAAAGTTCAAATGAAGGATCCTGAACTCTGCACTTGTGATTGGCAATATCTCGCTTACTTTTGGTGCTAATACCCAGGTTTTTAAGGTCAAGGAATACAACAAAGCCAACAATTTTCACATAGGATAAGATAAATCTTGATAAAATCACACGGGAAAGGGGAAACAACGTTGTTTCCCTTTTCCCGTGTGATTTTATCAAGATATATATATATATATATATATATATATATATATATATATATATATATATATATATATATATATATATATATATATATATATATTGTTACGAGTTGGGGATTTATAATATAGTTAAAGGTCTACCCAGATCCCAACAGGCAACAACAATAAAAAAACAAAGACAATTACATGTTTTGTGGCCTATTGAGCGTAATATGAATCATTTGATTTTGGCGCTAACTGACGTGTAAGACCGTGGTCGTTACACTGTAACAAAAAATACAGTGGAGTTGGCCTTCCTCAGAAGAACAACGATGATTTTGGTTACCCTTCTTACATTATCACTCAACACGTCGGACTGCTCCACCTGTATGGGATATAGCACCTTAGGTCACCATACATAGTGACACCATCTCACCTCCCTGTAGCACCAGCTCACCACACCTGTTATACTCCACACCTGCAAGTATGGGACTCCTTGTAATTTCTAGGTACACATATCAGGCACCTCGTTCGCACACCGTCCTCGGTGGGTAGCGATGAGGGCTACACCCAGAGGCATACCAGTACTGTTTCTGCGCCTGACATTATAGGTCGCTCCCAGTGACGACCGCGGAGTGTCTCAAGCATTTCCCTATTTATTCGTACTCCTTTGGGGAGATATGCTAGGAATCCACAGGTTCACAGTGGAATAGCATAGCTGGTAGTCACCTCACATGGCGAGATGCTCACAGAGATAATGGCCGACGCCCAGCAAGGTGCTCCGACCGCATGGGACCTGAGGGGTTGATACAACGGAGGACACAGAGAAATAATGCTTGATGGGCGGTTATCACACACCCTAACACCTTACTATTTCACTTATACATCAGGCAAAGCTTTAAACTGTAATACCTGCTGTATAAGCCTTTTTTACAGGGCGGGATGTAGCCTGATGGAGGACACTGACCTGAGGTGATGGTAGAACGGAGAACACTAAGGGCAGTGCCCCGCCGCTCATCACCGTGTAGGCCTACAGTTTCCAATCTTTAATTTCTACGTTTATTTCTTACGGTTCTCACATGAACACTTTCCTGTACATTGTAACCTCATGCCTTATAAACACATATTTTAATCCTAAATTACGCACTAAGGTAAGGTTCTGGTTTGCTAGTTCGTGAGTAAATTCATTGGGTTATAATATCAACGCTGCACACTCGAGGCGGGTACAAAGGACGATCCCTTAAAACTAAAGCCGAATGTTCATGGCGTGGGTATATCCACTTCACTTAAAACTGTAATTAGGGATCCTCCTCTCACACATTACACTATTTGAACACAGACATAAGATTCTCTGATCACTGTACATGTCGTGGGTATATGTCACGCGAGGATACGAGGTGTATTAAGTTTACACCGATGTCTACAAGATATTTCTTTGAAGCATAGGTTCTGGATCACTTCCAACACTTCACATAGTTCTGATACATTTATTTTTTTTTCCAGATCATTGTTCTCATGTATTTTCCTATGATATCTGTGAAAGTTATGTTCGCTACACGTACAGACGTAAATAGTATGACCTTCAAACCATGATACACACTTAGTCCTACAGTACACTAGTCCGGCTCAACTGGACTTTCCCAATCATCTTATGGATACCTGGAGTTCTCCTTAATGCTATGAATACATACAATTAATATTATATAACTGTACCTGGGTACAATACAACACATGATTCAGTAACATTGAGTAGGTGAGTTATCCTTTATCAGTGTTTCCGTTCTCTGAGATTCTACAAGCGCGGTGGATTTGAATGTTATGTAGCATAACATGAATTAAAGGGGGTTTTTAGGAATGACAATGATGTGAGCAGTACACTACTCGTGCCTCTTAGGTGATCAGAGTAACGTTTTACCAAATCCGGCTTCGAAGCACGAGGTTCCATATATATTTCATTAGCCCATAAAGTGCGCGGAGTTCTACAACCTGCTTTTAGTGTCCTCGTGGTCTTGAGGTAATGTTCCCCGGTCACACACATAAGATCGTGGGTTCGAGTCCTGGAGGGGGGAGGTTGTTGAATATATATATATATATGCTGATAACCACAGCATATACCTAGATCACGCGCACCTACAGTGATTTACTTGCATATATATATATATATATATATATATATATTAGTCCCATATGTAACTGTTTTGCTTAATAGGAGAAGGTGTCCTGAGTCCTTTTATCGAGACGACTCTGAATTAGGAAGAGTTCCAATGAATCAAATATGGTGGTTTCATTGGTGCTCATGTAAATCCAGGCAAATTATATATTACTATATAATTATATTTATTTGGAATATTTTGTTGTAGTATGACTTAAACTGTTGTACATTAATTAGTGTACTTCATTTAGTTTATGTTGCTCACAACAGCCATTAGAGTAACTATGCTGAACATCTATCTTGGTTGATGTGATGAATGCCTTTACTCAATTCAACATAGAGTGAAAGATATATGCATGTTTATGGTAATTGGTGACACTACAATTATTAATTATTATTATATGGCCGGTATGTTTATTACAGTCCACATATTCATTACCGATAAGGTATTCTTAAATTAGTCATATCAACCACTTTCTTAGCTGTCATATATATTCTTTGGTCAAAACATAGTATGGGTAAAGCATTTTTTTTAAGGAAACAAAAGAAAATAATGCTATAATTACATTGTTGTATGTTTTTATTGTAGAAATATGAAGATAAAAGTATTGGTTGTTGCTTATATCAATGTATGATATGTCATGTTACATATATAGAGAAAACTGTGTCTTCAGTAAATGATAATTGGGGATTTTCGTTTTTCCCTTACTTTGATTTCGTATTTCAGGAGGACCGGGTTTGGGTAAGGGCTTGATGGTATAAGGTATTAGCAGGGCGTGTACTGTCCACCTTCACAACACAGCTTCTGCTGACTCTTGAAACCGTTGTACAGCCAGGGACCGTGGCAGATGCTGCTGTACATGTACACCTATCGAGGAAACCAACAACACTCATTACACATTTTACACTAATCATTATACAGTAGAGAATAGATATAATATTATTATTGGATTAATAATTATTATTGAGTTATAAGGACCAGTGATAGCAGTAATATTATAAAGAAGATAAGAATGTTGTCATTTAGTAACTCAGGTAAGACAACTAAACATCTCAATGTATATGGAAGTCAGAGAGAGAGAGATGACCCACCTCGCTGGGCTCTAGGTCTTGATATCCTTCCTTGGCCAAGTTATCACAGGCTACTTGTCCCACAACCTTGCCATTGTCCAACACGAAGTCCAAGTCACCTCCGTTGGTCAGCTCCGTGAACTGTAACACAATTCCTCTCAGTACTGCCACGAGTGAAGAAAAGACCCAACCTAACCTAATTAAACACTAAGTTGACACCTCTGTTTCGCGGTCAACACTTGGGAGTTGTACAGTTGGCAAATCGTGATTAATATATATGTAGTTGTGTGTGTTGATCTAGAAGTTAGAATTTTAATATTGTGACTACCGACCGTGTTGTCTAATCTTCAGTCTTGACTCTTTAGTCGTACAAGTTTGTTATCAGTTTTGCTTATTATCAGTATACAGTACTTAAAAATTAAATTATCTTAAAGACACTTAAGTTGTTTCTCAAATTCTTGTATCAATATTCTAGTTCTACACCGAAACAGAACATTATTAAAAATTATTATGTAAATTTTACTCATACTAAAAGTATCGGTTTTATTAATATCACCATGCCGGTCTGTACAATCACTACAATAGATACTGTATAATTAATTGTTAATATATTTAATTTTCTTATTATTGCACTTTTATGTTTGGTAAAAGTATCGGCTGGTATCGGCCCATTTTCACCGGTACCGATACCAATACCGATACTTCGGTATCTCTAGTTGAGGTCTACTAAGATCAGGGAGAGTGGTCTATTAAGACAGACCTGTGTGAACCACTGAGCATTGTCTTGCTCCCATGTGGGTGTCACCCTTCCTTCCTTCCTTCCTTCCTTCAATATAATTTGCATGCCAGAACATACCCAGCTACCAAAATTATTCAAGCGGATTTAATACTGAAGCTCAAGTTTGTGTTGCGTTTGCCATGCCTGGGTGATGGCATGCCCAAATTATATCAAATTAAATTAAAAATAAAATAGAAATTGCTTACACGGGAGTTCCTAATCTCCATGAGGTCCTAATAATAGTAAGCTAGTAAAAACTCCTTCCACCTGAGTCAGACTTATAGTTCAGTGGTGGCCTATTTTTTCCCATAAGGCTTGCCTGACTCCTCTTCTACAAAGTAATATTTTTTTTTTAGTTCCAACACTTGCCAACCATAAACTACAAGTACAGGATTATCGAAAAAGATGGCCCAGATTTTGAATGGTTATATGTTAAAATAAGTTAAAATCTTATAAACAAAATCTCTAGAACTGGAAATAAACTTTTTCCGCCTTTAGTTACCTAATAACGCCACTATTGTTTATAATTATACTTGCACTAAGTATATTGGTAATTATATATCTTGACTAACTATATAATTATGTAAAGCTGCATTGTATAAATGTATATATGTTGAACTGTACACCAGTATTGTCTCCGTACTGTACAGTACATGCTGAATCAATTGTAAACTTGAATGACGATTCTACTGAATAAATATCTGTCTAGGAAAGTTACACCAGACATACTATCGCCCTCTTTCTTCTATGTAGCGGAGAGTATTGCTTGGGGAAACTCACCTCCTCACTGCAGCGTAGTTCACATTCTTCAAAGTTGCTACAATCTACTACCTCAGTGAAGGGCAGGCCATGGATCAGCTCCGCTCCATCCTCTACGGTGACGGCAGTGACACAGTGGCAATGGATTTCCTGTCCCCTGTTAACAGATCAAGTAAAAAAGTAAACGTATTAGAGGTTCAGTGTTGATTTAGTAGTCCCTTTCTCTTGTTGACACACCCAGTAGCTCCTGCCTCCAGCTAGCAAGTACATTTTTTAGTTATTGTAGAAGAAAAAATAGGAATAAAAAAACATGAGGTACACCAGCATTAACGAGGAAGTCAGAGCTGTGTCCGTTAGGATGGTTAATGTTCGGGTGAAATAAACAGGATTCTAATGTTCAGGTGATCCGGAAAGAATATGCAAGATTAGCCTGATGCTAAAATTCGTAAAAATCCAGGCAAGAAATCCATTGATAGCCGCAGTATGCCCGTAAAGGGATTAATGGTTTGAATTATCGTTGGATAAGTGACATTTTTTTTTTAATTTCTTGTTATTATGATTTGTCTCAAAGTATTAGTAAGTTAACTGTCTCACCAGGCTAGGCTGAGTGTAGCAAGGAAGATCACCAGGTATTTCATGGTGGCTGAGTTACACGTGGTCTTTATCAAAGTGCAAAAGACAATGAAAAAGTCGACCCCAGCCAGCCCTTATATACCCCTATAGGTGGTGATGTTAGGTTAGGTTCAGACAATCAGGTGCCACCAGGTGATTGTTCCCACCAGTTGCTTCTTCAGTAATGCCCGACACTGTTGCTAAGCTCACCTCACCTACAACCATCTGGCGGGTTTGCTGTGAATTGTTATATTGTGGGTTCTTGTTTGTTTATATTAGTCATTTGAGTAAGGTATTTAAGCCCCGTGTGTGTCCCTCCACCAGTTCATGTAACGGGATGTCAGTATAGTATGTACACTACGTATGTCGGTATGTCTGCAATATAACTCGGGGTAAGATAGTGGTACGATGTTCTTACATGCTATACATCAATTCACAATAACAGTCCCTTGACCTGTTATTTCTTGGAGAGCGAAAGGGTCATGGTGAAGGTCACAGCTTAGAGAACATGCGACCTGGTGTGTGCTCAGCTGCAGGTGTGCTCGAGTTGTCATGAGGAAATATTACTAATATTTTATTATGATTTATCGAGAATATTATTTCGTGGAACTATAATTGTTAGTTATTATATTTGTATTATAGTTTTGGTCTTAAATGACTTTTAGTACTTCTATATATAATTAATGTTGTTACTGCCATAATATTTTCAGGTAAAATTAACATCATTAAAGTTATATTGTCTTTGTTATTATAACTAATACATTATGTTGTGTCAATAACATAGACAATTTTTACACAACACATGACAAAATGACGTGCGAATGATAGATAGATAGATATTCAGAGAAAGCATCATACAAGTTGACATTGATTCTATATATAGATAGAGGAGATATAAAAACAATGTACCTTTAAACATTTTAAATGTGGAAACAATGTGCACCAGTCCTAGGCAATATAGGTATACACGCACTGTACAGTAATTATTGTAGGTATACAAACATTGTACATAAACACTGCAAGAATACAAACAGTGTGTTTAGACAGTGCAGGAAACAAATAATGTACAATACATACACACTGGACATAGGCAGTGTAGGTATACAAGTAATGTACAATACGTACACAACCACTGTATATAGACGGTGCAGATATATGTACCTAGACAGTACAGGTACTGTACGTACACAATCACTGTACATGGACGGTGCAGGTATACGTACTTAGACAGTACAGGTACTGTACGTACACAACCACTGTACATAGACGGTGCAGATATACGTACCTAGACAGTACAGGTACTGTACGTACACAACCACTGTACATAGACGGTGCAGATATACGTACTTAGACAGTACAGGTACTGTACGTACACAATCACTGTACATGGACGGTGCAGGTATACGTACTTAGACAGTACAGGTACTGTACGTACACAACCACTGTACATAGACGGTGCAGGTATACGTACCTAGACAGTACAGGTACTGTACGTACACAACCACTGTACATAGACGGTGCAGGTATACGTACTTAGACAGTACAGGTACTGTACGTACACAACCACTGTACATAGACGGTGCAGGTATACGTACCTAGACAGTACAGGTACTGTACGTACACAACCACTGTACATAGACGGTGCAGGTATACGTACTTAGACAGTACAGGTACTGTACGTACACAACCACTGTACATAGACGGTGCAGGTATACGTACTTAGACAGTACAGGTACTGTACGTACACAACCACTGTACATAGACGGTGCAGGTATACGTACCTAGACAGTACAGGTACTGTACGTACACAATCACTGTACATGGACGGTGCAGGTATACGTACTTAGACAGTACAGGTACTGTACGTACACAACCACTGTACATAGACGGTGCAGGTATACGTACTTAGACAGTACAGGTACTGTACGTACACAATCACTGTACATGGACGGTGCAGGTATACGTACTTAGACAGTACAGGTACTGTACGTACACAACCACTGTACATAGACGGTGCAGGTATACGTACCTAGACAGTACAGGTACTGTACGTACACAACCACTGTACATAGACGGTGCAGGTATACGTACTTAGACAGTACAGGTACTGTACGTACACAATCACTGTACATGGACGGTGCAGGTATACGTACCTAGACAGTACAGGTACTGTACGTACACAATCACTGTACATGGACGGTGCAGGTATACGTACCTAGACAGTACAGGTACTGTACGTACACAATCACTGTACATGGACGGTGCAGGTATACGTACCTAGACAGTACAGGTACTGTACGTACACAACCACTGTACATAGACGGTGCAGGTATACGTACTTAGACAGTACAGGTACTGTACGTACACAATCACTGTACATGGACGGTGCAGGTATACGTACCTAGACAGTACAGGTACTGTACGTACACAACCACTGTACATAGATGGTGCAGGTATACGTACCTAGACAGTACAGGTACTGTACGTACACAATCACTGTACAGTTGCCAGCAAATGTTCTCCCACAGCCCTGTGCAGCATGGCTGTGGGAGAACTTTTGCTGGCAACTGTACATAGACGGTGCAGGTCTAATAAAATAATGGTTGCCCCTCATGTAACGAGGATGGCCGGCCCAAGGGCCACCCTGTCGTTAATTTGTTTAAGATGTAGAAGCTGTTGCCAATGCAACAACCACGCCCCAAGTTAACGAGTTACATGACCCAGTGTCAAGGAATAGTCCGAGAAGACCGGATCAACTCGCCAACTGCACTGGCTAATCATTACCCCGGAATACGATCCGCAAATCGATTAACATCCAGGTTCCCAATTAGTGCTGGGTAGACAGAGGCAACTGGTGTAAAAAAAAACTTGCCCATAGTTTCACCCTGCCCGGGGATCGTACCAGGGTCCGCTCGCTTGCTAGGCGAACATGCTGCCCATTACACCACAGGTCGCCAGACAGTGCAGGTATACAAACAATCGAGAAACAGTAAGTCGATTCGCCCAATATAGCCAACAAAGTCACCATGTGCTTCTACCTAGTAGAGTCAGTAGACAGTGTACAGGCCAGGTGTTATTTATACACACCCGAGCCGATTATATTACACAATAACCAGACTAACATATACTTTAATTCGTTCTTGTTCTCTTTTCAGGTAAACTGATGAGTTTTGCTGTGGTGTGTTGTGGATCTCTCCCCTTGCAGGTAGGTAGATACATTTAACATTGATGATGCAATTGAATTGAAACAGTTTACTTAGCCAGAAAAACACATAGAGTGGATAATAATAAAAATATTAACATGGCTCAGCCAGTTGAGAACCTGAGCTCTCCTGTAGGCACCTGATATATACTATACACTTTATTTATTTACGTGGCTCACCTGTACAGTTAATTAGCCCCTCAGCTCATCACCTGATGATTAAACATCCTAATGCTAACCTAACCTAATCTAATTTAACTTAACCTACTCTCCTCTATCCTAACCTTTCCTAATCTAACCTGCCCTAACTTTTTAAATTTAATCAACCCTATACCCTAACCTCCCCTCAGGTAACATTAGAGTGTTTAATTATCAGGTGAAATAAACTGGGATGCTAATTTTCAGGTGATGCATTTATTTATTTTTTATCTATTACCACCATCTAGTTTCACTCAACCTAATATTGTCGTTTTTTGTTTTTTGTTCACTCCTGGACTGGATTCTTTTCTCATTTTTTGTCCGTCTATATTACATAAACACGAAAGGATATTAACAAACGTTAATTACTATTAAGTTTATTGAATAATTATCTAAGACAAAAGTATTCTGGTCAGTTAACTGGTGGTCAAAGTTCACAGGTCCTTAACAATAATAAGAATAAAACCAAATGGAAGATAGGAAGGCAATGTGGTGGCGAGTCGAGTTGCATGTCTTCAAAGATAGAACTTCAACAGTATTATATATTATTATGCATTAGTTAAAGTGGTGATCCAGAAACTGTTATGCCAGGAGGATGTGTACACTCCATTAGCAGGGCGTGTACACTCCACTAGCAGGGCGTGTACTCTCCACTAGCAGGGCGTGTACTCTCCACTAGCAGGGCGTGTGCTCTCCACCTACACAACACAGTTTCTGTTGACTCTTGAATCCGGTGTAGTACCAGGGGCCAAGACACAGATTGTAGTAGAGGAATACCTGTCGAGATAACTCAGTTTAGTTCATGACACACACACACCCATAACTCACATTGAAAAGAATTAGTTGTTTGTGAAAGACCTATAACTGATATCTAAGGCAGAGTCTCAGTATAATTTTGTCTCCTAACTGGTATTAAAAGTGTTAGTTGTTATTGAAAGGCATCTTAAGAGTGCTGACTTATTATTAGGTGTTAAACTCGACATGACACTGGAGTAGTTACGTAATTAAGACGTGGTTAGGTTGGATTAGATTAGATGGTTAGGATGGGTCAAGTTGGGCTAGGTTAGGTGAGGTGAGGTTAGATAAGGCTAGGTCAGGTTAGGTTAAGTTTGGTTAGGTTAGATTAGGTTGAGTTACCTTAGTTTTGGTTAGGTTAGGTTAGTATTGGTTATGTTAGGTTACATAAGCTTAAGGTTAATTTATGTTTGGCTATACTTGGTCAGGGTTAGGTTAGGTAAGATTAGATTTGGTTATTTTAGATTAGATCAAGTTAGGTTAGATTAAGTAAGGTTAAGTTAAGCTAGGTCAATTTAGGTCACGTTAGGCTAGATTAGACTGACCAAATCAGGTTAGGTTAGGTTAGACCTTTTAAACAATAAAGTGTCACAGGAACCTCACCTCCAGTGGTCCAACATCATCATAGCCCTGCGGCTTCAAGGTGTTACACGCCACCTGGCCAACTGTCTCACCGTTTTCCAGCACGAAGTCTAGGTCACCATCATTAGTCAACACTGTGTACTGTAACACAAACATGTATTAATAATATAATCACCTAAAAATTAGCCCCCAAATTATTCCACATGATGATTATATGCTGTCTAGAGAAGTTAGGTTAGATTAGATTAATGTTAGGTTAGGTTAGGTTCGTTTTAGGTTAGGTTAGCATTATCGTTGTTAGTATTAAGGTGAAATAAGCTTAAGGGGATAATTTTCAGCTGTTTCTAAGAATTTATCAAGAAAATCAAATATATCGGAGGAACTACAACTGGAATAATTCATTCGCGCCCGAAGTTCAAACACACAACTTTCGAGATATTCAATTCAGGTTTATTTTTGCGGGTGTACAGTACTTAACAACTCACTTTGTCAGGTGAGAGGGCCTCACCTCGTCAATACACCGTAGCTCACACGCCTCGAGGTTATTACAGTCCTGTACCTCGGTAGGCGGGAGGTCGTAAGCTAGTCCAGCTCCCTCCTCCGTGGTGATGATAGAGGCGCAGTGGCAATGTTGTTCTTGCCCCCTGTTAACACACCCACACATTAGCTTAACTATTATATACTGCTTAAGAATGATAGAATAGCTTCAGTTATTATTATTATTATTATTATTATTATTATTATTAGTAGTAGTAGTAGTAGTAGTAGGGTAGCTACTTTTGTATTAGGATATTTAATTTTAATGCAGTAAAGTGACGGCGAATGTGTGGCTATTGGGGGAAGCTGAAGGCAACTTTAGAAAATAAAAGTAGCAATAGTAGTAGTACGAGGCTAGTCATCTCACCAGGCGAGGCTGACAAAAGCTAGGAGGACCACCACACACTTCATGACAGCTAACATGACGGGTGAGCTCCTTCAAGACACAGTTGACAATGATAAGGTCAACCCAGCACCACCAGATATACCCTTGTTAGTTGCGGATGACAACAGGTGATTGCTCCCACCACACAAGTGAGGAAGTTACTCGAGTACAGTATTCATTTTTATCCATGACAGATGATGTGTGACCAGTGCCACGTGTCTGGCATCAGGTCCTGGGAAATAGTGTGTCAAGTGGTATTTTATTTTGTGGGGGTTTGCCGAATAGGGATAACTTTTTGTCAATGGAAATTTATTTGTACATGTTAAAATTGGATTTCTTTCGTATAAAATGGGAAAATTATACCTTAAGTAGTAGAGAAAAGGTTATGTCAGGTTAGGTTAGGTTTTGTATGAAACTTTATGTATTTTTAGGACCTACATGATCGTTTATTACCAGTCAGAAGTTTCCAAAAAGGATAAATGTGTAGGAGTTATTGTTAATCGGCAATTATTACTAATTAGCGCTTTCGTGTAATTCATATCTTCAGATAGATCATATATTGTATTTTTATTATTAATTATTTTTCATTCATAATGTTTCTCTGATGTTAATATTTTTATTGTAATAGATATTGTTAATCGTATTATTATTATTATTATTATTATTATTATTATTATTATTATTATTGAACAACGATTAATTTTATACAAGACGATATTAAAAAAAAATCGGGTCCATCTCATCCTTCCTAAAAAAAACAAGGAAAATCTCACGGATATTGTAATAACGGAAACTTGCCATGTACCATGTGACGCACCACTACAACTCCGCAGTACACGACGGCGTGACCCATGGGAGCCGTCATGTGGGAGGAGTTGCGTCATCTAACACACCTACCTAGGAGTATATATGGAAACCAAGAGAAGATGTGGCACTCATTCTCTGCTGCTGCACTTAACACCATGAAGAGTTTGCTGGTGATGGTAGCTACTCTGAGCCTCGCATGGTGAGATAATTATAAACTTTATATCAACATTTTCATACTGATAATAATAATCGTTTTTATTGGTACAGTTCTCATTGCCTATCATATAAACCGAATAGCAGCAAGGAAGTAAGTCATGTTGCTAGCAGCCACACAGTCCACACCGGGCAGATGCAAATTGAAAATATAAAACGTTTTGGAACATGTTCCGTCTGCTAAAGCACCACGGTGGAGCAGGATTTTGACCCCCTACTCTTTGCATGTAATGGTGCTGCACCCCTTTAAGCAAAAATCTGAAATGACGCCCCTGCACAACACTCATCTCTGCTTCCCTTGTACTCATCCACAACACTCATCTCTGCTTCCCTTGTACTCATCCACAACACTCATCTCTGCTTCCCTTGTACTCATCCACAACACTCATCTCTGCCTCCCTTGTACTCATCCACAACACTCATTCCTGCCTCTGCTTCCCTTGTACTCATCCACAACACTCATTCCTGCCTCCCTTGTACTCATCAACAACACTCATTCCTGCCTCCCTTGTACTCATCCACAACACTCATCTCTGCTTCCCTTGTACTCAACAACACTCATCTCTGCTTCCCTTGTACTCATCAACAACACTCATCTCTGCTTCCCTTGTACTCATCCACAACACTCATTCCTGCCTCCCTTGTACTCATCAACAACACTCATCTCTGCTTCCCTTGTACTCATCAACAACACTCATCTCTGCTTCCCTTGTACTCATCCACAACACTCATTCCTGCCTCCCTTGTACTCATCAACAACACTCATTCCTGCCTCCCTTGTACTCATCAACAACACTCATCTCTGCTTCCCTTGTACTCATCCACAACACTCATTCCTGCCTCCCTTGTACTCATCAACAACACTCATTCCTGCCTCCCTTGTACTCATCAACAACACTCATTCCTGCCTTCCTCATAACAAACTAAGAGTAGTGACAACCTAAATTTGAATCCATCTTGTTGCCACTGAGCCATCCGCGGAGCAGTGTACTAATCCTTGACACGCACACACTGCAGTGGGCCTATTGGTCCACATAATAATAATAAAAATAATAATAATAATAATAATAATAATAATAATAATAATAATAATAATAAGAAGAAGAAGAAGAAGAAGAAGAAGAAGAAGAAGAATGGCTGCCCCTCGTATAGCGAAGATGGCCGGCCCAAGGGCCACCTTGGCGTGAGTTTGTTCAAGATGTAGAAGCTGTCGCCAACACAAAAACCACACCCTGAGTTGCATGACCCAGTGTCAAGGAATAGTCCGAGAAGACCGGGCAACTCGCTAACTACACTGTCTAACCATTATCCCGGAACACGATCCTCAAATCGATTAACATCCAGGTTCCCAATTACTGCTGGGTAGACAGAGGCAAATGGCGTAAAGAAACTTGCCCCTAGTTTCACCCTGCCCGTTTACACCCAATCACTATCGCTCATAAGTTTGTCCATCATATATATGAAGCTTTCTAGCATGTTCGAATTGATGATGATGTTTGGTAACTTGTTCCATTCATCCACTACTCTCTCTACACACCGATGTTTACCTATCTCACGCCTAAATCTAAATAAATTTTATTTAAAACCATTCCTACGAGTTTGCCCCTCATTAGATAGTTTAAGTACCTTTGTTATATCACCTTTGTGTAACTCTGACTTCCATTTATACAACTCGATCATATCGCCCCTCAACTCAAATGGTATAATCAGTCATTCTAAGATTCCTGATGCCCGGAATGCTTTCTTCTGCAGGGATTCGATATCCATTCTGTTTAGGCTTCAAAATAGCCCCAAAACACTGGGAGGGCTCTCTGTGCTCGCCATGTTCCCCACTCCCCCTTTTGATATTCCTGGATCCGCCCCTGGAACCACATGACCCGAGTGGTGTCTTACATGCACAAGATTTATTTTAGGATAACCTCGCTAATCTTGTACTAACACTCCTTTGTATGAACCCAAGTACTTTGTTAGCCTTGTTTCGAGCAAATACGCATATGTCTTGGTTTAAGATTCCTACTTATCATTACCCCAAATCTCTCGCACAGTCGGATTTCTTTATATCAACGTTATTCATCTGTTTCTCCATTTACATCTTAGTCTAAGTACTTTACATTTTCCGCATTAAATTAAATTTGCCATTTTTCAGACCATGCGAAAAAAATTATGCAGTATCTTCCTGTAGTTTTGTGGAATCCTACGTTTCTATGACTAAGGTCTTCAAACATACCATGTACTAGATTAGTAAATACACTATAATGAATTATTCAACACGCATGCTGTACTAGGTTTGTAAATACACTAGAATGCTGATGGTGATGTTATAATGTATAAATACGCTTTACCAACTAAGGTCGGTGCTACTATAGCGTGCGGTCTACAAGATATTTAGGTAAGTTTAGATTAGGTTAGGTCAGGTCAGGTCAGGTTAGGGCAGGTTAGATTTGGTTAGACTAAAGATGTCTTTGTAGACCGCACGCTTTTGTAGCACCCTCAGGTCTTTGACACAGTATACTCGGTTAGAAAATACATTAGTTATTAACAATCAGCAATTTAGATGATGCAAATACACGAGATTCAGCATCAGCCTCTAGTTTAAAAAAAATATTTTATGAAGATATATTAAAACTATCACAAATGCATGTTTTAAGGAATGGGGTAAATATATTACTAATGGACGAGTTGTCGGTGGAAGTTTTTCGTAGGCTGGCAGGTCAATTGGGTAAAGAAAACGCTTAAATTTATTATGGTAATGATATTCTTAAATAAATTGGGCCAAAAGGTGTAAAAAAAAATGAAGGTTAAAGTAGCCATTCTAGAGACGTGTTGGCCGCCTCGACTAAGAAAATTTCATGCCAAAAAGGGAAATTTTGAGGGCGCTGCAAGGGAAATTTGGCCGAGTAGACCTGGGGCTAGGATGTTTGGGATGGTTGGAACTTCTGGTTCTGGAGACAGCCAGCTGTGGTGTTGTTACCAGCGAATATTTCTTTAATTAATTATTCTAACCTTTATTCTATTCCTTCTTATAGTATATTAGATACTGTAAGTAAAACGACCATGATTATAACAACCACGACTATGATTATAACAAACACGATCATGATTATAACAACCACGACCATGATTATAACAACCTCGACTATGATTATAACAACGACGACAATGATTATAACAACCACGACTATGATTATAACAACCACGACCATGATTATAACAACCACGACTATGATTATAACAACCACGACCATGATTATAACAACCTCGACTATGATTATAACAACCACGACTATGATTATAACAACCACGGCTATGATTATAACAACCACGACCATGATTATAACAACCACGACCATGATTATAACAACCGCGACCATGAGTTACAGTATAACAGTATAATAACCACGACCATGATTATAACAACCACGATCATGATTATAACCACGACCATGATTATAACAACCACGACCATGATTATAACAACCACGACCTTGATAAAGTCACCCACGAAAGACTAATAAGAAAGGTTAGAAGCACATGGCATTAAAGGTAATATTCTAAAATGGATTAGGGTGTGGATACTGGACAGGAAACAGCGAGTGAGCATTAACGGCACTAAATCCCCCTGGAGCAACGTCACTAGTAGAGTTCCCCAAGGATCAGTACTAGGACCATTATTATTTATTATATACATAAACTACTTAGACATCGACATAGACAGCAACATAAGTAAATTTACTGATGACACTAAAATAGGACATGTAATAAAATCTGACGCGGACTGCAAAACTACAGGAAGATCTAAACAAATTTTTCGAATAGTCGGAAAAATGGCAGATGAAATTCAATGTGTTCTAATGTAAAGTACTCAGTATAGGAGATGTAAACAGGGAAACCAGTTACCAGATGAACAACGATGCCATTGTGAAATCCGACTGCGAGAGAGATATAGGAGTAATGATAAGTAGGAATCTTAAGCCAAGTAAACAATGTGTTTTTGTTCGTAACAGGGATAATAAAGTCGTTGGGTTCATACAAAGGAGTGTTAGTTACAAGACTAGCGAGGTCATCTTAAGATTATATCTTGCGCTTGTGAGACCTCACCTGGATTACGCAGTTCAGTTTTGGTCACCGTATTACAGAATGGATATAGAATCCTTGGAAAGAATCCAAAGGAAAATAACAAGACTAATCCCGGGCATTAGGAACCTTGAGTACAGAGACAGGTTAAAGCATCTTAATTTGCACTCCCTCGAGAGACGTAGAGCGAGGGGCGACATGATGGAGGTGTATAAATGGAAGTCAGGGCTAAACAAAGGGGACATTACAAAGGTACTCAAACTATCCAACCAGGAGCGAACTCGTAACAATGGTTTTAAATTCGACAAATTTAGATTTAAGCGCGAAATAGGTAAACACTGGTTTGGAAACAGAGTAGTGGATGAGTGGAACAAGTTACCAAACATCATCATTAACTCGAACACGCTGGATAGCTTCAAACATAGGTTGGATGCTTATATGAGCAATAGGGGTTGGGTATAAATGGGACTGCCCAGTCTGGGCCAATAGGCCCGCTGCAGTTTCCTCCATTCTTATGTTCTAACAAGGACCATGATTATATCAACCACGACCATGATTATAACAACCACGAATATGATCATAACAACCACGACCATGATTATAACCACGACCATGATTATAATAACCACTTCCATGATTATAACAATCACGACTATGATTATAACAACCACGACCATGATTATAACAACCACGACCATGATTATAACAACCACGACCATGATTATAACAACCACGACCATGATTATAACAACCTTGGTAAACTGTACCCACGGACTCGCCACCGGTCACGAAGTGCCCACGATCACTTGTCTTGACTAATGTAGCAGGACTTTAAACTTTTAATACAAATTAAATATACCGTATCACTCTACGAGCGTGGTAGAGTGTATTTCTTGTGTTTACTCAGAACCGACAACTCGTCCATGATCGTAAATCTATTCCCTTCTATATAAATAGTTTTTTGTTAATTATGGAATTGTGTGATTACTAATATAAGACTTTATAATATATTTAATTTAGCTGTGACACTTGGGAAGGATATGAAACACTATACAGTACAATAAGTTTGGTGTGATAAAATAACTTTTAACCATTTAGGGTGATGCAGTGTGCATGTGTTAACATGACCCCAGGAACTAAGTTAATATTGTGGGCGTTTGTTAACTTGGCCCCAGGAACTGTTAACAATGTACGAGTTATTAACGTGACCCTTGGAACCAAGTTGACTGTTTGGATATGTTAACGTAACCCGAGTACAGTACAGGTATCTATGTTAACGGTGTGGGGGTGTGTTAACATGGCCTGAGGAACTAAATAAACATTGTAGGGGTGTAAACATAACACCAGAAACTAAGGTAACAGTGTGAGGGTGTGTTAACAGGGGGCAAGAGATGCACTGCCACTGCGCCACCTTCGTCTCCACAGTGGAAGGAGGAATACTGATGCACAACCTACCCTACACTGAGGTGACGGACTGTGACGACTTTGAGGGATGCGAGTCACGATGCACCAAAGAGGTAAATGTTACTCTTGGGTTTCTCGCCACTGATTCTATTTCACGGGTCAGTTACTTCACTAATCTACACGAACATTACGTCATGCATTATTAACGTTCTTTGTTTACAAGATTCACTTGACGGTGACGTGAGTTTCCAAAATTATGTCATTGTACGTGAGACCCGGTGAACAGTAACATCACATCCTATTTACAAGATTCAAGATGATGTATTTTCTTGCTGTTAACCTTGACCTTCACAACCATGTCTAACCAGTCACAAGTAGGTGTTCTTCCTTACTGCCACACCATGACCATATATTCACTTTGTTCGTGGTCCTGCATCATGGTAACCGTGGTAGTATGGTAAATGTTGATAATGCAGTGAGTGGTGTTGTGTTACAGTTCATAGACTTGACTGATGGAGGTGACCTGGACCATGAATTGGAAGACGGCAACATTGTCGGTCAATTGTGTTGTGACACTGCAGCGGCTGAAGGATATGAAAACCTCATGCCCAGCGAGGTGAGTTAAATCTCTCTCTTTTTATTGAGCTAGACTATTCAGTTATGTTACCTTGGTAGGTATAGGGCTATGGGAGTAAACCCCGAACGAAAAATCTGCAGTAAAGCACCGCATCAGGCAGACATGCTTACAGAGCTCCAGTAAGACCCCAATGGTGGAATAGGCAGAAGAGTTGACCAACATGGCAAGCCATATACACTGGCGGATGAAGGCAATGCATGATGGACAGGCTACTAAAGCGAAACCCAACAAACTGGGCTATCGGCAGTCCATTGCAACTCTCCCTCTACCCAGTTGTTGCAGCTACCTGCACCACCGGTTCAGGAAATAGGAGAGCCAAGATGTGTGGTTGCAGCCTGCACTCCTGCCTCATCACATAAATCAACTCATGGGCAGCCATCATTCAGCTCATCATACTTTTCATCACCATCAAAACCCCTAAATCGACCTCCATAACAGACTTTTTCCTGGGGCAGAAACCTTCCTCCTAGAATCTTAATGTGGCTTTAGACCATCATGTTGCACCACCAGATACAGGAAAAGTGCAGAGAATAGTGTCGTAATTTGTACAGTCTGAGACAATGGTTTGCTCTCTATAGTGAAAATGAATCACGGGAATGATCCTCTGAACAGACTTGCCCTGACTGTTTCATCTCATTTGGGATCGTCACTGCTTCATTTTAGACGGGAGCGAAATTTTGACGCCGACTGTACATGGCCTCCATTGACTTTACCAGAGCCTTTGACTCAGTCAACAAGGAGGCTTTCTGGCAGACCCTTAGTCATTTTGGTTGCCCACCAAATTTCATTGCCATTGTTAGGCAACTCCACGATGGCATGAACGGTACTGTCATGCAAAATGGCACCCAGTCCGAGATCTTCCCCATCCAAACAGGGGTAAAACAAGGATGTGTACTGGCACCCATTTTCTTTTCCATTTTCTTAGCGCCTTCCTTACTCGTGCCAGTGACAATTTATCCAGCGGGGTGGACATCCAGTACCGGATGAAGGGACTTTTCGACCTAGACAACTCCAGGCAGGAACAAAGGTGTCGGCAGATTCCATCACTGAACTTCAGTATGAAGACGACCTCACCGTCGTCGCTCACACTGAATGCGACCTACACAGATATGTATGCACACTTCGACCTTAAGGTGAATGGGCATAGAACTCAGATTCTCTTCCAGCCTGCCCCTGGTTCAGCCACATCTCCACCATCATCTAGATCAGGGGTCACCAAACTACGGCCCGCGGGCCGGATCCCAAGTCCTTCCCCGGCTCGTGGTAGTTCCGCCTACGCTCTGACGTTACCAGAGCTTTCATTCTGGCTTGCAAGTATTGAACAGAATGATTATGCGGCCCGCGCTCGTCATTCTTTCAGTTATCCGGCCCACTGTGAAAAAAGTTTGGTGACCCCTGATCTAGATTAATGGTACTACCCTCTCTAATATTACCCACTTTCGATATTTTGGCTCCCAACTGTCCCTCACTGCGAACATCGATGAAGAGATTCAACATCGGATCAGATATGCATCACAAATCTTTGGCAGACTCCATACCCGTGTCTTCAGCTGTAGGGAGCTGAAATTATCTACAAAGTTGCAGGTATATCGATCAGTGGTCCTCCCCACCCTGTTGTACGGCAGCAAGACATGGGTCACATACAGGAGGCACCTAAAGTCATTTGAAAACTTTCACCAATGCAGTCTACCTTCTATCCTCGAAGTTTGTCGGGAAGACAAAAGAACAAATGCCAGTATTCTCACTGACACCGACTGTAGAGCATTGAGGCTGCCATTATCCATGGACAACTACAGTGGACTGGCCCTGTTACCCACATTGATAATAGTTGACTACCAAAGCACCTACCGGTACTTTACAGTCACCTAATGAATAGTAAACAAAACACTGGCAGGCAACATTAATTATAAGGATAGTCTTAAAACAAACCCGAATAAGTGCCAAATTGACCCTTTCACCTGGGAGAAGATCACTTCACACTGTAAGGCTTTGAGGAGCACGATACGAGGTGAAGTAGTAGTACCAGTAGATGTAACGTATTCTATACGGTTCATTTTGTATACTGTAATGTTATTGTTGTCATGAGGTTATAGTCTATCTGTGGCGAGTATAACTACTAGTCTAGTTTTGCAGTTACAACCATTAGGTGACGTTTCAATGCAGTAACAGCATAATAGCATCACCATCAAGTTCATCTGCTAGTAAGAAATAAATATTTATTCTTAGATGTTTATTTATTGTATGTGTGCATTGCCACATTTATTTATAGTTCACTACCATCACATAACAAGTGCATCATTTAAGCTATACAGTAGTTGTAACAGTGTACGAACAGCCCTTGTTTCCTCGACAGGTGTACATGTACAGCAGCATCTGCCATGGTCCCTGGTTGTACAATGGGTACAAGAGCAAGCAGAAGTTGTGTTGTGATGAAGGGAAATACGTCCATTGTTAAGTCCTCTCCTTACTCCATCAACTCGACCAATGCTTCTTCTTCTTAATGATTACAAGATATTAATAGAAGGAACGATTGAAGAGAGAATTATTCACGAATGGAAAGAGACATTATGCACTTGTCTCAACCAATTAGACAGCATCAGTTGGTTCACATTGTTAGTAGAAAATATTTGAGGAACTATGAATAAATGATTAAAAGACCCATAACTAATATATTACCTGATTACACCTGCTTCATGTTGTTATATTTTTTATCATTAATTAGTCCCTCTTGTACTGTATTGGCTTGCATTAGGCGGGGATGCACACTTATCTGGCAAGTCTTGAAAGCAGAAAATGTCCCGTACTTTTTTCTCCTGCAAGCTAAGTAACAATCCTATAACTTGTACAGTATCTCCTGTTTATGTCTTAAAATAGCAGTGAGTTCTACAATAGTGAGTACAGAACATATAAACTCAAAAACAAATTGGTGAAGCACTTTGGTCCAAAAATTGAACTTTGGAGACCCATCTATCAACCTATATTTTTTACAAAATATAGGTTGAAATATCTGGCTAAACACACATTTATCCAAGTAAATATTAGTTAATTACTGGGTAAAATCAAGGTACTGCAGAATGAGGTGTAGAAATTCCAAAAACTTTTGGGGTTAGTCGCATCAACAAAAACTTTAAAGATTGTATTGGTTGAATTTAAGGTCTGGATTCAGCCCTGCCGGCATTACAGGAATGGAAAGAAAAACTATCAAATACAATACTTTTATTGAAATGAAAAAAAAATACTATATACAGCATCTTTCATGACAGTGCAGGAATTTGTAATTTCCTTCTGCAAAATCAAAATTAACACTAAGTACGATACAGTACATGTCTATAGCACTGCGTAGCTACTGTACTTCGTCATTTTAATTACTCACTTCAACTATATCAACTAATGGACAATCTATTCTACCTTATTCTGTACTAAGTGACAAATACATGTACAGTATTAAAGTCAGCAGTGTAAACTTTAACACTGTACAGTATTGAAGTGGTCCAGGACTTATTTCTTCATTTGTTCTTATCAGTAATCAATCCATATTTACCATTAATATATATTTAATTCAGTAATACAGTAATCAAACAACTGTGGCCACACATACTAGTATCACCTGCTGTTTCTTGAGATCTGTCCTATACACAAGAGCTTAAAAACATCCTCATCAGGGGTGGACCCAAGGTGGAACTGGGGTCCAGACCCCCTCCTTTTCATCAGAAAATTCCTAATACTTTTTCTTCAATGCAGTATATTGTACTCAGGCATTTCTATATAGTAAAAAGTAATTACTATTGACATCAAAATATCAACTAATATCAAGTGCACATGGATTCAAAATGTTCTCAAAATGCCCATGATATTGGTCAGATTTCAAAAAAATTTCTAGGCTGGGTTCACTGTTCTCGCCATGTTCCCCCGCCTACCGGTACAACCTCTTGGATCCCCCCCCCCCTCTTTGATATTCCTGGATCTGCCTATGCTCATCATCATCACAGTTAGAAAACAAGTACTTACTCTCTACCTCTAGTGTATGGTTACAAATACATTTCCAGATTTTACATATTGTACAAAAAAAACTTCCCATGCCTTGTCATTTGTCATGGCTGTACCGCCCTCTACATTATAGATAATTTGCTAGACAGTCTATCACTTGGGTTTACCCTTGAAGATGGTGTTAATATCTACTGTATATTTATTCACATATAGAAACAGGGGGTTAAAAAGGTACACCTAGGAAGCAGCAGAACAAGTAAATTAGAGGAGACCTTGGCAGTGATTCTTGACTGGCTTATGGAAATGTCACAGCAGTTATGAGTGAGAGCATGATGGAGAGTATAAAGAAAGCTTGGTTTTGCTTTAGCCTCCAGCCACCCTGCAGCACAGTGAGTGAAGACTTGATAAAAATTATGATTCATATATGATGCAACAGATATGATGTTACAGTACAGTATAAATTATTGTTTGAATTCGCTGTCGTTTTGAAGGACTACAGTATATCTAGTTCACTATTACTTCCCTGATTTGTTGGTTAAATGCACTTGTCACATAGGCTCAGCAGCTTTCTAAAATACTGTACCCTTGTTGATCTAAACTTCCTGGAAGTTAATCTGATAAAGAAGTTGTCTCATTCAGGTTTAAAGGACATTACTGGAGCAGAAACTCCCAAAATTTTCTAAGATACTTCATCATTTTTTAACCTTTCTGTTAATGCCTCAGATCCTGGCTGATCTTGGCTTATCAGTGGGAGCAAAGACCCAAAAATTTCCAGGAAATAGTCAACTATTTTCTGGATTTTTTTAAGGATGCCGACAAAGGACTAGACTAAGTGACAGTCTCGTGCTAACAGGGATATACAGTTTATGTAGAGACTTGTGGGTTAGTATAACCCAGATATTTGTAAATATCCTTAAACAATTTACTGTATTTACAATAGTGTCACCTTCAAAAATACTGATTAAAGTCTAGAGATGAAGTACTGTCTTGTCCTGGACTCCCACCCTGAATCCGCCCCCGATATGGAAACGATACCGATATGATTTGAAGGACAATCGGAGTTAGCACCCACCAAAATGTGGGTAGCATACTAGAATAATATCTAAATTATTACAAATAAGTAGGTGATGACATACAGTGGCTAGTGACTCCCTGTGGTAAGAGGTCCCTGACAGTGGGACTGTCAAGGCAATACAGCAGTGTTGAAGGGTGTTACCACTGGGACAGTTACAGAGTTTACAGGAAGAGAAGTGCGGGTCATCCCCCGCCTCAGATACAAGCCAGATAGGTCTGTATCCTCACCGAATATGAGCAGACACCACATTATGTCTGCAGACCATAAGTTCAAGTCGATGACACTTGTGTGGATAAGGAAGAAAGTGATCATAGTGTTGAATGGATATATTTTCAATCCGTTCACTATTCCTACAATGGATTGTAGGGAGATGGGCGGCTGAATGTATTCTCTTTCAGTAGGTCATGCTGGGGTTATATTTAGGTCTAAAAGATCCTGATTGGACAGCCATAATTTTGAGAATCAGTTATTGATTAATTTTAATAGAAAGATTTGTAAATAAACATGTGTTATGCTGTGTATCTTTTATTTTTATCTTTATTTAACTAGTTTTTTATAATTTACCGTGGATTTATTTTAATATTTGAGACAATTAATAATTATTTGTTACATTATACTTTCAGTACTGTACCTGAGTACTTTATGAATGAGATACTCTTTTACTTCTACTTGAGTAACATTTTGCCAGTGTAACAATACTTATACTTAAGTAGCAAACTCCAGTACTTTTTACAACTCTGTGTATATATAATGTTACATCATTTGCAATTTCACTTTCTTGCAAGATCTCCTTTAAAATTTACGGGTGGCAGAACACGTTACCCCTCTGCCTCCATCTGTACTGTGCACCACTTACATCAAAGGAGATTTTACACATTTGGACAATTACCAAGACATATTTCTTTACTCTTCTAACACACAATTCTATCTACACTATCAACGATGATTTTAAGCAATGAGTTGTCCATGCATGGAATCTATCATAAGTATTGCAACAATATACTGACTGTATGTTACTTAACAGAAAACTGACAGGTGATATCACGTTCACTTCCCTGTAAAAAGGGTCTTCGTCAAACATATAGTAGCATGAAGTCTATTATAAGGAACATTTCATATCTTCATATCAATGATGGATCGGTTTTTGTGTGTGTATTTAATATACTGTAAATATTGTTGTTATTATCATGTATATGTGACGCTTCACTTACCGTAGCTTGCTGTTATGTAATCACTGGCTTATGTTGTTACACATCCGACCTCCCCATTATATTATGAGATATACAGGTAAATGGAGACACAGACACGCACAGCAGTTTATTATATGGTTGGCTTCATTTAATAAACACGATATTAGCATCACTCCTCATCATCCATCAGTTGCATCATATTACTGTAATAAATAACCTCCCTCCCATCCAGTGTGTCTAGTCTTGACCCGAATCACCCTGCTTCATTACCAAGTCTACATTGTGTGTTGGTGGGGAGGTTCGGTGCAGTGACTCACCTCAACGGTACCTCCTTATTGTAGTTGTGGTGGCCCTAATACAGGTATACCTACTTATGGTAGTTGTGGCCTAAATATATTTACTTATGGGAGTTTTGGTCCTAACTCCTTATATACTGTACCTAATTATGGTAGTTGTGGTGGTTGTGGTCCTAATATAACTACTATGGTAGTGGTTAGAATGCCTGCAACTGCCTAACTTACACTATAGATGGGCAAAGGGTGACATAATTGAAGTTTATAAACATTTCAATGGGCACTGCTCGGTCGAATGTCCATAACTGGAGCTGGCTTACGTCCGCCAGACAAGTGAGAGGGCAAACATTTTTGAAGTGAGAATTGTAACTTTTGGAACATATCTGCCAGTGTTGTGACAGCACCGAGTGTGAACTCTTTCAAGACAAGACTTGACCAACACTGGAGCAGGAACAGATTCAGGAGCCAGTGCATGCCCAGTACTTGCCAACAGTACGTAACAGAGACATGACTGACTGCCCAAGTGACTAACGAGCTGATCAGTGGTGAAGAGGATAAAGGTAAACAGTAAAAGTAGAGGTTGTGGTCCTAATATACCATTACTGTACCTACTTATTGTAGTTGTAGAGGTTGTGGTCCTATTATAACTACTTATGGTAGTTGAGGTTGTGGTCTTGATATATCTACAGTAGCTACGTAAGTTGTGGCTGTGTTGCCTGTGGGTCTGGTATTTACAATGGTGTGGCCAAGTTGAATATTGTGAATCCTCTTGAGTATTCTACTTCCAAGTGTTACTTTTGTACTACATTATAACATATTTATTCCATCAGACAAGGCAGCTCATTATTTTTTTTTTGTATACATTCATCTTTCTGAGAATCTGTCCTTTAAATAATTATCCTCTTTGTCAACAGTGTACAAACTTATGATACTCAAGATCATCTTGCTATGTAAAACTTTTACCATGGACTTCACTATAAAGTTTACATAACCAGTATGCACTCTCATATGGTTTATCAGACAGGTCAGCCCTTGAAAATTTCACATTATAAATTTTTTCTCACCAGTGTGTACAGCCGTATGGCGAGTCAGTGCACCGTTGCTGAAGTAACTTTTACCACATACTTCACACTTGAAGTTTTTCTCACCAGTATGTATAATCATGTGCTCCTTCAGAGAACTTTCTCTATAATAACTTTTATCACAGTCATCACACTTGAATTTCTTCTCGCCAGTGTGCACAACCATATGCCGATTTAGAGTAACCTTACTGGAATAGGTTTTACCACACTCTTCACAATTAAAATTGTTGTCCCCAGTATGTACAAGCATATGCTCTGTTAGAGAGCCCTTTCTGTAATAACTTTTACCACACTCTTCACACTTATATTTTTTCTCACCAGTGTGAACATCCATATGAGTCAGTAGTGCACTTCTGTCTTTAAAACATTTATCACACACTTCACATTTGAAATTCTTCTCTGAGTGTACTGCCTGATGTTTTGCCACAAGATGTTTTGTTTTAAACCATTTATGACATATTTCACACTGGAAGTTCTTCTCACCAGTGTGTACGAGCTGATGGTCCTTGAGGGAACACTTTCTGGAGAAACATTTGCCACACTCTTCACATCGAAATTTTTTCTCACCAGTGTGTACTTTCATATGACTCAGCAGTGTGTTCCTCTGTTTAAATCCTTTACCACACTCTTCACATTTGAAGTTTTTCTCATCAGAGTGTAGTGCCATATGAGACATCAGTTCACTTTTCCTGTAAAAACTTTCCCCACATTCTTCACACTTTAAGTACTTGTTACAAGTGTGGACAGCCACATGATTTTCAAGGTCATTTCTTCTGTAGAAACTTTCACCACACAATTTACATACCAAATTCTTCTGAGCAGTGTGGATGGCCATATGCTCTTTCAGAGTTCCCTTTCTATAAAAACTTTTACCACATTCTGTACAAGTGAAATTTCTCTGGCCAGTGTGCACAATCATATGAGTGTTCAGAGTGCTCTTCCACATGAATCTTTTACCACACTCTTCACACTTAAAATTTTTTATGCCAGAGTGCACAGTCATATGTTTCTTCATATTACTTTCTAAACCAAAACTTTTACCACAGAGTTCACACTCAAAATTTCCTGCATTGTGTACAACCATATGTCGCTTCAGTGTGCTCTTAAAGTAAAAGCACTTACCACACACTTCACACTTAAATTTTTTCTCACCAGTGTGCACAACCATATGCTGCCTCACAGTACTCCTGAAATAAAAACTTTTACCACATTCTTCACACCTAAAATTTTTCTCACCAGAGTGTACAGCCTTGTGATAAGCCAGAGCTTTATTGTTGTTATAACTTTTACCACACTCTTCACACTTAAACTTCTTCTCACCAGTGTGGACAGCCATGTGTTCCTTTAGGGCACTCTTTTGGTAATAGCTTTTACCACAAACTTCACACAGAAATTTTTTCTCACCAGTGTTCACAACCATTACTTTTTCTCCACGAGTGTGCACAGTCATATGCCGCGTCAAATTACTCTTTCTGTCAAAGTTTTTACCACACTGTTCACACCTAAACTTTCTCTCACCAGTGTGAACTGTCATGTGTCTCTTCAGGTGACCCTTCAAGTGAAAATTTTTGCCACAGTGTTCACACTTGTATTTCTTCTCACCAGTGTGCACAGCCATATGTCTCTTCAACTGAGTTTTTAAGTAAAAGCTTTTCCCACACTCTTCACATTTAAAATTCTTCTCTCCAGAGTGAACAGCCACATGATAATCAAGAGCAGTTTTATTGTTGTAACCTTTTCCACACTCTGTACATTTAAATCTTTTCTCACCAGTGTGCATAGACCTGTGATACTCCAATTCAATTTCCATAAAAAAACTCTCATCACATTCTGCACACTTAAAATTTTTCTCACTCTGCACAGTCATATGTTGTGTCATATCATATTTCCTGTAAAAGTTTTCGTCAAACTCTTCACACTTTATGTCTTTCTGATCCATGTCCTCTTCCCAACAATCATGTGTTTGTAAATACTCATTACTGCCAAAAATTTTACCACACTCAGTGCATGCATAATTCTTTTCATCACTATGCACAGCTACTTGATCCAGAAAGTGAGCCATTTTTACACACTTTCCCACATTCTGTAAGTCTTAACCATCAGGGCACACATTATTCAAATTACTATATTCATCTTTACATACTATTATATTTCACATACTATACAAATACTAACTTCACTTTCACATTTCCAACTTAAGCCTTGAATATTTGTGCAGTAACTTACATTTATCATATTTACAATGTTCTCCTGAAGGTGTATGCTGTACTAATCTTATTCTTCAGTTGTTAGGAATATTTCTAAACTAGTTGTGCCTTTTTTGGGGAGAGGTAGTGTACTGAACTAACATGCAACAACCTACTTGAGGGTCTGGCAGTACACAACCACCCAGAACCTACATCTCTTGAGGATATTTTATGATCTTTGTAGAGCTTTAACACTAGGTTGTGATGGGAGATATTTGTCTGGGATGGCCTCCTGATGCTGCCATAATATTCCTCTGTTAGCTGGATCCTCTCACATGCTTTATGTCTGAAATAAAATGGATAGTGTTAGGGTGCAAGACTTAATCTAAATTTAAATTTAATACCTATACTTTAATATTTTTTTGGACACAAGTGTATACAATGCAGTGCAAGTATGGTATTTATTTTATTTTTTTACTTGTGTGTGTGTTTGGGTCATACTAAATACTGAATGGGACCAAAAATTAGTGGAACCTAACGTAATGTAACCGAAAAGGGCCAAGAATTTGGCTGTTAGGTTCAACTGGCTCTTGGTTGTTCTTGGTATTTACTGTACAGTAGTATCATCGTGTGTGGGTGTTTGACTCTCACAATAAAAACTGCCATAAAATGTATAACAGCAATGTAAGTAATAAGATAACATTACCATAAAAAATAAACAGATGCTGTGGACAAGTGTCACATTGGCTAAAATTAAAAAAATAAAATAAAATAAAATAAAGACCATTCATTTGTTCTGGGGATTTTTGTGAACTGTTAGAAATTGGGGATCACCCAAGGACAACTCCCTCCCCCAACTCTAGCTGTTGCTGAGTTATAATAATTCACTGGGGATCATATCAATGCATTCCATCTAACTTTTCAAAATGTAGCGACAAAATCTAACGATACTTTTTTGAGGGGACTGTACAATACAGTACAGTTGTACCCCGCTTTACGCAGTTTCACTTAACGCGATTTCTCATATACGCGGTGCCTCGCCAGAACCGAACTTTCACTTAACGCGGTTCATCTACCCATATACGTGCAGTGTCCGGCTCGAGACGCTATTTTTAGATTCGCGCCACCCGCTCCCGCCTGCCTCGCCCCTCCCTCCCCTCCGCCTCCATCCCCGTATGCCGACCCATCTCTTCTACTAACGTAAGTGTTACACCTAACTTTTATTTTTCCTAACCTAACCTTTATTTTTCCTAACTTACCCTTTATTTTTCCTAACCTAACCTCTTCTATATTACTTGTTTGTTCATACCATCATAAAGTTAAGATAAAATTTTTACTGCAACATAGTTGTGTGTCGTCAAAAAGTGGAGTTTGGGGGTCGGGCCAGTCTCTATTGGAATTAATCCCATATGTTCTGTTGTTCACTTAACGCGGTACCCTGTGGGTTCAATTGACCGCGTAAAGCGGGGTACAACTGTATGAAAAAATTAATCATCTGGTTTGAACTTTCAATCATATTACAGGAAAATAATTACAGTGCATTATTCAGTTCAGCTCTTGAAATCTTTTTTGTGCTGTAATTTTTTGACAAGTCCTTCACCAGTATGATTATACATACATTGCAAATCATGTGGGGAACAGCAAACAAGTTATTTTGAAAACTAATAAAGAAACAGACCACATGAATCATTCAAATCTAAGTTACATTACTCTTTGTTAGTTAGATGAAAAGTTAGGTTGGTTTAGGTTAGGTTTTTGTCATCAGCTTCATGCAAGACTTTCAAACTCACTTCTGCCTTGTTCCATCATATGATTTGTACACAAAGCATTAAAACAAATGTATCAATGAAAATCCTGTCAAAGATTATGAGGAATGAAAACCAGAATTAAACTGATTCTTCACCTAATATAGGATTACTTGTGTCCCTGGTACAGAAGCAATGATTAATTTCGTTTCTGGGTTTGTTCTCAAGGAATCTCAGATGAATAAGGAAAATTATCACCAATGCATAGACATACATATTTATTTCCAATCAGATATTCTGAAGAACACTTATCTTCATCATCAATGGCACATAGAAGTAAAGAAACATATCAGTGCAACACAGTAAAATTAAAACATATAATATATTCTTGTTTAAAAAATACAAATAATTTTGTGTAAAACATTACATAAAATGAAATGATTAACTGTAATTTTATAGGATACAGATTAAAAAATATAATCGAAACACTAAAACTACAAAGGGGTAATTAAACATATAATTGAATAATACTGAATAATCAAGTACTCAAGAGAAATGTTGTTAACAATCGTTAGTCAAAATCAAACCAAAAAAGGACCACTCACGTATTGATAAGTGACAAACCACCTATTGGGTATAAAGATGTCGTGCTCTGGATGTGTTGTTTAGTTCTGGTTTCATATTCGAAATGTCAAGGGATTTCATTATTACAAGGTCCAGCCTGGAAAGTGTAGATGTTAGTATTTTAAAATTTTGGTTGGTAAAAGTGTTTATCTGCCTCGGAACGTTCTCTGACAGCAGAGTGAGACGGTCTACTGAATGAATATTGTAGTTCAGACGTGTGAATAAATACCCAGTACATAATGACAAAGGCATTAGTATAGCATGGTACAGTACAGTATAGTACAGTACAGTACAGTACAGTACATTACAGTACAGTACAGCACAGCACAGCACAGTACAGTACAACATAGTATAGTATAGTATAGTCAGTTGAGCAATGGCAACATTTTTCATTTACTGTACTTAAATTATTTGTTAAGAATGGTTACTATTTGTATTCTTTTATTATATATTAATATATAAACAAAACACTAACTATAAAGGAAACGATAACACACAGTAATATATGTTTTGTTAAGGAAGGTGAGTTTAATTTAGGTTAGGTTAGTTTAGGGTATGTTGGTTTAGTAAGTTTAGTATAGTAAAGTCTAGGTAAGGTTAGTTTAGTGTAGTTTAGTTTAAGTTAGGTAAGGTTAATTTAGTTTAGTTTAGGCTATGTTACTTTAGGATAGGTAAGGTTAGTTTATAGTAGGTTAGGTTAGTTTAGTTTATGGTAGGTTAGGTAAGATTAGATAAGGTTAGATTAAGTCAAAATACCTTCATGTACTAGCTTTCAGTGATCATTAACTGACAGTAGACAGACAATCTGGGAATACTGTATGTGACATTGTAAGAAGAGTGAAAAATGAAATGGGGATCACTGGTGTTAACAAAGTGAGAATGAGCCAAGTAACAAGGAAAATTTAATAATTAGTGTTTAGGTACAGAAACAGAACCATCTTAAACTAATCAACACAATACTAAGATCCTTCAGTCACAGTACAAGAAACATCTGCATTCTAAATATTGAAACCAATTTTGATTTTACCCATATTATATTTTATTGTTCATGTGACAAATCATCAATAACATCAATCAATCAAGGCAGCTTCTGTTCACTTAGTTTCCGGAGGCCAGCCACCAGTAAAGTAGACATGGAGGCCACAAGAACAGTAGGTGTATAAGTAGCAAGGTAGGTATGGAGGGCTGCCGCCAGGTATACAAACTCAAGCCATCACTACAACTGACATGGAGGAACCCTTACTCAACTTGGCGAACAGCGGTCACAATATAATAATTCTAACTCACACTAAGGAAACAGGGGCCATCCATAAAGTACGTTTTGAATGATTTAAAAATCAAAATTATGAGCTGTATGTGTCAGGTGTCCCGGTAAGTTTACCTTCATATTTACTAGTTATTGTATCTTCCTGCTTGTGTTGTACCTCCCTGTACTTGTTACTGTATTTGCTGTACCTTCCTCTACTTGTCACCCCAACTGATGTATAATTGGAGGAATAAAAGTCAATCACCAATATGTCAACAAGCTGAGGACGGCCACCATCACCGACCCCAGCCAACTGGGGAGGGGGGCCGAGCCGCCTAGTGGGGATTGGGGAAACAACAACCAGTGTGGCCAGTCTAGGCTCCTACCACCAGTGTTATTATGGTGAGTATAATAATTCAACAAAATTGTCATACAGGATTACAATTGGATGAGCTTTTTACGGTGAATGGTGCACGTAGGCCGGTGAACGGTAATAAAGTCACAGGAAAAAAAGTCACAATTTTGGCTAGGAAAAAAGTCACAGGAAAAAAGACACATTTAAGGTAATAAAACTAAAAATATTTTAAAACAGTTATTAACCGACAATACATGACTTTTACATATTGACAACACAATTTATATATGATGCACGTAGGTTAGGTGACTTTTTTCTGACTTTCTGAATTTTTCCTGTGACCTTTTTTCTGTGACTTTTTTCCTGGATTCCGTAGGCCATGGGAGTGCAGATTTCCTGCGTGTCCGTATCCATACAGTGCAGGTAAACAACATTCGTAAGCAGTATGGCAACTTGACCAAGGATAGCTGACAAAGCTGTCAGGTGCTTCTTTTCAAGAGGGTCCTGTCATTATAGTGTCGTCATGCGAAGCCCCCTACCACCAGTGTTGTCATGCCAGGTCAGGGTATCGTTTTCTTTTTTACTTTTATCCTCTTCGCCACTGATCGGCTTGTTAGCCGCTTGGGCGATCGGTCACGACTCTTTTCCTTTATATTCTTCACCAAAAGGTCGGCTCGCTAGCCGCCCGGGCGATCGGTCACGTCTCTGTCACGCACTGTTGGCAAATACTGGGCATGCACCGGCTCCTGAATGTACCTGAACCCGCTCCAGTGTTGGTCAAGTCTTCTCTTGAAAGAGCTCACACTCGGTGCCGTCACAACACTTTCTGGTAGATTGTTCCAAGAGTTTACAACCCTCACTCCGAAAAAGTTTGCCCTCACGGTTTTCCGGACTTGCGGCTTCTTCAATCTTGAGCTGTGACCCCTTGTGGGGCGAGCGTCCGCCAGCTCCAAGTAAGGACACTCAACTGAGTAGTGCCCCCTGAGATGCTTATAAACCTCAACTAGGTCCCCCCTTGCCCGTCTGTAGTATAAGCTAGGCAAGTTCAGGCGCTCCAATCTCGCAGGGTAGCTGAGATGCCGAAGTGCAGGCACCAGCTTGGTGGCCCTCCTTTGAACATTTTCAACCAACTGACAGTCCCTAGCATATCTCGGGGACCAGATGGGGTGACAGTACTCCAGATGGGGAAGCACTTCACTCCTGAAGATCGTCACGAGGGACGGACCGTCTAGATATCTGAACGACCTTCTTATAAGACCCAATAATTTATTTGCCTGATTTACCTTCTTCTCACAATGGCCCGAGAACTTCAGCTCATTGTCAACATACACACCTAGGTCCTTCTCACACACAGTCTCAACTAGTACATTTTCTTCATCCCGTTGGGACATATGGTACGCCTCCTTACCGTTGGTACGCCCCAGGTGCATCCTCTTACACTTCGTGACATTGAATCTCAGCAGCCATTCCTTCGACCATTCCTGGAGCCCACAGAGGTCCTTCTGCAGCTCTTCACAGTCCGCTTGGTTCTTAATTTCCCGAAATAACTTGGCGTCATCGGCAAACATTTGTATGGAGGAGTGTACAACGTCAGGCATATCATTTATGAAACAAACAAACAACAGCGGGCCCAATACACTACCCTGCGGTACCCCACTTGTTACAGGTACAGATGACGATTTCGTGCCATTAATCACCACACATTGCTTGCGGTCATGTAGAAAGTCTTCTATCCACGCTAGGACATTTCCCCGAATTCCGTACCCTTCCAGTTTGATTTTCAGCCTTTCGTGGGGTACACTGTCGAAAGCCTTGGCAAAATCTAGGTAAATATTGTCGATATTACCACCCCGTTCTAGAATATGGGTCCAAATATCCAATACCTTGAGCAATTGTGTCAAGCAAGAGCGCCCCGGCATAAAACCGTGTTGGCAATCTTTTACAAGGTTGTTTCGTAGTAGATGTTCCATCGCTGCATCTCTGATAATACTCTCAAGTACTTTACATATTATGCTGGTCAGGCTCACCGGTCTATAGTTGTTCGTGGAGTGCCTATCGCCCTTCTTGAAGATAGGACTCACATAAGCCACTTTCCATTCACTGGGGACCATTTGTTCATCCAGGCATTTACAAAACAGAATCTTCAGGGGCTCTGCAAGCTCGTTGCACAGCTCCCTTAGCACTCTAGGATGCACCATGTCAGGTCCAGGACTCTTATGGACCTTTAGCCTGGACAGTTTATTTCTAATACCCTCTTCTGTGAACACAATGTGGGTCAGTGCTGTGTCGAACCGTCTGTCCTCAAACGCAGGAAGGTTAGTTGCATCCTCTCTTGTGAACACTGAGGAAAAGAAGCTGTTCAATGCCTCAGCTTTATCCTGGTCAGAATCTGCGTAACTACCATCTTCAAGCCTCAGGTCTGATACTCCTACTCGCGTTTTCAATTTCGACTTTGCATAGCGGTAAAACGCCTTTGGGTTTGACTTGACCTCGCGTGCAACCAGCCTTTGGAACTCCTTTTCAGCCCTCCTACACTCTATCTTTGCTTGGTTTCTGGCTCTTGCATACATCCTCCTGTCTTGCTCATCGTTTGACCCAACCCACGTCTTGAATTTCTGGGTTTCCCTCGTTTTCTGAGGGATGAGATGTTCCAACTCATCACCTTCACCTCTTTGTATCTTTGTCTGGTATTAACACTGGCTATTGTGTACTAATTTGGAAAGAAGCAGAAAGCACTGTATGATTTTTTTTCATGTCCATGCTTTTAATGTTTTTCAAACATTCCTGGATCATGTACTGCTCACCAGTTGATCTATTTCAGTGGCAGCCATCAACACACTTTGGTTACACTTGTAGTGGATTCCTCCCCTACAAACGCTGTTAGTCGCTGAGTAGCCGACCCGCGAATTCCCCAGTGTATGCCTCGTTGTCTCGGTCAACCAGCGCCGCCTTACATGACGGAGGTCAACTATTAAGCCACGCCTACCTCCGCTATATAAGACCTGACCTCGTGGTGACCTGACTCTCTTTCTACCTACAGCCAGTCTTCAAGCAACACCTCCTCCTCCTCCTGCCTGGCGGCCCTCGCTCCCGCCAGCGACCATGGCGACCCACAAGCTGGTCCTCCTCTGAGCACCCTCACCAACCAGCTCTCTCTACATCACGCTTGTAACCATGCTGCCTTCCCAGCACCAAGCTACATTGTACATCCAATACAACATGTATACAGAGGGCACATTGTGAGTTTCCTTTCTCCATCCCACACAGGCTAACCGGGCGTGGGCGTGGGCGGGCGGGTCGTGTTGCGTCTCTGTAACAAAGCGTGTTCGGCATTCGGGCCTTCGGTGTAGAGCGGCAGAAATTGGACAGTGATTACATAAGATCGTCTTAGTGATGTGAAAGTGTAAATCGATGTAGGACCTTTAATGCTAGACGCGATTGTATTTTTGAAAACTCAATTTCCACCGAGTTGGAGGTACAGCCAGGGTCACAGGCCTATAACCACACAATCACTGCCACATGACAAAGCTTTTATTTTATTTTATTTTTTTAAGGTGTTGTGGTCACGGCTGCGATAAAGGCCAACCAGGGAGTGTAGTACTGTGATTTTAGGTAAACCAGTTCATAGTGTCATCAGTGACCGCAGAAGAGACTGTAAATAACTTAAAGTGAATACATATTGGCAATCAAGCTGGTAAGGACAACTGCCAGCCTATTCGTGTCATAGGTGCCACAGAGACTTTAAATTTTATTTTGTTTGTGTGCTTTTTCAAGGACTGAAACTGTGTTTATAATACACCACTCACAGGGATATACAGTGTACACAGTGATAGTTCATAGTGTCATCAGTGACCGCGGAAGTTGTAAATAACTTAACGTGAGCGCTCACTAGCAAGCAAGCTGGAAAGGCACCGTGCCAGCTGAAACCAAGTCGTGTCATAGGTGCCACAGAGACTTTAAATTTTATTTTGTTTGTGTGCTTTCTCAAGGTCTGAAACTGTGCCTACAATACACCATTCACAGGGAGATACAGTGTGCGCAGTTACAGACGACAACTCTATAGGCAACAGAGAGTAGCTAAGTACTTTTTCTCTCTTTATTTTTTTAAATAGGTGTAAATCTATACACAGTCTGCACCCGCCCCCCCACAACAACAACAACAACCATGAGTTTGATATGTGATTACTGCAGGGAGACGTCGGATATGGAGGATATAGGCCTGACTAATGCACAGTTTAGGAAGTTACTAACTGCCGTAAAGCATAATGGCTGTTGCTGGTATTGCCCTGGCTGCATAGTCAAGGTGAATGAAGCGATTGCAAGCCATAAGGGAACGAGTTCTCTAGGGACGAAAATAGATGAAGCTGGAGCCCTGCTGGTTGACAAACTGGAGCAAGTTGGGAAAGAAATCCTTGCTAAGACTGAGGAAGTAGCTGAGAGGGTATTAGAAATAAACTGTCCAGGCTAAAGGTCCATAAGAGTCCCGGCCCTGACATGGTGCATCCTAGAGTGCTAAGAGAGTTGTGCAACGAGCTTGCAGAGCCCCTGAAGATCCTGTTTTGTAAATGCGTGGATGAACAAATGGTCCCCAATGAATGGAAAGTGGCTTATGTGAGTCCTATCTTCAAGAAGGGCGATCGTCACTCCACGAACAAATATAGACCGGTGAGCCTGACCAGCATAATATGTAAAGTACTTGAGAGTATTATCAGAGATGCCGCAATGGAACATCTAATACGAAACAACCTTGTAAAAGATTGCCAACACGGTTTTATGCCGGGGCGCTCTTGCTTAACACAATTGCTCAAGGTATTGGATATTTGGACCCATATTCTGGAATGGGGTGGTAATATCGACAATATTTACCTAGATTTTGCCAAGGCTTTCGACAGTGTACCCCACGAAAGGCTGAAAATCAAACTGGAAGGGTACGAAATTCGGGGAAATGTCCTAGCGTGGATAGAAGACTTTCTACATGACCGCAAGCAGTGTGTGGTGATTAATGGCACGAAATCGTCATCTGTACCTGTAACAAGTGGGGCACCACAGGGCAGTGTATTGGGCCCGCTGTTGTTTGTTTGTTTCATAAATGACATGCCTGACGTTGTACACTCCTCCATACAAATGTTTGCCGATGACGCCAAGTTATTTCGGGAAATTAAGAACCAAGCGGACTGTGAAGAGCTGCAGAAGGACCTCTGTGGGCTCCAGGAATGGTCGAAGAAATGGCTGCTGAGATTCAATGTCACGAAGTGTAAGAGGATGCATCTGGGGTGTACCAACGGTAAGGAGGCGTATCATATGTCCCAACGGGATGAAGAAACTGCACTAGTTGAGACTGTGTGTGAGAAGGACCTAGGTGTGTATGTTGACAATGAGCTGAAGTTCTTGGGCCATTGTGAGAAGAAAGTAAATCAGGCAAATAAATTATTGGGTCTTATAAGAAGGTCGTTCAGATATCTAGACGGTCCGTCCCTCGTAACGATCTTCAGGAGTGAAGTGCTTCCCCATCTGGAGTACTGTCACCCCAACTGGTCCCCGAGATATGCAGTACAGCCCAAAGCAATAATACATTAGCATCCCAACTTGAAAAACAATGTAATCTAAACCTACAACCCAGAATGCAGCCACTGTACCACGTAGGTGTATGTGCAGGCAACTGTACATCATTGATAAAATCAATTAAATTCCTACCTGGATGTGGTACACTTCGTATTTTGGTTCAGCTTACCTGGGCTTTTATGTAATGTACTGTACTAATCAATTCTACTGTACTTATCTCAATGGTGTCCTGTAATGTATTATTTTCCTTCATCTTTTCTAAGTACTGCATGTGGATAAACCTTAAGAGAATGGAACAATCTTCACTGAAACAAGGCATAAACAACGCAGAATGTATACAATGTACCATTTATATTTCTACTCGCGAGGATAATTTGGTGCACAAACGTTAAGGTTCAACTTTATTGAGAATAATGTATTGTCATTTAGTACCTGGCAGACTGATCAGGGAATTATACAACTGCAGCAGCTTGGTCCTGACACACACACACACACCAGAACTTGCCTTTAACATGTTGTGTGTTGTAATTAACGTGTGCTACTACATGTAGTGTGTGATATTTAACAGGTGCTACCACATAGTGTGTGGTATTTAACATGTGCTACCACATGTAATGTGTGGTATTTAACATGTGCTACCACATCTAGTGTATGGTATTTGAGTTGAGTCGATCGTTTCTGCTCAGTGTCAATATCAAATCTCTTAAGGCAACTGAAGATAATTGTTGTGCAAGTATTGTGGAATTGTTGTGATCAATATAAAGTGAAAAGACTCAGCATATATTCGAAGTGAGAAGTGCAGCTGTGAAGACATTACCCTGTTAACAGTGTTGTGAAGAATTAGTGACTATTAAAGAAGACTACAGTGCACAAGTGTGTTTTTGTGACCTGGTGGAAATCTACCTGCCTGTTGTTTGCCTGCACAGAGTGTACACTGAAACCGATCGTCGGGAAATTACAGGAGACTGACGGGACAGCTCGTGATAATTAGACGACACTTGTGATATATCTACTGCTTCTGTATATACGAGCCTGGCCGCTGGGTAACCAGTGGTGGAAGCTGGGTAAGCGGTGAAAGAAGGGTCGTAACAGTATGTAATAACCTAGATTAGTCGTTTAAATAACTTAGGTGTTACAACGCAGTAATTCAGTATAACAACGACGTCTGGGAAGGAGGCTTATAGAGTGAAGTTTAAGTAGTGTATGTATAGAAAGGAAACACTGCAATTATCATCATTATTTTTAAGTATAGCAGCTTGTACGTATGAAGAATTTTGTGGAGATTCAAAGAAGCAAAAGTATCACCAGACAGAGCTCGATCCTGGCTGAATTACACAAAATTGCATTATTTTTCACCATCATCTCCCGGTATTACTAGCTCACTAAATAACCTTCGTACTTTATAACTGTCGCGTCAGTAAAGTGCTAACTGTACATTACGTCGCCCATAAGATCAGCCAACGATGACAGTCTTTCCGGCCCTGAGTGATGCCTCTTATCTCGCATGAAATTAAATTAATTCCTGAAATTAAATTCAATCAAGTTACAATAGAAGTGGATCCGTTATGCTATGAAACCAAAGGATCTGTCATGTGAATTCACTGAATTTTTTTCCATGACAATTCTTGAATTATGAAAATAAACGAAATTCGTTGCGAATACTGTATAGCATGTGCTGTGGGTGGGTCCGGGACCAGCCCCACTAGAGAAAGTTTGTTCTCACGCTCTAGCTCTCTCCGTCGCTGGCTTTTGGTGGCGTCCATTCCTAGCTGGCTCGTTACGTGCGCTACTGGCCGATCTCATCCTCCTGTTGAGTTGCTTACACTCCTTGCTACTCACAGTAAGTTTATTTTATTCATCATTATACCAGTTAACACTTAATAGCAGTATGTTGGGAATTCCGGGCCAAGGAGTATTGCGTTGCCGTGGTTCAATAGTGTGGTTAGGATTTGCCTTATATACGGCGTTGCTGTCCTGGTGCCCGAAAACATGGTGTGCATTTAGGTCACCTAGAAAATATGCTGGTATAGTTCTTCTCATCAGCCTGAGCATGTCTGCTAGTGAAAATATGGGTCTTCTCGGAGGGAGGTAACAGGTGCCGATAATGATGGGTCCTGTTGAGCTGTTCATTTCAATGGCCAGAAATTCTTCTTGAAATGGATCGTGTATCTTGTGTTGTCTTCCGTTTAATGGCTATGGCAATTCCATAATGTAGTGGGTCTTGGCTGTTTTTATAGTTGACTGTGTAGTTAAATATTTTGAGTTTTTCTGAGTTTTTTTTTACCATGCGAATTTAGGAGGATAATATCTGGGTCTACTATTATTTAGTTCGCTTGCTCTCTGTGGGATCCATGCTAAAACATTGTGCTGGATTATTTTAAGTGTTTATTTTAAAGGTTGGTGCCTAGGGCTGGTTTGCGCCATCTTCCTTTCTTAATTAGTGTTTCAATGTGCGGAGTACCATAGGTTGCTTTGCAGGTAGTGGTGTAGTGACTTTTTCGAAGACCTTCGTTGTTTCTTTGGTAAACTTTGTTACAGCTGAATAAATTCCTGTTTGGTGTTCCCGTGTCTTCTCCCTCTCCTTCTCCTTTTGGCTAATTATTGCTTTTCGTGTGGGGCAGCGAGTAGCCAGGGTTCTGTGCTCTCCTTCACGGTTTAAGCATTTGGGGGTATCTTTTTTTACATTCCCTGAAAGTGTGCCCCTTGTTACCGCATTCTGAGCAGTACTTTGTGTCCCTGTTAGGGCAGTCTGTAGCCGTGTGTGTATATTGATAGCAGTTCCAGCATTGAGTAAGGGGGAAGAATTCCTCCTGCTCCACTTGGCTGCTGCTGACGTGGTACTAGGAGAGGTAAACGCCAAGAGTTTTAAACACTCTCTTCCGGTGAAGAGGGCTCGTCGTATTTCAACCCGAGTTAAAGAAAATGAATCCTGAAGGACACCACACTTGACGGGGTGGTGTGGCGGTAAAATTAACTAATTTCACTGTAGTTAATACGGTTTACTACAAAAAATAAGATGTAACAAGGTTCTCTTAAGATATAAATAAATTAATAAGAACAAAATTATATTGATATATAGTTAAGTTTAAACATAATTCTTAAATATACTCATATATCTCGTTTAGCAACCTATTGTAGCGTCAACTTATTGACAATTCCTGCAACTAAGTGAACGCTTCTTCCTTCTTCCCTTCAGCCAAATGCAGGAAAATACTAACGCCACCTTGAACAGCGAATCATAAGGGAGGGTTGCTGCATTGACCCTGAAAGTTAATGTCATGAGTTGGCGGAACTTGGAGGCGAGCAGCTGGGTTGATGGAGGGTTGGATGGTGTTGCTTGCCTTAACTGGTGACGCCACCCGAGCCAACGCATCGACCATCTTTTGTGTACCGTACAGTCCAACGGTTCACTAGTACAACAATACATATGTTTAATTGGTTGCTTCACATTATTGGAACTGGATTCAGAAAGAGTCGTAAAGTTAAAATTTGCTCATTTTAGTGTACAGTATAAGGGAAAGTTTCTTGTAATGAAAGTCTACTCACACACGCCATCATGCCATCCATTAGTATGAGGAAAAAATATCACTTACAAATCTCTCAATAAGTAACAATCAACATATCCAGAGAACCTTGTGAACAAAATTCTATACACAAATAACTTAAACCTAGCAGAAATTTAATCTTAGAGAAATGAAGGTAACGAGACAACGTTTCTAGTGGACCAGAATAACTTTAACCCCGCGGGAATGACCAGGTGGTGTTGTTGACATGCAGAGGAAAGCATTTTTGTTTAACCGTTGTCTATTGTTGGGTTTACGTTAAAACTACAGTGAAGCATTTGTTGAAATGCTGTTATTAGTTTCTTCTTCAGTCGTGAATTGGACAGAAAAAATATAAAAAAGAGATAAAAATAGTTAAGAGGATCCAATTAAGAATAAAACTTTTTCTTCAGCGTGAAGCCAACTTTTCATATTCACTTGCATACTTAAGTTGGACAGTTGAGACACACATACACGTCATAAATGAAAGGGGTTGTACAGCCTGACCATTATAATTATTTTTTTTTATTTTCATAATTTAACGCCGGACACGAGCAGACCTACCTCCCCCAAAAGCGTCTACCGTAGAACATGAACTACCCCTATATTGTACTATACAAGTGAACCTGATCAGTCTTTGGTAAGGGGAAGCCTTGATGAATAATTTTGACGACACTCGCCCGATCTGTTCCTGCTTATTGTATTTGTGTGTAAAACAACAAATGATAAGTGCCACTAATACGATCGAAAATTGTAAAAACAAGTCATGAAGCCACATCCAGCGAACATGACACAGTGGGCGAATCCCCTTTTCATCATAAAATTCCAAAACTGTTTTTGTTTAGTAAAAAGAAATTACTAGTGATCTCAGAATATGTCCTAATATCAAATGCACATGGCTTCAAAATGGCCTTAAAAAACAATATTGGTCAGATTAAAAAAAATCGGAGGGGGGAGCCTTACAGTGCCCCAAATAAAAAGAGCAGGGTGGGCTCACTTTGTTCGCCTTGTTCCACCACTCATAACTTCTTGGATTCCCACCCTTTTGATATTTCTGGATCCACCCCTATGACACTAAACTTTCCATTTACCAGTCAACCCACAGAGCGTCAGTCACCTAGGACCGGCGTCACATACCGCAGGTAGACTGAGACAGTCAACCCACGGCGTCAGTCACGTGATCACCGACAAGGTTCTCAGTGGGCTCGTGGGTGACAATAATTAAGGCAACATTCTCTCACTAGTAAGTAATCTTGTGGTTCTCTTTCCTGTAAAACGAGGGAGAGAGAGATCGAGAGGTCACCGCTCTTGTAAATGCTGGATAGCGACCATTATCACTTTCTACACCTGCAAGAATGTTATGGTCGTGAGTGTTACAAGATGATGTTTCCTCGGAGGGAAATTCCAAATGCACGCTCTACAACACGCCTGGCACGTGACAATCTGTAATATATTTTTTTCTTTGTTCAGAGCATTCCTAGGAAAGGGTTTCAACAAATATAATACACAGAGTGGGTAGGCCTCGTAGGATACATTCTGGTGTACAAGTGAAATTTCTTTGGATCTTGGCGTAGTTCCTTGTAGAGATGGTGAAATTCGCCTACTTCCATCCAACTCTGATACATGGGATATTTTTTCCTGGGTACACGTTGAAAAGCACCATTTTAAAAATACCAGCAAACGTCTGCTCTGTGTAGACATGTTTACGCTGGTAAGACTCTGGCAGATGGGGCACAGGTCACTTTGGAAAGTAGGTCGCACGTCTATGCCCATTTGCCCAGGTCACTAGATGCCGCAGGACGCTAGCATGTAGGACATAATTGCCTTACCAAAGTGTTAACGAGCGTTTCTCCGTTCATATTATTTTTTTCTTTATATAAGTGTTTTCAGTGTAAATTCTTTCATGCATTTCAACCATTTATCAGTGATCACAGTGAACACATTCTTGTTCCCTATCATCAGTGATTTCAGTGGTTTTATTCGTCTTTGTCTCTTTATTCGTGATTTATTACTTTAACTTTTTTATATAACTTTTGGTGTTTTGGGGTTTGTTAATATTAAGTATAGTTATAAGATGATTACTACATGTTTGACTACCACTCATAAGTGATTTAGTCTGAGCCTAATAATTTTATTACATTCATTATTTTACTATTTTATGTGGATCACAACTTTATTTGTTCACTAGTGGAATTTATGGTTAACTTTCTTGCTTAATCTTAGCTTTTAAATGATTTAAGAGTTCGGTATTTCCTGTAACGTATTTAATTAGTTAACCATAGATTTTATCCCGTGATAATATCTAGATGGAACAGATAAGGTAATGGTTGTATATCTGTTTTATATTTAACATGTCTTGCTTCTCTTTCAATTAACGCTCATTCGCTAAAAGATCTCATCACATTGTTTACGATATGTCCCGCGTCATCCGTGTCAAAATTATGAAGGGGCTGTTTTTGTTGTTTGTGTTTGACGAGTCACCCTGTAAATAAGTCAGATGGTTATTGTAAATTCAAAACATTTTCCTCTCCTCCCTCAGTATCCACTCAGCATGACCAAGACCGCACTATCACGGCCCTCCCTCCTTCACCTTCTGCTGCCGCTACTTCTCCTGGGACAGACGGCTGCTCAGGTACTGTTAACGGGACGCTGCCCTAAGATACATCCTCTGAAGAACTTCCAACCTAAACGTGTAAGTAGATCGGCTTGTGTAACCTTCTGTATTCTCATTATACAGATCCTCTACTTGATCTCTCTTCGGGTGAATGTTTGTGTTGGTATATTGTTTACTTTCAGTGTAGTTTTCTTGCCTCGTAAATAGTGAAAGCCTACAAAAAAAAATCTTGAAAAATAAAACCTAGTGTCTATAACTATGTAGCTAAATTTATCACAGTTGATCTTATACAGTATAAAAATCAAACGAAAATGGCCAAATTTAAGGTCTAATGCAATCCGAGGTTAGCAGCCAGAATGTCAAACGTACTTCCATTATGAGGTAAAACTTGAAATGTAATGTATTGTATCTTGCTCGCCCCTTACAAAGTGAACCTTAAGCCTGAAGCCTATACTACAGTTCCTAGGACGGTGGTACGAGATCGAGAGGTTCTTCGTTTCATACGAAGGCTTGGCGGGGACCTGCTGGGTAGAGAACTACCTGTACGACCCTCACCGCGGCCACTACACCCGCCTCGACTGGAAAGACAGATTGTAAGTCACCTGTCCTTAATATTTCCTTCCTCTCTGGCATGACTCACGCAGGTAGGGTAAACAAAGCTATCAACCTATATGTCACCAGCAAATCAAGTGAACTGAGAAAGCTACAGTGTTCAAACTTGGCTTGTTTCTTCACAAGAGCAGTACTATACATTGCACCACAGAGCATTACGGACACCAGAATCAATATTGAACACCACTGGTAAAATTTGGTTCCCGGGGTACTGACTAGGGCTACTGTAATGCCCTCTGATGTATTTATAATCTAGTATTAAATGACACCTGTTTAGGCAGTGTAAGCGTTTTAGTCACTGGGTATGTGAGGTGTCTGAGTGCTAGCACCAGTTTGGTCGTCCTCTTTTGGACGTTCTCAATCAATTGGCAGTCCGGTGTATCTCTCAGAGGCATCACGCACTACACGTCTGAAAAAGCCCCGGGAGAGACGGACCATCGGGGTATATTCTACAAGACCTTCATATAAATCCAATAATTTTTTTTTTGGGGGGGGTGGGCAAAGTTTCACCTTCCTATCGCAGTGATCCGAGAACTTTATTACAAGAACTAGTCCTGACTCTTGACAATTTATATGTTATCGGTAATATTTGGTGTTTCATTGAATATCTTAAAATAATGTTGCAAATTTTATCTATTAACTGCATGTATAGACACACAAAAGAACTACAGTATAGTGTGTAAGAGACGCGCCAATCTTATATGCTCTACTTATAATTTAATGCTTGTCACATATTTATTTATCTCTTTTATAGATATACTGTATTGTTATCTGAGTAAATTAGTTGCTGCAACCCCACATAAGAACAGGGGGAGGATGTCCTTGAAGAATCAAAGTGGTATGATATTAAACTAAAGGGAGAAGACATACTCATTAATGGACGTATCTACAGATCCCCAAACTGTATCTTATTAAACCTAAGGAACTTAAGAACCTCTCACAATGCAACGGCCACCTCCTTGTCATTGGGGACTTTAACTGGCGATATCGACAAGAGGAATGAAACCATGCCAAATGACCTTAATAATCCCGCTACTGTTTTTGTAGAAACTCCGAGAGACAATTTTCTATTCCAACATGTTAAAGATCCGACTCAATACAGATGGGAGCAAATACCTAAACCGCTGGACCTCACCATCATTAACGAGGAGGGTATGGTGGCCAAGCTGAAACCCCTCGCCCCAGTCACTACGTAATGTAGTCCTTCAAATTTAATTGTTACTTGGTTCATGACATAAGCAGGCCAAAGTTAAAATATTACAAGGTTCTTGCCAAAAAGTAGATCCTTGTGGATTATTAAAGCAGCTACAAAATGTGAAGCATTGTTTATTCTAGAGGGCGCTGTGTTTTCAACTGTACATTCTTGAATTACATATGACTTTGCGTCCAGACCCTCTTTGCCACTAATGATATTATGGAATAGTGTAGTACACTTTACAATGTCAATAGCAGTATCTACCTTTGTTTCTAAGTTTTATTTAAAATTCTAAATTTACTTGTTCAGATTTCAAATGCACACTCTACAACACGCCTGGCACGTGACAATCTGTAATTAAATTTTTTTGTTTCTTTGTTCAAAGCATTCCTAGGAAAGGGTTCCAATAATTATACACAGTGGGTAGGCCTCGTCCCCAATCAGAATACATTCTGGCGAAGTTCCTTGTACAGATGGTGAAATTCGCCTACTTCCATCCTCTAGTGGTACTCGTATAAGGGATGTTTATTCCTGGGTACCCCTGCAGGTACCACTCGTTGAAAAAAAATATTTTCTAAAAATACTAGCAAATGTCTGCGCTGCGTAGACAACATGTTTACGCTGGTAAGACTCTGGCAGACGGGACACAGGTCACTTTGGAAAGTAGGTCGCGTGTCTACGCCCTGGTAACTGACGCTGCAGGACGCTCGCACTTGGGACATAGCCTTAACCAGTTTTTTTATACCTTTACTTTCTATGTAGATGCCTCCAAGCCAGTGCGAACTTGTGTAACTATTTTAATGAAAATATCAATCTAAAGATTGTGAAATAATTCTTGAGTGCTCCCTCACAGATCAGGCAAGATACTCAGCATAGAAAATGGGATTACACACAACAAACATGAGCCTGGCAGACTACGCTTCGTGTTACAGCGGCCCAGCATCCCATGTATGTTTTAATTCGAACATTTACACCTGTCTCTTGAAGGTGTATATAGTTTTGATTTTATATGCAATACATCATATACGAATGATATACTGTACTTATAGTTCTAGATAAATCCTAAGCTTTTTGAAGGTGATTTCATTGCTAAGATTTGTTTTCAACAAAATTGTCAATAGATATATTGTCCACGTTATACGTAATGGTTAACGTCACAGAAGCAGTTTAGTAAAGCTTTGAGTATGTGCTAACAGTCTTGCAGGGAGAGTACATCATCCTCGCCACCGACTACTCCACCTTCGCCCTCGCCTGGCAGTGTGATAACCTTCCTCTTGGTGTGAGCCATACAGGTGTGTTGTGTTCATTTATTGTTGTAGTATTAAGTTATATGTCTATATCCTCCTCGCCTCTGATCAGCCTGTTAGCCGCTTGGGCAGTCAGCCACGTCTCTGTTATAAGGGCCGGCGCCTCTTATAACAACTTACTTTAATACTTCAACCTTTGGTAGCGCGACGTGAGAGGTAGGCCCATGGGTACATGTAATTATAGTATCAAGCAATAGGGAAGAAACGACGGTGAATACTGTAGGTGAATAATAGACCCAACATGCAAATACAATATTTATTCAGACACTAAAATGGATGAAGGAAAAGTTATATGCACCAAAAGACGAACTCTTGGTATCATGCTCTTTGGCTCAATTACTCACACCACGACTGGGTGAACATACACACTAACACTCATAAACTCTTACAGCACCTTAGCACCTTAAAACTAGTGCCAACTGCCAGCACAACACTCAACACTCCAGGAGTAATGCTCAAGCGACCGCCATGGGGGTCTCATCACCTCGTGGCACCTTCCAACGAACTCTTGAAGATCCAGGTGGAATAACACAACCACACAAATAGCCCTACTGAGCTAGGCACTCATCCACCAATGATGGGGGCTGGTAGTTAGTTGTGGCTTGGTGATCCGGGGTCACCTCGTGGGCCAAGCGTAGGGTTAGACTGGCTAGCTATGGGGCCCATAAGTGGTAGTGGAGCTTCTAACGGTCGGGATTCACTGAGATAACCGATCCTACTGGACCTCAGACATCTCTCCAGACTAGTGGATGCAACATCCACGCTACAGACACGGCCTAGGCTGCGTTAGAGACCTGTGTGGGTGAGGAACGAGGTACTTACTGGTGATACCGACATCACTTTTCAAAGGGACGTTAAGGACATAAACAATACTTCACTCAAAGCACAACAACTACGTTACTGTAACACTTGCACAATCAAACTATTAAGGGTCAAATCACTTAAAATGGCGAATTACAACACGGAGCGGAATGACCAACCTGTGTGGAAGAGGAACGAGGCACTTACTGACCATTGAAATGCCAGCCACACTCTCACTCAAACTAGGTCACGGATTCCACCTCCTTAACTATTTCACTCTGACGTTTGAAACTGAGACTACAAACTCAGTTTCATTCGCTAATATTCTCTTCACAAACAATGCTCTGACTGAGCTATCAAAAGCAAGAATTAAATTGATTACAAAAGGTTGGATGGCAACAGGTCCCAACATGCAGCGCCTTGCTACAAACCCGAGGAGCAGATTCAAAAGGTTCCCTTCAGAATATTAACTAATTCCTCAGTTAACCTCCCTACCACAATTTCACTATGATTATCAGAGTCCCTGCTAATCATAGGTGAAAAAAAAGGTTTACAGGGTCTCGGTAGCAGAAGGAGTTTACAGCTCGATCAGACAATGACGACATCTCAATGACGTCATCAAAGAAACAGAGAAAACGGAGGACGTTTCCACTGGGGGACTCAGAAGGTTTTGAGGACGTTTAAGCGTAATATGAATCCTTAGGGTTTTCAGGCTAGCCGTCATTACGATCATGACACTGTTACCTAATGTTGGCAAGTACTGGGTATAGAATGTATCTGAACCTACCCCAGTGTTGGTCAAGCCTGGTCTTAATGATTTGACACTCCCTCTTACTCCCTGACAGTTTTCTGAACTTATGGCTTCTGTAACCTATAGCTGTGACCTCCAGTGGGGCGGACATCACTGTTGCTGTTAAGATTCAATATCGCGAACAGTAAGGAGGCGTTCCAGCAGGACGAAGAAACAGCATTAATGGAGACCAACTGTGAAAAGAACTTGGGTGGTGTACTGTATGTTGACAACGAACTAGAGTTCTCGACCATTGTAAGAAGAAAGTGAATCAAGCCACTAAGAGGGTCATATAAGAAGGGCGTTCACATACCTAGATGGCCCGTTCCTCATAATGCTCTTCAAAAGTAAGGTACTTCCCCGTTTGGAGTACTGTTATACTGCCCTTTAGTGTGGTCACTTAATCCTAGGGTTACTTAACTTGCTTGTTAACTTAAGGTCGCTGCCACCAGACCACAGGACAGTATGTGTAGTGTTCTTTAGGTAGATGGCATAGCAATCAAGGCACTGTGAGTTTGTGATTTTCATTAATCAAGTTGAGAGTGGAAGAAAGGGTGAAACACTAACCAAGAATTTAACTACTTTATTTCCTAATAAGAATTATACTGCATTCAGTTACAATACAAAAATAGTTGACCTTCTCAAAGCAATTATTAAGGTCACTCCACCACACAAAAATACCCGACCTTCTCCAAATAATAATTAATTAAGGTCTTCTCTCTCCAAACAAAATCATTGACCTCCTTACCTTTTTTTACTTTACTTTTATCCTCTTCACCACTGATCGGCTCGTTAGCCGCGTCTTTGTTATGCACTGTTGGCAAGTACTGGCTCCTAAATGCATCTGAACCTGCTCCAGTGCTGGTCAAGTCTGGTCTTGAAACAGCTCACACTTGGTCATTCCTTCCCCAAATATCACCGGAATAATATTCAATAGTACCAACATACCCAATATCACCTGAATAAGGAACATTCGATAGTATACACAATACATACAGGTACTGCAGCTTATTCTTAGCACCAAGGTACACACAGCAGGTACTCGTCTCAAACTCTACTCTTGTTAGGTAGATGAGATCCTTCCTAGGCATTCATACCAGGACTATTTCTGCGTCCGGTATCATTAGGTCGCTTTAAGTGACGACAGTAAGCCCCTCAAGTAGCACCAACATCTCTTCACATCCATGGTGCTGAAGTGTGAGATGTCCAGAGATCCATAGTAGAGGTTGCCTAGTGGCCATAAGCATTACCCACAACATCAGGTGGGTTCCTCAAAGTAGAACAGTGGTTGCTGGGCCAAGCATTCCCTCCAAACTCACTGGTCTGCCTCTGCTCACAGGCGTGTCCACCTAACACCTGCGTTTATGAGATGCGGTGCCGGAGAGTCATTGAGTGTAAGCAAATGTGTTTTGTTTGTTATATTTATCAACAGAATTTTACTTTACTCCTGTTGGCATACTATTATTGGAAATATGCACATGTTGGCTTTGTCGGCTGCCTTTGGTGGAATTGCCTTATTGTTTACTATTGTATACCTGCACCATCTAAGTACAGAATACATTGGAAATTGCTTACCTGTACGGTCTATATACAGTACCTGCGTTGTCGATACACATGCTGAACTGTATACGCGTACCTGCATTGTCTACAATACTTTGTAAACCAATTTTTAGCTTGAATGATAATTTTACTGAGAAAAAAATTACTAGATTTAATTATTATATAATTTTGACAGAGATCCTGTGGTTGTTGTCGAAGCGGCAGCACCCCAGCTCAGACACCATCCACCATGCCAAGAAACTTGCACACGGCCTCGGCTTAGACATCAACCGCCTTCAGAAACAAGACAGGAGTAATTGCCCTCCCTAGAAAAGCAAGTGAGAAGAAATTTTCCTCCCTTGTGAAACAAGACTAGAAAATATCCTTGATTACCAACTGCGATAAAAGGTATCAGTTGCGTAGCCAGATATAAACAGTCGTGGACTCCGTGTTCCTGGAAGGATTCAACCCAAGATCTTTATATCCTTAGTGCTACAGTAAAGTCACCACCTGTTATAATACCACCGATTTTGGGATTTGTTTAAGTCCTCGTTTAGACTAAGTTAATTCAAAATTTCTTAATTCATCCTGTCTATAGTTGTAACGAAAGTGTGCTGAGGAATGAGATACCATGTATAGAACTCGACCACGGATAAATACACTGATAAGATTCTAAGAGTAAGAAATAGATGCAATGAGGGAAAATTGTATTAGGAACTTTGTTGTTTACCACATGTGAATGGATGTCTAATGATTAATATTATTGCTGCATTATTATTATTAGTAGTAGTAGTAGAAGTAGTAGTAGTAGTAGTAGTAGTAGTAGTAGTTGTAGTTCTGTAGTAACAGTACCCCTCTTACCGTCCTGTACAAGAAGCCACCAAGAACGAATATAGTCCAACTCTATTGAAAAGCCACCACTTTATTTCAGTAGAATGTTTATTCCTTGCACTACCACCGAAACCCTTGGGGCCAGATGCGTTTCGGATTTCATAATAGTAGTATGGTAAATATACCGTATATTATGACAAAACCCTGGCGAGGTCTGTGAAAGCACCCCGTAAGCAAACACATGATATTTCTGCAACGAACCTTATGAATATTTACACTGTGTGGGATAAATAAAGACTATAAATAGTATTACAGATTATTTGTACAGTACAGTAAAGCCACTAATGGCAAAGAAAAAAAGCGAGATGGATTGGGAACGCCAAAGTATATAGGTGCGCACTCGAGGAAACAGCGTAATTTATATTTGTAAGAGTATGTACAAAAGATTCATTGTTGTTTATTATCGAATATGTATTTGATTGAATTAATGTTTATATATGCGAAATGAACAATACAATTCATTAATACTGCGTAGATTATTAAAACACACCAGAGGAGACGAGACGGCATTGTTTTCGTTAGTGTTTACACACGTGACGATGGTTCTACTTAAGAAACTGAAGAAAATAGACCCTGGTTGTAGCTGTAGTCTCAATTAGTGCAGTGTCTTCGTCCCGTTGGGACATAAGATACCCCTCCTTATCGTTGGTATGTCACAGGTGCATCTCTTACATTGGATCATGAGTGTACCCTCCTGTCCTGCTCATCGTTTGTCCTAACCCATGTCTTGAATTTCTGTGTTTTTTTTTAACTTTGTCGACTGCCGTATGGACATAGTCGTAGTTTGGAAGAAAAAAATCAAAGGTGGACCACCAGAGTGGTGCCGGCACTTCGACACCTCAGTTACCCAGAGAGATTAGAGTGCCTGCAATTGCCCAGCTTGTACTATACAGACGGGCAAGGGGAGACCTAATTGTGGTGTATAAACATCTCAAAGGGCGCTACTTAGTCGAGTCCCCTTACCTGGAACTGGCGGACGCTCGCCCCACAAGGGGTCACAGCTCAAGGTTGAAGAAGCCGCAAGCCCAGAAAAATGTGAGGGGTAACTGTGAACTCTTGGAACAATCTACCAGAGAGTGTTGTGACGGCACCAAGTGTGAGATCTTTCAAGACCAGACTTGACCAACACTGGAGCAGGTTCAGGTACATTCAGGAGCCGGTGCTTGCCCAGTACTTGCAAACAGTGGGTAACAGAGACCTGACCGATCACCCAAGCGGCTAACGAGCCGATCAGTGGTGAAGAGGATAAAAGTAAAATAGGTTCTATGGGGTAGGGGGGGGGGGTGATAACTCCAAATCGAAATGAAAGTCAACTTCGATTGAATCACACCGAATACCAAGGGAAAACAAAAATCTATGGTCAAACAATTGTTGTGGCTGAAACTAAATTTACAAAAATAAACCACCCTGTACTGTATAATACAACAATGAAATCTTAGCTATATCACCCAGCTCGTCTGAATATAAGTAATTTTTATATGATATATCAATTCACTTATCAGCTTATTACCAGCCTATAGGGCGTTGGTCTGTTCTTAGTTACTAATTTTATTGTGAGTACAGGAAGAAACAGAAGTACCCGGAGCCTTAGGACAGGAAGAAACCAACACCTTTCTCACGTCTGTCCCGGACCAAGACTCGAAGCCACGATAACACTCAAATATACTCGCGTTGCACTAGGGACGCTGTGCCAAGTTACCAACTGTCTAAATCTGACCTACCGTAAGTCTTTACCCAAAACAACAAAGGAAAATAGATTCATACCTGTTGAGAGTTGCTTAAACTGTATTTGGGTGATGGTAAATACCGCTTCTGTTTTCACTTATGTTATTATGCCGGTAGGTCCAAAGAATGTATTTGGTAACGAATATGGCTTTGATCGCAGACTGAAAAATATTAAATGCGCCAAAACCGGAATAAACGAAACTTGGCAGCTGTAAAGCAAAAATAGATTTCCAGGGGTCATTGGGTGTGTGTCAGTAAAATTGTAATACAAGTACTTAAACATTAGGAATTATAGTATCGGAATAATTTAAATTTATTTATTGTTTTCGTTGAAACCTAAAGCGTTCTTTCATGTCGTTATTCATTGTCACGTATTAATTTTATGGTTTGGTCGGTAATGTCTTGGCCAACTGCAAGAAATAAAATGTTAGTAATATGCCACGAACAGAACGACTAAATCACCGATTTTATGAATGTTATATATTTTTAGGAAAGTTCCTTAATCCATTGATGTTAGGTAGTTTATTTCAAAATATTTTTTGTGTTATTAGATCCTGTCACCTGAAAAATATATGGTTTTCACTAGTCTGTTCGTCGTACATTTCTTAACATTATTTATTTCCCGTGTGCTCGGTAGTATACTCTTACTCTACTCAACTCATCGCTCATAGGAACATGGCGGCACTGGCAGCACTCAGACGGATCAACAGAAGTTGTAAGTATTTCACCAAGATTTAGGGAGTGCTAGTATCTTTTTGAGGCAATAGTTTAAACTATAGATATGCTTAGGTTATAAGTTTCAGCTAAATTTTATGAAATATTTAAGTATTGGGTGTTTTTTGGAAGACATGAAGCCTTTCACTTTTTGTTTACCTTTTTCCCATGACGCAATCAAGAAGTGGCCGGAGAAACTTATAACTACTGTACTGTATTGTTTCTCTTAATGGCCATTCCTTTGTATAGAGACATTGTGTAATTATAGTGAACGGGCACAATTAAAGTACGGTAGTGAATTTGTGATACAGTATTTTGCATTGAAATTGTCTTTCTAAATCAACGTTTACGGGTCAACGTGTCACTTGGTTATTGGTTAAATATTCACACTTGCTCACAAATATAATAATTTTCTGCGGTAATGGTAGAGCAGGCTGTTGGCACTAAAAGGACTTTTATGAAATTGCACAAAATTTTAAGGGCAAATTTTCACTTGTTTCCACTAAACGAAATCGAAATGTAAACTTTGGTAAATTTATAGAAAAGCACAGGTCCTTCTTTGGATATTAAAACTGTTTGGTAAATGTGTAGAAGAGGATGGTTGTTGAGTTTCGAACGAATTTGACATTCATTTCCGCCAGAAATCACTCGTTTTTGAGCTTCCCCCGATCACAGTCTTAAGGGAAGATGTTGGAAAATGGAGTTTTTTGTTGAGTAAGTCACAGAAACAGATGATTTCCACTGGTGAACTAGGCAAAAGTTGTTCAAAACTCATAAAAATCCATAGGAAAAACATAATACAGAAAGAAATGTAACCTAACTAAACCTACCCCCTTTTTGTGTAATAAAAAAAAAACCAACCTAAGTTAACCATACCATAGCCCCCTGGACCCCCTTTTGTTCATGCCTCCACATCTTACCTTAATCTGAAGAAGAATCAGGTCCATCTGGGTCGTCACAGTTTACATCTGAGTGGGGCCGTGTAACCAGTGGGGTTCCCCAGGGGTCAGTACTAGGCCCACTCTTGTTCATTATCTACATAAACGATCTAGATACTGGGATCAGCAGTGACATAAGCAAGTTTGCGGATGACACCAAAATAGGGCGGCAAATTAATTCAGGGCAGGATGCAAATGCATTACAGGAGGATCTAAATAAACTGCAGGGGTGGTCTGAAAAATGGCAAATGAAATTCAACACCAGCAAGTGCAGTGTACTTAATATTGGAAGAACAAATACTATAATGTATACAGCCTTAACAACATCAACCTAGAGAAGTCGACTTGTGAAAGAGACCTAGGGGTACTTGTAAGCCCGGACCTACGGCCTAGAAAACAGTGCGTTAATGTTCGAAATAAGGCAAACAGAGTATTGGGTTTTATATCTAGAAGTGTAAGTAACAAGAGTGCAGAGGTCTTATTGCAACTATATCTTCCGCTAGTCAGGCCGCACCTCGATTATGCGGTTCAGTTCTGGTGCCCCTATTATAGAATGGATATAAATTCACTAGAGTCGGTGCAGCGAAGAATGACAAAAATGATTCCGGGACTTAGAAACCTTCCATATCAGGATAGGTTAAAGAAACTTAATTTGCATTCCCTAGAAAGACGAAGAGTGCGGGGAGATATGATAGAAGTATTTAAGTGGGTGAAAGGAATCAATAAAGGGGATACCCGGTATAGATAAAGTTCTTATAATATCCGAGCAGGATAGGACTCGGAGCAACGGATTCAAGTTGGATAAGTTTAGGTTTAGGAGGGAGTTAGGAAGAAACTGGTCCACAAATAGGGTGGTGGACGAGTGGAACAAGCTTAGCAACTTTGTAGTAAGTGCGGGAACTCTGGAAGTTTCAAAAGGAGGCTAGATAGATTCATGGATGATGGAGAGTGGTAGTAACTCTCGACAGGAGCTGCCATGCACAGGCCAACCGGCCTATTGCAGACTCCTTATTTTCTTATGTTCTTATGTACATCAATTTGAAGTGATGCTTGTGGTGGTTGGTCACCTTGAGGAGGGTATAGGCTGGGAACTCGGCAATTGACGTAAAATAATCTCTTATCACAATGTCGGCACAGCTCTTCAGCCATATCTGGTACTGAAAATTCATATCTCTGCTCCCGACGCACCCACGCATTGTGCATTGGTTAAGACAAAAAACTTTTGCCCAATAATACGTCTCCTCTCACTATAGCCAATAAGGAACTCCCACACTACCCCGGCACATGCGCTGTAGACGCTTAAGAAGCGAACATGGACGTAACGGACCACTGGGTGATTGGGGGGGGGGGGGCGCAGAGCTTTTCCACGAGATGTAAACAACAAATGGCAAGACTTGTGACTGACCAAATACTGTATGATAATATTGAAAAATAAATATTTTAGTTATCCTTAATTTCCGGCAAAAATATCATGGAAGGAAAAATGTCTTAGAAATGTTTAAACATTACAAAATACATATTAATAACAGCGAGACAAAGACTGGTGCTTTACTATAAATTCACTGAAACTTTTCTCAACGGTTTTTAATGTGTTATGAACTTTAACCTTCATTTTTTGTGCAAATCACAGAATCTTGATACTGTATTTGCTATAAAATCAAGATAAAAAAAGCATTCTAAACATTTCTAACCTAACCTATCAAAAATCATCAGAAAGAGGTATTATTTAACTTGGTGCCACTAAGCGAATCTCGAGAATTTTATAGTTGCAATTTAACATTTTATGTACGATATGATTGTACATGGCAGCACACACCCAGGACATCGAATAACTGAAGTTCCCCTTTTTGGTTAGGTTAGATTCAAAACTGTTTAATGGTTTTTGGTGTGTTTTGAACACTGTATCTTGATTTTTATAACAAATAATAAGCATGGTAAAGCCTTGGCTCGGATAAACGATCGACGGTAAAATAATGATCTACGTATATTTATATACAGTAGCGATATAATCAGTACCGTGAGTTCTGCTATAACGCGTGTTTTGACAACGCGAATTGGCAACGCGATTTATGAATAGAGGAACGATATTTTTAAAACGCGAACGCTTGTTTGCTGTAATGCGATTTTTGCTTACTATTTCTCCAATTTTGTGGTATTAACTGTGAATATGGTAAAGAAGAATATCTCCAAGAAGCATTCTGGTGATAGCATTCCCGGTGATGATCGTAAAAGAAAGGCGATAACACTTGAAGAGAAGCTCGATGTTATCAACCTCAAAATCACCCTTCGCCCCCATCAAGTTATATTCATATTTTTTCAAGATAAAGTGTTACATTTACTGTATGATTTCATTATTAGATATGAATGTAACATTTATTTAGACTGTGCTATCCTTTGTGTTAGGCTAACTACCTTAGACTGTGCTATCCTTTGTGTTAGGCTAACTACTAAATTTTTTTTTTATTTCGAGTAACCTGCACCTAACCCTATTTTCTCCATAAGCCCTGTTATTTTGTATTGTGCAAATTTCTATAACATGATGTTTTACAAGAACACAACTATCGCGTTCTAGCAGAACTGACTGTACAGTAATTTCTCCGTTAGCCGGAATCTCTCAAACCCGGAACTCTCTGAAAGCCGGAATTGAAATTTTCTTGGAAAATAATTACCAAAATCCGGAAAATTCTAGGGATGAGGGATATTTTTCTGGGTTCGAGAGAGTCGTCTTGTTACCCAGAAATCTCTCGTTCCCAGAAGTGCTCTGCACCAATTGTTCCGGCTAACGGAGGTACCACTGTAGTAGTTAGTTCTACGAGTAATATTTAAGGGCCCGGGTTATCCAGTCACCTAATGAAAAATATCTATAGAAGGACACTTATTTTTCTTTAAGACTTTTTGTATTCATGTTTTTGCTCCTAGTTTTATCCTTGTAAGAAATATGCTGCTGCGGCTTTTTTGTTTACATGAGCATCAGGATGTACAGTACAGTATTTGCTTGATTTAATGAACTAATTTGAGCTACCCCTTTCCGTTAAATCAAAATTTCCGCTAAGTCGAGTTTCCGTTATTTTTGCTCAATTTTAAATCGAGCAGGATTGTTAAATTTCCCTTTTTTTCCACTCAAATTAGCTAACTATACCCTTTCCACACTAACCTGGCCCGTAGGCTCCTCCCCTCTTTTATACTAATAGCCGATTGATTCATAGAAAATTCAAACTAAATTTGTTCACAATTGGTAAGCAGACCTGTTATTATTTACACTACTGTACTGTCAAATATATGGATTATCAAAATGCAAATCATTTCAAGGCATTAGCACTTCAGGGAAGATGTTCGAAATTTTTAAATATTTGTTATAAAAGGTCCACATAATTATGCGTTTATATACACGCAGTCTTGGGGGGAGGTAAAATGCTCAGGGGAACCAACCGGCTATTTGTAACTAGACGAGGGGCAAGGCTTACAGGCTACCTTAGCGTGGAATTACTTTACTGAATACAGTAGTTCGCTAAATCGAGCGTGATTCCGTTAGAGTCCACGCCAATTGCACAGCTTGGCGCGTGGAGTTAGTTTACATCTGCTCAATCTGTGTCTTGCCACCACCGTGTGTGTGTTGTTTGCTGCTACCTCTCGGTTTACATCTCGGTCATTTAACTACTGTGCTTAGACATCATGGCAAAAGTCTCTCAGAAGTCTCAGAAAGGAAGTGGTGTGGGGGAGAAAGTCAAAAGAGTGCAGCTGTCAATTGGAAAAAAGTCCGGAACTATAGGCAAAATTTAAAACAAACACCGAACCCCCTAATTTATGATAAGCCATGAATAATATTTCAAAGGTTTCTATGTACATATTGTGTGCCTGAGGTGTCTTCATATGTGTGAGCGTATTAACTAAATTGAGGGGAAAAATAATGTAAAAAATTCCTTCCGCTAAATCAAGAGTTCGTTATATCAGATTCCGTTAAATCGAGAATATATTGTAAAGTATCATCGTTTTCTGAACATCTCATAGAGTGTGATGATGATAATTTACATTAGTGTTTCTTTAATTAGTTTTATGATGCAGTACGTAAGATTAAGTTATGCTACATAAGGAGATAAAGAATTTATAAATATATTTGTTCCAGGTGTAATTGGGAGCCGATTTGGTTCACTGAGACTCAATGGGTTGTATCTGGTTCCTTCACATGTAGTTGTTCCTGCAGCGACACAAGGTACTTCACAAGCGCTAGTTCCCTATCAGGTAAGGCTGGATGAACTGTATATACTTTTTGCTGATAGTTACATTGTTCATAGTAAAGTTATCTAAGTTGTAATAACTTTTGGGTTTTTTTTTTTGCATGAAATCATTTTGTTCATGGTCACAAAAAGTTTGTTGCACCAGATACATGTACTGTACTGTATTCATACTGCAAACTGTCCCTTAAAACTTATGGAATTATCATTGATATGTACAGTTGGTATAAAAAAAAAAGAAGAAATGCTGTTCTGGTACTGTACCAGGTGTACATCAGAACCTTCAAATTTTTAGATGCTGTTCCAAAACCCTAAAGTTAAATGATATACGTAAATTGTACAAAGATATAAAACTGGGTAGAAAACTATAATTTGGGAAATATTATTTTATTTAACAAATACGTACATACTACAGGAGATTTGGAAAACCAAATTTTGCAGTTCCATAGAACTAAACATTGACAAATATAGGCCATTACATGAGACTTTTTCTAATTGCCACTACCAGTTCCAAGACATTTATTCATCAGACATCACATTTTTCAGACACAGCATCACATAGATTATATTGTAACCTTTTAACAAATCTGTGATTACAAATTTGACAGTTAATACAGTAGCATCAAGTGTTGTCAATGGCATTTTGTTAGTGTATGGTGTATTGTGTTTTGACATAGGGCAGGAGAGGTATGCTATAGCATACAGTATATATACACCAGTGACAATTCTTTGAATGTTGCAGAGTCATCTGGGATTTTGTTTTTTAACACTAATTCCTCATGCCAAAGATGTATCACAATTTTCCTGTAGCTACTGTTCTTGAAAGAGATTCAGATTTTCTTCAAGTATGTGGCCAAGTGGAAGCCGAGAGACTGGGAGCCATGCAGTTTGATGCAACACTTTTGAAAGATGAAGTCTACTGTTTCCCTAAAAATGGCTTTATTGTCAATAAAACGCAATTTCCTTAACCCCTATGTGGTTTGGGGTGTAGAATGTATGAAAAAAACAAAACAAACATTGGTACATCAGAGTAATGCTGTCTCCAAGTGACCAAGCAGCTCACAGAATTGGTGGTACAGGTTGTACCTCTCTCGTCCGGCAACCTCGGGACCTGACCGGTGCCGGACCATGGAAATTTCCAGACCATGGAAATTCACCCTTTTCCTGGATAGATAGTGACTTGGCTTGGAAGCACTAGCACCACTTTCTCTGCTTCATGGTTTCTTTGAAGACATATTGAAGGGTTAAATGTCGTACAGTAGCTTCTCAAATTTCGCAAGTTTTTAATTCGACGTTTTCTATTTGAACACAAAAAAACAACACATTTAAAAATTTTGACGGCGGAAACTAGAAATTTCGACAGGTTTGAACGGCCCACCAATGTTCAGGCGATGTGCACAATCATATAAACAGCGTAATTTCTCTTATGTACAAAAAATTCATTATTGTTTATTACTGAAAGTCTTTTTGATTGAATTAATGTTTGTGTGTGCAAAATGAGCAATACAATTCATTAATAATAAGTAGAATATTAAAACACGAGGAAATGAGACAGCATTGTTTTCGTTGTTTACAAAACCAGTGACTGACTGGTTCTACATATAAAACTGAAGAAAATAAGACCCTGGTTGTAGGTGTAGTAAAATTAATATGGTTGTTTTAAGTAATGTTATTTAATGTTAATAAATGGAACAATAGAAGTAGCTAACGATAATGGTAAAGAAAACGAGAGAGATCGCGTATGTAAGTGCGCACACGTGAAAACGTATCGTCATTACTTTACATAAGAATATGAAAGCAACACTTATTTACTGTTCATATATATTTTAATTAATGTTTCTGAATTTGTTTTTATTGAATTAATGTTTGTGTGTGCAAAATTAACAATACAATTTATTAATAATACGTGGAATATTTAAATACACGAGGAGACGAGACGGCTGCCGGCATTGTTTTTGTTAAAGTTTACAAAACCAGTGACTGATTGGTTCTACATATAAAACTGAAGAAAATAAGACCCTGATTGTAGCTGTAGTAAAATTAATGTAAAAAAATTAATATGGTTGTTTGAAGTACCTGTAATGTTATTTAATGTTAATAAATGGAACAATATAATTAGCTAACCATTAATGGTAAAAAAAAAGGTGAGATTGCGCGTATGTACGTAAGTGCGCACATGTGAAAACATATCGTCATTACTCTACATAAGAATATGAAAGCAACACTTATTTACTGCTCATATATATTGAAGGGTTAAATGTTGTACTCTGTATACTGTAGACAAGCAGAGAGAGAGAGAGAGAGCAGCCGAACTGCCGGATGTAAACAAGCCTTAATTTCCCGTGGCTTTGTTGTTGATGTTTTTTACGGGGATTAGCCCACCCGGGTATAGGTCACTCACCCACATTGAGGCCTGAGGGGCAAAAATTTAATACTCCTGTAATAATAATAATAATTCAGATAAGTAAAAAAATAATAATAATAAGCTGCCTATCTACCTATTGGACAAACTAAAATCGTTCCGGACCACGGGAGTTTCCGGACCACAGAATGCCGGACTAGAGAGGTACAACCTGTAATACTGGATGGTGGTTGTGAACGGTGTCCAGCAACTTGAGGAAATTTAACTACTGTACAGAAGATTCATGTATTTTTTCCTCCGGAAAAGAAAAAAGTAAAAGTTTTCTTAATGTAATTCTTAGTATTTTCTCTGGATGAAACTTAATCCATCCCAGATGTAAATGTTGTAGTCTTATCGTGCAGTGTTCATGTGTTAAGAATGACATCTATACAGTTACTTCACACTAAATAGAGTATATACAGGGTACAGTATAGGTAATAAAAAACATTTTACTTATCAAGAAATTATACATTAGCTAAGGTTTGTTCATTAATCTTTGTTTATTTTTTTATAATAGGCTAAACATTACACCATTGGCTGGCAATATCGGATAATGGTAGTAATTAGGAAGCTTAACTGTCAGATGAATTATCTCAAGTGTAACTTAAGTGTCTTATGATCCATACCTGTACCATATCTTAATGTTCCACTCTGAATATTCTGCCTCCTCATGTTTAACCCTTAAATGGCTAATCTGCCCCCATGTGTGCAAAAAATGAAATGTAAGAAACATGAAACATCCATCTACCTAGGCCACCGTATTTACTGATGATGGCTGCCATTTAAGGTTGAGCTGTTTTCGGTTAATTTGTGTACTTTTCAGGTAGAACTAATTCTTCTTACTGTTATTTTAAATGAAATTCTTAAGGTGTACGTACAGTGCTTGTGTGTACTGTATTATAAACATGTCTAAACAGTGTAAAGTTTCCTCTAGTGAAATAATAAAATTTTACAATTGAGTACAGGTATTATAAAACTAGTACTCCAGCGGGGGGAGGACCCCCCACACCTTCAGACTTTTGAGTCCTGTCCTGTTTTTCTGTCTCATTTCCTGCTTTATGCAAAATGATAAATACTTGGAAATGAAGTGAAACAATTGAGATTTAATAAAAAATGGCAAAATAGTTACAAATTAATTTGTTTTTCAATAATTTGACCTATATTTTTAATATTGTACCTAAAAAAATCTTTCCTTTTCTCTTCAGGCAAAGCCCTTCAGTGTATCACCAGTTAGTCATGGCGCGCCTGAAATTGAACAAGCGGGCCATGACCATGTGTTGCACTGGACAGCAGAGCGCATCCTATCAGTGGTGTTGTTAGGAGCCATCCCAGCAGCTATAATCTTCCCCACACCAGCAGTAGAATCCATTCTTGCATTGTCTATGACTGTTCATTCACATTGGTAAGTGAAGGTTGTAATTCCCCTTAATATTAGTAATACACTGCCCCTTCGCTTAATACGGGTTTGTTCAACACAGATTCGCTCAAAAACAGGTTGAGCCATGCTGACACGGGAAAATTAGGCTGAATGTGGTCTGTTAAACACAATTGGCTTGAGCCAGTTGGCAGTTGAATCCACAGGTAGCATCCCCACTCACTCCACATGAGCCCATTGAGCAGTGCATTTTAGAATTAGAGAAAATAATATCAGTCATTAGGTGTTTGTAAGGGTAAATTATACTTATTACCTGTGAATACTTTTTCTTGCAGGAATATATTTTGCTCAAAACTTAATTGAAATATTAATTTCCCGAAATCACATTCAAAGATTGCAGTTCGACATACACTCACATTTCATCTCCCAAAGCATTGATAGGTTACATGAATATCTTTAATCTGTTTATTCCTCTTTTTTTTCAGGGGCATTGAGGCTATTGTTGTAGATTATATTCGTCCCAGCTTATTTGGCAAGATCATTCCCAAACTGGCTGTAGGTGCTGTCTACACACTCTCATTTCTCACCTTGGGAGGACTTTGCTACTTCATCTACACAGATGTAGGCATCATCAATGCTGTCAAGCTCCTATGGAAATTGTAGGGAAACAAAAGTGACTTACTACCTGTAAATTAACTGTATGGTTTTTATGTTCTTGTTAACTATTAGCAGACGTTCCAGACAATTATTTTTTATTATGCAAAATCTATATACGTACAGTATAATATAATGTAATATAATACAATTCAGTGTAATATAATGTTAATATAATACAGTACAGTACTATATAATATAATATTGTCAATTTCCAAGTCACTGTATGTGATGGGAATATAGATGTAATTATTTTAATTTATTTACTAAAGTGACATCAAAATGGTTAGCAAAGTCACTTAGATATGTTATAAAGAGAACTATGTGGTAGAGATGCTAAAGTGCTGCTTGCTCTGTCACCTCTATATAGTACTGTTAAAACAACTGCACAATGTATAAATTTGTAACAGTGGCAATTGGAATTATATAGCAAACTGCTGTACTTGATAGTGTCTCATCTTTTTCACTTATTTCATGTTTATCATTTACAACTAGAATGAATCATCACGCCCTGGGATACTTGTATTCCTCTAAAACTGTGTGCATAGTGCCGTGAAGGCCAGGTCTGTAAACAGTGGGGGATGATCACCTTTTTTGTGAAGAGATAAAATATGTTGTAATAAGTTCATATGTATATTGCACTAATCATAAATCTTGTATATATTAATAAAGAATTTACTTTATCTTGTTTAGTTTTTTATCACAGATCATATTTACAGTATTAGCTCTACCACTCTCATGTTTGTGTGGTGTGGATCAAAGGATACAAAATCCACAAGAAAATTGGCAGGAGATAACTGAGGAAGTGCAGTAGTGGAATATGAGTAAAAAGTGAGAGGATATTGCTAAAACAAAACCTGTGAAATAACCATATGCACAACTTGCATATTAAGTACAGTGGTCCCTCGGTTAATGAGATTTCGGTTAACGAGTTACCTTCCATAAGATTCTTAACTTCGGTTAACGAGTTTCTTACGAGCCGACCTGAACATGTATTCGCTTGCATTTGGCGGTCCACCAGCTGTAGTATTAGTCCGCCAATACAGTAATCGGTTCTAGGGCTTAAATTCCTGACCATTTTAGCAAATATCAAGAAGTTTATATTATTCAATAATTTTAAAAGTTTAATAATAAATTTTTTAGTCATTTTAACAATTATTGAACATAATTGAAGGTAATGAAACTAGTTTTATGTGCGCCATCCAACCCTTCGACACACCATACAGGCGTCAGTCTTTGTGTCTTTTCAGTGGAGGTAACATCTTGCTTGAGACTCTTCAACTAAATGCTTTTTTCTGTGTTTGCAAGCAAATTATTGGTCATTTTGAAATTTATTTTACATATTGACACTATATAATGCAGTGCAGTGTTGATTTAAAGAAAATAATCTTGAATTACACTAAGAGAACTAAAATTTTATGGGTGAAGTGGCACCATGGGGTGACTTCTCTTCCACCCCAATGCCTTCTCTTCTCCCTTCTCCTCCACCCCCATTCTAATTCCCATCATCATCATCTTCATCCAGGAGCCTTCTACATACACACCTCAAAGTAAGTGTATTTTTCTACCTTTTTTGTTGAATTTAGGCAATTTTCGGTGAGCTGGAACCAATTACCCAAAACCCATTAAAACAATGGTTTCGGTTAACGAGCAACCTTCTAGAACGGATTGTGCTCGTTAACCGAGGGACCACTGTACTGTATACAAAGTTAGTTTATTTTGTATAAAATTTCACTACAATACAAAAATTCTGCACTTGGAAATCAGGCTACTCCAACTTATACACCCTGTTTATGAGATTTGAGTAATTTATGTCGATAAATGTTTCAGTTCCAGTTCTTTTAAAAGAAGAATGTTGTGTTCTAGCTGTTCCTTGGCTTTCAATGTTCTGGTAAGAACTTTTTAGTGCCAGGGATCTAATTAAACACTATTATTTTTTTTTTTTTGGTGACATACAAATATATATATATATATATATATATATATATATTTATATATATATGGTCTGACAATCTCCCTATTGTGTGAGAGAGGTGGGTGCCGGTGAGGCAGATGTTTAGGTCAGCATTGACCTTCTGAACCCTGCTCTGAGGGGTTGTGTCTCAGGAATTATAGTACTTACATAATTATGATGATATACCAAGGTCTATAGGAGTACAGGTATTAGAATATAATGTATTATACTGTATTATATAAAACATTGTTGCTATAACAAGATTCATCAACAGTGGTTGGCTGCAAAAACCATGTATCTCATATTATTGTGGCGTTGCAGATATTTACTAACGACCTCGACATGGATGCAAAAGTCTGTAGAAGAAAAGGGGTGTTTGCTGGGCAAGTGTGTGCAATATCAGTGTTTGCCCCACAGATACCAGCAATGACTGGCGAGGTGGCTGGGCCTTCAATCTCCCCAAACATGTGGGTGTATTCTCACAATAGGGTAGACACATTTCCAAACAAAATGGTACAAACCTCGTGAAAATTGACTCATATTCGGCTGAATTATTATTTTTGTGTAGAAAAACTTTGACACATTTTCTCAAAACATGAATTTTTCAAGGTTGTCACTTATTTCTACTAAACCTCATATTAAGTTACATGCTGTACTGTACTCTTAGTGTGAGGAGGGAAAAAAGTAAATTTAGAATGATGGAGATAAGATGATACAATAGACGAGTTGACAGTTCTGGGTAAACAAGAAATACACTGTCACATTTGTAGAGTGATACGGTATATTATATATAATTAATTTGTAATAAAATTTTTAAATCCTGCTATAATAGAAGAGATAAGTTTATTTCTTTAGAAACGACTGTCATTTGCTATGACGTCACCAGCTTCCCAGCTTGTGACGCTCTCTTTCAAACTCACAGCTGCAGTCATAGGTAGTGCAAAGGATGGGCTCTGTAGACCCCAAGTGCCACGTTCGAGTAAGTTTTAAGGGTATTTTTATGGTCTTAAGTCATGGACATTTCGTAATTGAAGAAATGTGCCGTGAAGAGCTGCTTCAAACATTGGTTGGATGGATATATGAGAGATAGGGGTTGGGTGTAAACGGGACTGCCCAGTTTGGGGCCAATGCTGCAGTTTCCTTCATTCTTATGTTCTTATGGACATAAAAAACTCCCATGTTCACACCAGCTCAGCTGTCATGTATTCTTACCTGGTAGACTTTCTCTTTTTTTCAGTGCATTTACAGAGTACATCAGTACTAAATGGAGATACGAGTCAATTTAGAAGTGATGACATTGTCTGGACTTCGTTTTGAGAATGCCTGGTGCTAGATAAACATGACAGCATAGTGCTGTTATTGTTTTGATGATTCACTAATGAACCATTGGGATATATCATTTATTTTAATTAATGGATAAAATTTTACTTTATCTACCATAATTATTTGGATGCTTAGATTCGAGATAGGCTATATTGGGTCAATTTTAAGTTTTGGTCATCCCTGTACTATTCTGATGATTTGTGAGGTGTTATGAACGATTTAGACTCATATCTATCGGAAATCACTAGTTTTGAGTTACTGCCCCCCCCCCCTTGCTAATGAATGTTAAGCTAACCTTATAATTCATCATACCCTAACCTAACCTATGAACTGTATTTTTTTATGTGATCGAAAAATGTTTTGCTACAGAAATTCCATAGAGATAATTTGTCTTATTGTTTAAAGTACTTAATCCCATAGTTAGAATCTTAAGGTTGCCCAGATGACCCAAAACGAAAATAATGCCAATATTGTTTGGAATGTTTATGGAAGTGTACTATGAAATTTGTAGTAGGGGCAGCTAATATCCACTGAATTAGTTAATGTGCTTAGTATTATTTATATATTCAAAACAGCATTCTTGTGTTGCACAGTAAAGCACAATTAATTTATCTAATAATATTTATTTACAGAGCCGATCAGCCGAGAAGGTTGGACAACTACTTCCAGGGTTCATCAAGGCAGATGAAGGAAATTTACCAAAAGTAGATGTCTTTATGATTGTAGAGTATTATCAAGAACTCCGCCATCCAGCTATGAAGCACGTAAAATTACAAAGGTAAAGTTTTGCTTCCAGTCTCAACATTAAATAAAGACATCAGTGACGAAATTGGATCTCGTATTTAGCATTATTTTCCCTAAAGCACACCTGATCCACTACCTGGGTATACGTTTAGGGCGCGCATCACTGCTTCACATAATGATCGCCACGCCACTCGACCACCACTTCCTCCACGTGAAGCACCATTGCCCTTGTTCTGCCTCTTGCCACCAACCAACGTCCAATTGAGATCATCTCCCCGGTGTCCATCTTAATATTGATTCCTGTTAGCTGCGAGTCTGGTTGGATAAATCTCAATGTTAAATGGACTTTGAGAAATACGGTATGTTGTCCTTATTTGTAACTGTACAACATCTATCAGTAACTGTAACTGCACTTGTATAAATAAATGTAATTGCAACTGCACTTTTATAAGTAACTGTACTTGTATCTGTATTTGTACTTACATCTGTACCTTTATTATTATCTCAACCTATGATTGTATCTGTGCCTGTACTAGGATCTGCACTTTTACTTGTATCTTTACCTGCAATTACTGTACATATATACTTGTCTTTGAGTCTGTATCTGTGCTTGCAGTTTTATCTACTCTTGTATATGTAGTTATAATTGTGTTTACACCTGTACACTAGCTATATCGGTACACGTAATTGAATTAATACATTGTACGGTGATTACATAAAAGCACCATCGCTCACTAGGCTTTAAGGCATTTAGGTGCTTCAACTGCCAGGGTTATTTTGCACTGCTCCTCTATCGTTATTTTGCACTGCTCCTCTATCTCAGTATCCACAAACAATAAACATCTTTCAGAAAGTCGGAATAACCTGAGGACATTGGCAAAGAAAGTGGCGAAACAGGTTATATTTTAACTCCAAAAAGCAGATTTTCGCTGTCGTGCGCCACATTTGTTCCCACTGCGACTCGTCTCTCAATATTCACAGAATCAGGCACGATCAGTCATCCACTGGTTACCTGTTGTCTAAATATAAGAACAGCGGTGAGCTCTTTTTTTTTCTCACCATGTTCCCCCACTCATAACATCTTGGACCCCTCTTTTGATATTCCTGTATACGCCCCTGAATAGAGACTAATTCTCAAAGGCTAACTTTAACGTAAATCTCAAGAAAAAACTTTCAGATGTAACTGATTTTTTTTTATCATGAAGTTTAGTTGTTGAAATATACCCAAAAAGTATACAGTAGTTTAACGTGCATAATGCTCGTTAATGTTCCTCCAAAATGATAAATAATAAAAAAAACAAAATCATTACAAGCTTCAACGCAAAACACAAATTTACCCCAATAAGCACACTTCCAATAGTACGAAGACGATATACAGTTTTATTTATTTTCTTACCGTGAATGAGGAATCCGACAAGGCCATGGAGAGCGACGTCGTGTAAGGTGGCAACGTTAATCACTTGAACTACACCAATTGGCGCGGTGCTTTACCACCAAAAAAAAGAAAAAAAGACCACGTTTCAAGAATGAATCAAATATCGTGCTAAATTTGGTCTCCGCCACCCTTAAAAAATAATTAATTAAGATTTCAAAGCTTCTCTCATATAAAAACTCATACATTCCAAGAACATAATACAAAATCAAAGTAAATTAAACCCCTTTCCCTGAAAATATTACTTGATATAAAACACCACCACAGAATCATAAATCAGATTCCCCTAATACGGGTTCCATTACGTAGAGACATTTCCGTTCGGAGCCATAGCGCATGACTAAGGCTTCGACGAGCTCTCGGACAGGTGTATCACGTAAGGTGGCAGCATTGATCGCTAGAAAGGCACCTTAGCCGATGACGCTATGAAGTGTTGTTATATTAATAATGAATGAAGGACAAGTGTTATAATGGATGACGAGTGGAAGACAGGTGGTATAATGAATGATGAGCGGAAGACAGGTGTTATAATGAATGATGAGTGGAGGACATGTTTTAAAGTTAATGACGTGTGAGTGCAGATGCTGATATAAGGTAAAATATGATGTGACGTGTGTGTGTGTTATTATTTACATATTTATGTGTACTGTACTTGTATGTTCTGTACGTGTATGTGTGCGCGTATGCGTCATTATGTGAACATGTGTATACATCTAATGCCATTATGTTTCAGTATATTTCGTTCCCTCCCGCGTCGCTGTCTTCAGAAGTGACAGGTTTGAGTGTATTTGTGTTGTCTGTTGAGCGAATGGCGAGGCAGGTAGTTGGTTAATTACTCAAACGGATCTTTAACTAACCAACAACATAATTAGTTATCGTCAACTCCAACGATATATTATTATAATTGTTGTTGTAATTATTATGTCATTACTAGTAGTCTTATATATGTATATAATAGTACTAAATCCAGAGAGTATTTCAAAATAGGTATAAAAATAGGTTAACGCAGCAGGTAGTTAGGGTGACCTTGCTGGGTGTTGTCTGACCCGCCATGATACACTCTTCATCATCAGCTCTACATTGTGATCAACTCTCATACTGGTTGGAGAAGAACTTTATCAGCTCTAAGCAGGAAATTTCCGAACCTTCTAGAAGTTGAAATCTTGTAGTCAGTCGTATTGAGCAAGTATTACGGCCCAGCTAGGCCATGGATGTAACTTCTTTTCAATTTGGATTCTCAAGAATAATTTATTATGCAAAGATAATACGTGATCAATATAATTATATAAATAAAATCGATATTAAATGACTAGGAGAGATTATTATTATTACATGGTTTTCAACTGTTAAAATAATTTTACTGTTCTTGTATGTTGGATGTATTCCTTGGTGGTGTCTCCACTCATTGTATTATTGTTTAGATTACCCCCATACGTCAAACTATCTTTATTGGCAGTGAAATTAATTCTTTAACAATCCTCCTGTAATCCACAGGCTGGCTGAGATAGCGAAGGATCCCACCAACTCACCTCAACAGAAAATAGATACTATTACGTCATTGGTGCACGCCCACTATTGTCCCCGGGCCAATAGGAGGCTGGAGAAGTTGTGACGTCACGAAACCTCCCTAACACCACACAAAACAGGCCTTTGTGATTGGCCACGTGTACCTCTCGGGTTATTCAGTAAGTTGACAGCTCCCCTGCTTCAGTAGTGACTCGTCCCTTGCAAGTGGTGGGTGACGGTTCTGGGTATTTTGCCGGTGACCAGCGATAGCTACGTGAAACTCGTGGAGGACTGTCAGCGTCTTGCCATAAGTGCTGGGGCACCAAAGATCCTTGACATAGCGACAGACACAGACGGGTAAGCCGAGATTTTACAATAGTTTAAGTTAACATTTATGAGATGTTCGTTCACGTCCTTGGTACACATCAAGAAGTCAGTTTAGTACAGACTGTTAAAACCTCAGCGCCATTCTTATTTAATGATGGATGTGAATTGGTACGTGTTTTATGAGCAACCTGTGTATTTTTAGATGAAAGTCAATTTATTTTGGTTTTTAATTTAGAATTCCATCCTGCGCACTGTCCGAACGCTATCATGCCACAGCTTCTGAGCAGTATCAGAATGTTTCGTCAGGTTGGCCTGCCGACCGGAAGGGTTTCGGTCGTAGGAGATAGTTAGTTTGTTTCATTTGCTGAAACTATATGATCTTGTCATGCCGAGTCGAGTTTATTTTTTCTTACAGCCGTGAAAATGGTGTAATTATTACGTAACGTAGTTAAGAAAGGGATCTTGTTATTATAGTTTAACAGGTTATGTGCCGACAGCTGTACTTGGCCTGCCAGGTAAAATAAATAGAGGCCATTGTAAAAAAGGTTATGGATTATTTAAAGTGTTTATAAAGCTGCCGCTGACAGAAAATGGCGTAATAGTATTAAAGATGATGTAGGGACGGGATGTAATGTAAATAGGAAGGTTTGTGGTCGTGTGACTTTATCATTATTAAGATATTGTATGAGGGTACTGTTGTCTGTTTAATGTTTAGTCACCTGGGGTGGATAGGTTTTAAGTGTATTTAAGGAGAAATAAGCTGGAATGCATGATCTTCACGTGGCCCGAATGTACAGATTGTACTCGTGGTTGACGAAGCTGAAACACATAAAACCTGTCCAAATGTAACCTGAACAAATTTTCCTAAAGAATGTTTACGTTAATTTGGTTGCTGGTGTTCAGTAAACAGTTATGGCCATCTCTGTAGTTTTATACTTTTTTGGGAAGATGTGCTGTTAAGTGAATGAGGTGGTTTATTCTTACACCATCATTTACGAGAAAGTTTCACCACACGAATCTTCAAGAATCTGTACTCTGTATTACGATGGTCCAATCACGATACCAGGTGCTCGAACCTTGCGTTTTAATATTTTATACCCAGTAAACATGGTGTGCGTGTCCACTGCCGGATTAACTAACTTAGTGACACTGATTGCTTCTCGATTGCTTCTTTCGAACTAGTTATGAAACGGACCGTATAGAACAACCAAACCTAACCGAAGAGTTCACTTAGGTGATTTTAAGAACCCCCATATCTGAATACTGTATTACACAATTCGCCTGGGTTGGGGAACTCCAACCCTGGTGTATTTTCGGTGGCAAATGTGAACTGTTATCAAACAAACGGTGTTTGGGGGATTGTATAGCTAGTTTTAAGTGTACTTGCATTTTACGGAACTGAAATAGCTTTCATTTTTCTGCTCCAAAATATTGCAGTCATGGGGGTTCGCGGCGAATTGTTCCCTGCCTTCACGTGCGTACACACTCTTGCGAATTAAAACCCCCTTGGAACCTTGGTTTTAGCGGGAATAGACTGCCGAACATGTCTCAAGACGATTCGTTCCCGTATGAGACTTGGTTCATCTGTGGGTTTCACGGCTCTTATCACTAAATCCGTAAATTTAGTATAGCAAGGAATGTTCTATACCTAAAACAAGTTAATTTGGTGGCCCCCGTTCTTGATATTTAGCACTTTGTATAGGGATTATCTTGAAGGGTCGCGGTGGATGACGTAGCCGACTTTACCAGACGCGCTTCCAGTTAAACGAGCCAAGAGTAATATTGAGTGGGTTTGATTCGTGCTGTCTAATGTTATTTTTTTTTCACTTTCGGATTATTCTATGCATTAACGAACGTACCGGTGGAGATCCCGTAAAATATACAAAGAAATAGTGGCGGAGCTTGACATTGGCTATTAATCAACCTTATTATCTTTTAGATTAAAACAATATTTTTTGTTTCAATACAGTAATCAGGAGTATGGAGCGGCGTACGTTGGGTAATAGGAGGAAATCATGACTGTCGTCGTAGATACTCGGAGGTAGCGGCAATATCTAAGATTAATTTTGGAAGATTTTAATTTAAATGATAAAGGTCATGATAACGGTTTAAGAGGGATATATTTCTGATGAAATTAATAAGGTTAAAAACTTAAGCAATTAGGTGAACATTGGTCTGCTGGCACTGTAGATGCAGGTTGGCCTACGGGAAAATGCGTGTAGTGTTTAAGCAAAAACATTGGCAGAGGTATTGTATTGACACCAGATTCTAATGTAGAAACGCAATTGCATATACTGTACCAAACTAAACATTTATGTAAGCAACTTGCCAAGTTTTGGGGGGCGAAATAAATTGTAGAGGCGCACTTGAGCGGCCTCGCACAAGAGACTTGTATAAGTATTTCTTGTAGATCAACAATGGAAACGTGGACAGGGTAAATCTCGACAAAACCACAAAGGAAAAGAGAAACGAAGGAGCACCATAGTTTTCGTGTTTATTCAAGACTTCTTCAAAGGAAACTGAAGAAGTCTTGATTAAAGACGGAAGCTAAGGTGCCTCATTGTTTACCTTTTCCTGTGATTTTATCGAGATTGCATAAGTATTTATATAGAATGTTTCTAAAAATAAATCCCAATACAAACATACATGAACATATTGTACACAGGCAAACCTATACACAGGGCCGTCCCAAAGAGGGTGCGGGGCCCCAGGACAGGACACAACCTGATCTCACTGGTTACTGGCCCTGATGGACTGGCTGTGTGGAGTGGAGTGCAATGGATGGAGTCAGATTATGCGGTCAGAGGAACCCAATCCCCATTGGAGTGTCGCTATGGATGGTAAGGTCACGGTTGCGATGGTGGCGTAAGTCGTCAGGTCAGATTAACCAGTCAACAGGTAATGTGTCCGAGGTCACTGGGTCTAGTGCTGGGGCCCCGGGCGGTCGCCCCTGTTCCCCCCCCCCCCCTCCAAGGACGGGCCTTCCTATACACATCTAGACATGAATCGTGTCCACAATATAAACACTGTTAATGTTGAAACCGTTCACTATAAATATAAAGCTTTTATTAGTTGATTTTTGATATACAATAACTCAATTTTTTGTTGGTTCACCGAGGCAAAAAACTTGTTCATGGGCGTAATAACTGGTCCTACGTGTGTAGTGGTTCAAGGTCGATCTGCACGAACACATTGCGAGAATCCAGCCTGTCCGTCTTTGTCTCGAAGTTTAATGTAATTTGTCAAGGTGTCAGTTGAATTGACTTCGAACTTCAGTTGAATTGACTTCGAACTTGGAAGGGTCTAACCATCAGGTGCAGATATATGTTCTCACAATGTGGTTGTTGCGGTTTGAAGAACGTTAAGATCACAGCTGAAGATCAAGATTCAAAACTTTTTCCGGAGCAAACTTTTAAGTGCCAATGTTGAATTTTAAACCGGCTGTATTATGAGTGCTGGTTATTAGTCTTAGATGAAAGTAAAAACACTAGTGTTATGCTGATAACGTTACAATTATTTGACGAAACTTATGGCGAATGTTTGTCAAAGGTCAAGGTCACTGCTGGTTAAATCTAAAAATATTGGCCAGATAGTAACTTTAATCGATGCTGATACTTTGATGGCACATTACATTTGCATCTTCACTAGATAAATTGTGAGCATCTGTGACCCGGTCAAAGTCAGTGGTCAAACCCTTATCTAGACGTTATCCTCTAGACTCTAGAGGATATCGTCAAATTCAATTAGTTGGAACCGCGAGAATATTTATCCTAAGGAGATGTGCACGTCAAACTGTACGTGTTAATATTCCCGTTGAAGGTCATGCTTCAAGACGTTGTGCTGAGCATAAATTTACTTTTCAAACTTAAGGACATAAGTATGGAGGAAACTGCAGCGGGCCTATTGATCCATACTGGGCAGTCCCGTTTATACCCAGCCCCTATCGCTCATATAAGCATCCAACCTATGTTTGAAGCTATCCAGCGTATTCGAGTTAATGATATTTGGTAAATTGTTCCATTCATCCACTACTGTTTCCAAACCAGTGTTTACCTATTTCACGCCGAAATCTAAATTTGTCTAATTTAAAACCATTGTTACGAGTTCGCTCCTGGTTGGATAGTTTGACTACCTTCGTAATGTCCCCTTTGTTTAACCCTGACTTCCATTTATACACCTATCATGTCGCCCCCTCACTCTACGTCTCTCGAGGGAGTGCAAATTAAGATGCTTTAACCTGTCTCTGTATTCAAGGTTCCTAATGCCCGGGATTAGTGTTGTCATTCTCCTCTGGATTCTTTCCAATGATTCTATATCCATTCTGTAATACGGTGACCAGAACTGAACTGTGTAATCCAGGTGAGGTCTTCTCACAAGCGCTAGATATAATTTTAAGATGACCTCGCTAGTCTTATAACTAACACTCCTTTTATGAACCCAAGTACTTTATGAGCCTTGTTACGAGCAGAAACACATAGTTTACTTGGCTTAAGATTTCTACTTATCATTACTCCTAAATATCTCTCGCAGTCGGATTCCACAATGGCATCTTTGTTAATCTGGTAACTGGTTTCCCTGTTTACATCTCCTATACTGAGTACTTTACTTTTGTCCACATTGAATTTCATCTGCCATTTTTCCGACCATTTGAAAAATTTGTTTAGATCTTCCTGTAGTTTTGCAGTCCTCGTCAGATTTTATTACACGTCCAATTTTAGTGTCATCAGCAAATTTACTTATGTTGATGTCTATGCCGATATCTATGTCGTTTATGTATACAATAAATAATAATGGTCCAAGTACTGAGCCTTGGGGAACTCCACTAGTGACGTTGCTCCAATGCGATTTAGTGCCGTTTATGCTCACTCGCTGTTTCCTGTCCTGTAACCACGCCCTAATCCATTTAAGGATATTACCTTTGATGCCATGCGCTTCTACCTTTCTAATTAGTCTTTCGTGGGGGACTGTCGAAGGCTTTGGTTAAGTCGAGATGTACCACATCATAATTGTGCCCCTTGTCCACCGATTCGAAAACTGATGAAAAGAATGTTAATAGATTAGTTAGACATGAACGCCCGCTTATTAAACTTAATTGATATGTTTTGTCAGGTTATGCCTCTTGGAAAAACAAAATTCTAGTCATATGATTTTATCTAACGGTCATAAATTGGGATTTTTCAAATTGGAAATTAAACAGGAAAAAAAAAACTTGAAATAAGGTAAAATGGACCAACCAACTTTATTTATCTGCATAGCTTTGAATGTTACATGTAATGGTAGTTAGGTTGGGTTAACTACAGCTGCTGCGAGTAAAAAGTTTGATGTTCGTTGTCAGGAGGATGTGAGGTTATGTTAGGTGGGTGTCTGTAGATGTGTTATACAATAGTTCCGAAGAAGTATATGGCAGTGGATTAATGGAGGCCGATAAGAAGCTGGTATGGGCATAACCAGTGACTTCGTTATAGTATGATGATTGTTGATTTTATTTGAATTTATCTGTTCACGTTTCTTAAATTACTTTCATACAAAAATAAATATTTACCGAGGATAAAATAGTTTTGGTGATACAGTATTTATATCCAGTGTGGTCCTCGCTACATGGTTCCAAATTACCACAGGTAAGAAATAATAGGACTACTGTATAATTTACTTACAAACCAACATACAATAGTGGTGTTGAAACCGACTAGTAACTCCCTTCATTAAAACTTTCCCTGCTTAAAAACAAGAATAATTTGATATTTAGACTGAAAGTGGTGGATCATTCTATAGACGAATACCAACGTAAAGACTGCTCTTTAACAAAATTATTTTCTTACAACACACGATTAGTGACGAAGCAAAAAAAAGCAGCTTCGCCTTGAAAAGTGACTTATGATTATTTATTGTATCTACTGTAGTAGGCTTATTCAGTGACGTTGCCAAATAGAAAACGGGTCTTGTGCTCTCAGACTTATTCATACACGTGACTCCGAGAGATTGAGGAATTTCCGCCAGTTGAGTTGTACGTCTCGCAAAATCCCCGGGGTCTAAGACTGTTGAGTGTCTGTGATCAGTGTTCACCCAAGTGTGACCTCTGACGGTACGTTTAAAAACGTTCTATAGAAATCGGACACCTGGGGTTTCCATTGGCCAAGGTACTGGGACATGTTAAATTGTTCATTCGTTTATTCAGTAAAATCGTCACACAAGTATATAAAGAATGGTAAACATGAAGTCGATACGACAAGGATAGCCAGCAAGCCACCATATGTTTATTTCTGGTCCGTTTGTTATCCAATAAGACTTTTTGATAGCCTGTGATAGTTTATCAGATCTGTCTAATCTTCTTTTGACAAGCGATAATAATTTGACGCCAAATGTGTTGCTAATCCTTGCTGTTGGGTAGTTAAATATATATTTTTTATGGCAGATAGGATACTCTTAAGTCATAAACCAATCGTTATGATTGTACGAATCTTTGTAGCTGAGAGTTGGAGAAACACTCCAGTGGCATGTTATCTTTTCCGTACAGGAAGTTGTCAGGGTCGTGGTAGGAGCCTTACAGTATGTTCCCACCGCCAGCCAAGTGCCTCTTGTTACTAATTTTGTAGTAATATAGTCGTTTATATTTTGTGTAATGTAGTCTGCAACACTAGTGCAACGCTGTAAGCATTGCACACATGTTAGTGTGGTTCCTAATTTGATAAGCACCTTCGCGTTATGGCGTGCGTGTAGTCTTGTCAATCTTCGTGTGGCGGATAGTGTTCCAGGAGGGTAATTGGGTGGGGGAAGTATAGTGGAACAGAAGTTGTGGAGGATTAGTGGATGGGTGTGGAGATAATGCAGTGGGTGGGCGGCATTCACGGAAGGATTTGTAGGTACAGCTGGAGATATTCCTACTCAATTACTGTCATCCAGTGTTTTTGTTGTTTATCTATGTTGCTGCCAGCAGACACAGGTAGGCACACTCGGCTGCAAGTGAAACAGTTCTGTTTGTATGATTATTGCGCGAGAGAATTTGTGGTTTTCACCTTGGATGATCAGAAAACTGTGTTACTAGAAAGAGATTTTGTCCGTACCATAATATAGACTTAAGTTAAGGGGCAGTAATGCATTTATAAGAATATAGATTTTTGAGAGGATGTGATAGAAGAACTGTTGGGCGAAAGATATTAAATTCATTTAATTTTAATAGACCATAAGGGGATGTATGTGTCCAACATTTTGAATTAATAATACAATTATCGGCAAATAAATTCAGTGGGGAGATATAGGAGGTAGGCGACAGTAATATAAACAAGCAAAACTCGTGGCCTTGAAACACGGCAAACAATACTACACCAAGGCACGGGACGCTGCATATTATATTTGATAATGTTGCTGCTGCAATAAACATACATGCGTGGATTTGGGTAATGAGTATGTTAACTATTAGGCGCTCACGAAATGAGTAACAGTGAGAAATTAAATTTGGTAAAAATTAGCCCCCCAAGCCCCAATCACATCCCTGGGTCGCCACTCGTTTTTGGAATAGGTACGACATGGGCAAGTATCCAAGACCGGGAACGCACTCGTCGCCTAAGGGACCGGGAACACACTCGATGTCTATATTTAATTGAAAACACACTTTATAAATTCAGATGAAAAAGGGTCACGAGATTCTTAACTCCAAGGATAGTTTATATGATTAAACTGCCAATTGTTTCTGGTGACAAATATTTTACTTTACTTTTTACCTTTATGCTCTAAGCCACTGATCGGCTCGTTTGCTGCTTCGGCGGTCGGTCACGTCTGATATACTAATAAACCTGGAGCTTTTGTAATAATGAACATAAACCGTATAAAGACCAAGCTGTAAGCCATACAGGAGACTCCCAAAGGAACTATGAAATGCTGTAGTTTGGGTGTATAAATACAACTTCTTGTATAGATTTTAATGACATTACTCAAACACCTTGAAAGAAAGATCATTTTCAGGTTCTTTGATTGATATGGAGTGTGTACTCTTTGAACTCTATTTGTTGTTTTGCACTTGGGTATTATGAATAATTATAATTGTTATTCCGTAGGTCTTAAGATGTCTGCTATCCTGAAGGGTATCCGTGCAGCCTTCGGGGATGTGGAGATGACTCCTTACACCGTCATGGTTGAGCGAGATGTAAGTTGTACATTTGTCTGTGAATGTTGTTCTCAACTTGCCTATAATATGTAGGTAGAGGATAACCAGTTCTGCTTGCGACAGGCATGGGGTCAATTCCAGTTGAAACTGCAGTCCGAGAATTAAAAAAATCTTCAATTTAATTTATGTGCTTTAATTCCAATTAAATTCATTTATTTAATTTTCATATTGAACAAACAAGGTTTCATAGTAACCGTTTTATTTCCATACAACATAAACTATTACACACTAACAAATGAGATGTTAAGTTGTTTATTGCCACTCAGATGTTCATTTACTGTAGTTTACATACTGAATTCTTGATCACTACATTACTTTTATCCTCTTCACCACTGATTGGCTCGTTAGCTGCTTGGGCGATCGGTCACGTCTGTTGTGCACTGTTGGCAAGTACTGGGCATCCACCAGCTCCTGAATGTACCTGAACCTGCTATAGTGTTGGTCAAGTCTTGTCATGAAAGAGCTCACACTCTGTGCCATCACAACACTGGAAGATTGTTCCTAGAGTTCACAACTCTCACTCCGAAAAGGTTTGCCTTCCCAGATTTCTGGACTTGCGGCTTCTTCAATCTTGAGCTGTGACACCTTGTGGGGCGAGCGTCTGCCAGCTCCAAGTAAGGACACTCGACTGAGTAGTGCCCTTTGCCTGTCTGTAGTATAAGCTAGGCAAGTTTGGGCATTCCAATCTCTCAGGGTAGCTGAGGTGCCAAAGTGCGGACACCAGTCTGGTGGCCCTCCTTTGAACATTTTCAAATAACTGACAGTCCCTAGCATATCTCTGGGACCAGATGGGGGTGACAGTACTCCAGATGGGGAAGCACTTCACTCTTGAAGATCTTTACGAGGGACGGACCATCTAGATATCCGAACATCCTTCTTAAAAGACCGATTTTCCCGATTTACTTTCTTCTCACAATAGCCCGAGAACAATGCTATTCCAATTATCTGCTTTGGGACAGATACCCAGCTAGTGGGAACCACCTTGTCGTGGTGAGGGGTCATGAGGTCCTGATAATCAGTTGTCATACCAGAGGGGGGTCCTCCCCACCCCCTTTGGGAGTACGGTTTACCCATGGTGGTGGGATCACCAGTGAGGGATGAGACAATAAGGTTACCAAATTCACCAAGACCCTTAAGAGGGGAATATTGCACCCTCCCCTGGCCCAATCCAATTTGGGCTGGGTAGTAAGACTCTCACATGTTTGTAGTGCTGCTGACCTGTGCTGCTGGGAGCTGGGAGTCCTGGTGATTGAGTGATGCCATATGCTGCCGACCTGTGCTGCTGGGAGTCCTGGTGATTGAGTGATGCCATATGCTGCTTCCTGCTGCTAGGAACACGCCCCTTCTGTCCCTTATTCTGGCTAGATGGACTGCTTGACTCGTGCCTGGTCTAATCTGTCGGCTGGTCAAAGTGGCTATAGGGTTGAGCGACCACTACTTGGTCGGCATCGCATCGGCTCTGCGGCCGCCGTAGGTACCAAATGTTGGAGTGCGTATACTTCCTCATTACTACTGGGGAGAAAGTGTTCTCCCTTTGTGGTTCCTCGGCAATGTCTTCTGGCAATTCACTCTCCACCGCCATTCAGCCCTTCCTGTCCCTAGGTGGTGCCACTGGTTCTCCTGTTTCCTTCATTTCAACCTCGCTGGCTGGCGGGTTGAACCATGCTATGTTTGAGATGAGGCTTAAAGGTCCGACAAGCTAGTACAGCTCTTCTACCCTTATCTTCAAAAGTCCCTTGGTGTGTCAATTATGGATCTCGGCATTTTTGGTATACAGTAATACCCTGCTTTACGCGGGTTTTTTTACGCGTTTCTACATTTATGCGGTACCCCGCCAGAACCGGAATGTTCACTTTACGCGGTGCATATACTCATATACGCGGGAAGCGTTGTTGGCAGGGTGCGCACAAGGTACCCCAGTCATCAAAACATTTCCGGGTTCTTCACCCACCACAGGCGGCCCAAGTCAGTGATAGTGAGGATATGGACTTCTATGGACTTGAGGGGTTTGACAAAGAGGCCCTGCAAGCCTCTGTGGTGGATAGTGATACAAGTGATACAGGTGAGGGCCAATAATCTGCCCTCTGCCTCGGAACCAACCCCCCATCCTCGTGTGCCCAGTCATCTTTTCTACTAATGTAAGTGTTAAAAAACCTAATATTATTGATATTTCTCTTAATTATTAATTGTGTGCATACCATCATAAAATTAAGTTATTTTTACTACAACATAGGTATTAAGTCTGAAAAAGTGGAGTTTGGGGGTCGGCCCAGTCTATTTCAATTAATCCCACATGTTCTGTTGTTCACTTTACGCATTTCCCGCTTTACGCGGGCCTCCGTGGGTTCAAATTACCGCGTAAAGCGAGGTATTACTGTACACCGCACCCTTGTCTGGGTTTGTGGTGGTTAGCCTTGGGTTCCCCGAGGAGCCTTCTGGTAGAGGTGTCATCCCAGGAGGAGAATGTGCATCTTTGAAAAAGTTCCCAGTTTGCTTGAGGGTGTCAAATTAGTCTGGATCCATCTCTAGTGGAGTAACACCTTCAAAATGTGTTCCCTCGCTACTTTATTTAGGACTACACCACTGTATGTTACAGTGCAGTACTAGAATTTTTAACAATCCTGTATATATTTGTTGGCTTGTGATAATTTATGGAATTAAAGATTTTCACCTGTCTGTCCACAGGGTTATGAGGAGCGATTATACCCAGCCAGGAAATGGGCTTGTACGACAATGAAAGGCACCAGTCAGCAAGAGCTAGTCAGTCCTATGTTTCGTGCGCTTTTCAACTACATATCTGGCAAAAATGATCCTAGTGAGTAAATCATATTTTCCCTATAATGAGTTTGGTATTAGTTAAATAAAAACCTTACAGATATTTGTCTGTATACTGAGTAGTTATTTATAAGATTAAATATCAAACTGCAACAATTATATGTCCAGTATGTGTTTTAGTGTGTGGGTATTGAGCAGAAAATTTATGAAATAGAAATACAAAATGGGTATCCCCTGATTTACAATCCCATTTTATGATATCCATGTTAACAATAATTAGGTTTTAATAACTTCAATCGATTTGTTTGGCAAAATCCACGTTAATAATAGTTAGTGCAAGGCCAAATGATTTGGTTAACATGAGGTTTGGCTTAATTTGAACACATTTCAAATTGCACAAGTCAAAAGTGAAAAAAACTGCTATTTTAAACAACAAAATTGATATATAGCATATCGTAAAATACAATACCGCATATTTTATAAAAAAAAAATTGGCTCCTTCCACACTCGGACCCAGTTCAGCCAGGCAGGCGACCAACTGACTCGCAGCTCAAGTGCAAATTAAGCTTGGGGTTTTCTTTATTTAAATCCAAATGTGGGACTTTTTTAATAACTGGATTTTCATAAACTGGATATAAATAAATGTCAAAATGAGTATCATTGTGACAGACTGTGACAATTACCCAGTATATGTTTTAAGTTGTGCATAAAAATATTTTAATCTTCCCATTATAATAAATTTCTCTAGTAACTTGTGGGGAATTAATTTGTTATATAAAATTTCTATGGTACTGTATTTGGTGTAAAATGAATAGAAATTAATATTGTTTCTGATGGTAATATGACTAAATGGCATCAGGAAAACTTATTATGAATGTGTCAAAATGTATTGAAGCAGCTGTGGCACTGCTGTAATTGGTATAATATCAACTTTTCTTTCTTTTTCAGATATACGGATTGATATGACATCCCCAGTTACAACATATGTAGAGCCTGGTGCTGGTCCTACGTGTGAGTCTACCTTTACTATGGCATTCTTGGTGCCTGAGGAACACCAGCTGACTCCACCATTATCAGTTGACAAAACTATTTTTATTGAGGATCGTCCAGAACTAACAGTTCTTACAAGGTACAGTAATTTGAGAGCAGGATATTTTTTCCAGTAAACAGGTAATCTTTTGAGTGCATACCTTGGAGTAGCAACACTGCTTTGTCAGCAGAGAGGGGACTTGAAAGTCCTGCATATAGTGCTCAGTTTCCACTTGGTAAAGGTGGTTTGGTGATAGGAAGGGCATCCAGCCTATTTAAAATTTGCCTCATGGCAACCAGCACACCATGTAATCATGACCCACACGAGTGGAAAAAGGTGATGAAGATGATTTGCTCGAGATGGAGTCTAGAGAATTGTAGAACTTTCCTCCGGGGTGTCCCTACGCCACGTCATACTTTGCGTAAGCCTTCACCAGGCTCTGCAGTAGAGGAGTACCTGCATTAGTAATACAGTATTGGTAGTAGTAGTAGTAGTTGTACAATAGAAGTTGGTTTGTCCTTCATGATGCTCTTCAAAGGTATGGTGCTCCACACTAGTACAGTATTGTCATTGTCTGGTCCTTGAGATATGCTAAAGATGGACATTTAATTGAGATCATCCATAAGAGAAACCACCAAACTGGTGCCTGCACTTCAACACTTAGAACCAAGAAATTATATTGCCTTCAGTTGCATAGCCTATACAGACCTGCAAGGGATAACTAATTTTAGTTTATAAGCCCCTCAAAGGACCTGCATTACTCGGTCAAGTGTTCACAGATTCGACTTGCAGAAGTAGTGAAGTGCAGAAAATTGTCAGAGCAAACTCTCTTGGAGTTGAGTGCTAAGCCCCTTGCTGAAAATCCTGTCACACTGATTTGACAGTTAACCATATCCAAGTTGACTGCAGGTCTTTTTATCTTTAAAGGAGAGACGGTTCCCTGGACAATAAACCAATTAACAATTTTAAATGAAGATATTGTTAATGTTGGTTAATTTTTAAAACAAATACTGGTAGTTATCTTTTATCCTCTTCGCCACTGATCGGCTTGTTAGCTGCTTGGGCAGTCGGTCACGTATTTGTTATGCACTGTTGGCAAGTACTGGGTATGCACCGGCTCCTGAATGTATCTGAACCTGCTCCAGTGTTGGTCAAGTCTTGTCTTGAAAAGACCTCACACTCAGTGCCCTTACAACACTGGCAGGTTGTTCCAAGAGTTTATAGTTTTCATTCCCCCAAAAAGATTGCCCTTACAGTTTTCTGGATTTGTGGCTTTTTCAACCTTGAACTGTGATCCCTTGTGGGGCGGGCGACTGCCAGCTCAGAGGTATGGACACTCGTCTGTGTAGTGCCTTCTTGAGTTGTTTATAATCTTATTCTTCAGTTAGTCACCTCTTGCCCGTCTAGTATGATCAAGGTAGTAGCAGGTGCTCTAATCTCTAGATAACCGAGGTGCTGAAGTGGAGGCACCAGTCTGGTGGCCCTCCTTTGGACATTTTCAATCAACTGGCAGCCTCTAGCATACCTCTCCACCACCACTAGTTCCTTCATGCCATCTCACCCATTGTTCAATGTAAATGTTAGCACTAATTTTCATTTTAAATTTTCTTACTACTGTACTTTATTATTATTTATTATATTGTAAATAAAACATATTGAAGGAAATAGATAAATTAGTTTTTAGGGAGTTTCCTATAACTCTTGCCATTTCCTTTATTTCTTATGGGATAATTAAGTTTGATTTGCGCGTATTTTATTTATATGGCCATTCTGAAGACTGTAACTACCGTGTAAATTGAAAGATGGCTTACATGGAATTTTCTTATTGGCATCACAAGAAACTGGCTTGCAAAAACTTTTTTTTTTTCAGACGTTTTGGTGGATACACAAGTGATGAGATAATAATAAAAGAGGCAAAAGAACTTGCTGAGGCCATCAAGAAGAACGGTGAAACTGGAGTGAACTTTGATCAGTATTATGTTGTGGGCTATGATCCTCCATTTAAATTATTTAGCAGACGCAATGAAATCTGGTTTGTCAAGACCAAGGAAAGCGTCAAAAATCAAGAAATGAATGAAATGATAGAGAAAGTAATCGAGATAGATTTAAAAGAAGAGTGTAAATCTGTTGTAAAGGAAAGTGAGGAGGAGGATAAGGTTAAAGAGGAAGAGAAGGTTCAACAGGACGGGGAGTAAGGGACATGAAACCTAGTGGTATACTGTACAGCAGGAATTGAAATGGAGGTACCGGTAATAAGAAGTTCAGGAGATTAAAAAAGTGGAAAGTCAAGTGAAAGAATGATAATTAGATAAAGGCCAATATGGTGAAGAAAACAGAAAATTAAAAAAAAAACCTTAAGTGACTGTTCCTACAGAAATGAAAAAATAATTCCAAAATAAGAATTGTTTAATGATGGTACTGTAAATCAAAAGAACAGAATGAGGTGGGTGGAATTTTTGTAGGAAAGTTAGGCGATAGATCTGCTAATGTATATATTTTTTGTAATAAATATAACCAATATATAGTGGCCTTAGAGGGTGATAAGATTATATGAAGATTTATTTGCTGGAGGTTATGCATAAAGTTGTAAAGATATTAAACTCCAAATGAACATGATGGGAATTGCCATTTTTTGTCCTGGATTGAGTGTTTTCATTTTGAACCGGCCACTGGATAAACTAAGTAACTTGACTAATTGTTCAAATAATTCATAGAACACAAATATTAGTCTATTCAGCATTACTTATTTAACCATGAGTAATCTCTTGCATATTTATTCTTTTGAGAATTTGTTAGTTTGTTTAATAATTTACAGTGGGTAAGCTCTGAACCTTTTGATTCCAAGCCTCTTGTTCATCCCTTTGGGCCAACAATCTTATCGTTTTGCTGACCCTCCCGCCCAAGACCCAATATATTTTCTACTCTAGGTGCAGCTTAACATTTAAGTTATTGTGATAGGGGAGCTCATAAACGCTGCTTTGTAATGCAAGGGAGCAGCATCTGCTTCTTTGTTTTGATACCAAACCTAGAGTTGGAAAATTAAAAACTAAACTACTGTACTGTGGGTGGATAAAAGAGGATTTTGTATGGGCCTACCCAGTACAGTACAGTACAGTAGATGATAAAGGGAAGGCAGGAGGTAGATTATAGGCAGGTAGGAGAGGTCTGTCTATTTTCCACTTGGTTCTCTTTGGTTTGTAAGAAAAGTTAACCTAAATTTATGGTTGATCTGAGCTATATCTACAGTATTATATTTTGTTTTTATTACTCGCAATAAGTTTGGTATTTTCTTGACATCATGAGCCATTAGTTGCATCATTTAGTGTACCACACTCCTCCATAAGGTGGTGTCTGGAATTCATTCATGTAAGGCTAGGATATGAAGAATAAGCTTTTCCTGTACTACCACTCGTATATCATAATTGTTATAGCTTGCAAAAGTTTCTTTATATATAAATACATGAATGCTTTATGGATGCTCACACGTGTATAAGTGCTGTAATGTTTATCCAGATACTGTATTCAAACTGCGATGTATTTCGTATTCCATTTAGGAAAATATTTTTTGTAATTCACCACATTAATGCCATGCAGGTAATTCATGGGACATGTCGACCTGTAGTGATCCAGCAGTAGGTAAGGAAGATTTACATGGTAATTATGCAGGATAGAAAACTGTAATAAAGAGCTTTCCAGAGTTAAAGTATATGGCTGTTTTAAACCTGTACATTTATGTACTGTATGTGATAAGAGTAAGTGTTTTTCTAACTTTAACCTCCAACAGTTTCCTGCATATATGAGTGAATTTTGGTGTACTTAAGTCACGTCAATGTTTGATCCAGGAAATATATTTTATAGTGTTTCTTTGAAGACGGTTGTTTAATAAATTAGCAAGCAGAAAATGTTTTGTCTTTTTCTTCCATGCAGTAGAACCGTCTTGGTAAATGCCAATGATTTGTGCTAAAGGTGTGGCTATACAGTACTGTTAGTTGCTGTACAGCAACAACCGCATCTAAACCTGCTTCAGCTTTTCAGTAATATAATGAATTACAAATGTTCAATTTGTCTCCATGATAGACCCAATGGCTCCAGTACTTGGCTTTGAGCCTAAAATCCATAAATCGTGTAATCTATTAAAAGATAGAATTACAAGTAATGTCAACTTTGAACATTGTGACCTCCTCTGTAGCTATTGTTCTTGCAAAGCCAAATAGGAGTTGTGTATATAAATAAACACGGAGATTTCCTTGCAAACCAAGAAAGTTATATTTTTAAGGGAGTAACATTGGGAAGGTCTTAAACTAAGGTTTCCGTAATGGACATTAAAGTTTTCTTTTTATATTGTACTTGCTTCTTTTCACCTCTGGTCATCTTACTAGTTGGTTGGGTGGTCAGTCTGTCCTCTTACATAATATTGAGTACTGTGCATACTAAGATTCAATGTCCCAAAGATGTAAGCGGATGCATTTGGGTCGTACCAACTGTAAGGAGGCTGATGTCCCAATGGGACGAAGAAACTGCATTAATAGACAGAATGCGTAAGAACCTGGGTAAGTATGCTGACAATGAATTGAAGTTCTCTGGTCATGTCATTGTGAGAAGGTGAATTGAGCATCTGAAGTAGGTCTTAAAAGGTCATTCAGATACCTAGTGTAGCGGTCCGTCACTCGTAAAGATCTTCAAGAGCGAGGCGTTTCCTTGTCTAGAGTATGGTCTCCCCATTTGGTCCCCGAGTTATGCTAGGGACTGCCGGTGGATTGAAAATGTCCAAAGGAGGGCTACCAGACTAGTGCCTGGGCCTTGTTTATCCACAGAGATAGTGCCTGCAATTGCCCAGCTTTACTATAGACGGGCACTACTCAGTCGAGTATCCATACCAGCAGCTGGCGGACGCCCCCCCCCCCCAGGGGTCACAGGTCAAGGTTGAAGAAACTGCAAGTCCAGAAAACTGTGGGCTAACTTTTCCAGATTGAGAATTGTGAATGCTTGGAGCAACCTGCCAGTGTTTTGTGATGGCACCAAGTGTGAGCTGTTTCAAGACCAGACTTGACCAGCACTGGAGCAGGTTCAGATACATTAAAAAAGTGTGCATGCCCTGTACTTGCCAGCAGTGAGTAACAGACATGACCGACCACCCAAGCGGCTGATCAGTGGCGAAGATAAAATTAAAAAAGTAAAAGATGGTTCTAGCCTGCTGTAGTATTATGTTTATCAGACCAAAGCATCTAGAAAGCCAGACCAAAGCCAGTAGAATAACAGACAGTAGTAATTAGGGTAGCAGGTGTTCACCCACCATACAGTAACTATGGTGAGGTTAAGACCTGACTCAACAGTCCTGGTCAGAAAGGGAAGAATTCTTGCAGCCAGATGGCGTCATGGCCTTGTTACTTCAAGGAACTGCACTCTACCCAGTACTCCTGCTCACCTGATTTAACAAGCCGGTCGAGAGAGACCCAGATTAGTGTTAATTAAAAGGACAACTGCCGGGTTGAAACCTCCAATATAAGGGGCCTTCAGCTTCTTCAGGGCTTCATTACCGTGAGGGGGCCAGCAACACTGGCTCCCCAGTCCTGCTTGTCTCGCCAGCTGCTTAGAAGACCAATAGTAAGTAAAATGAGGTCTCAGCCCAGTCCATCGATGGGGTTGCTATCTACTCAGTGTCGAAGTGAATGGTGGCTGTGTAGATGGTAGTAGTGCAGTGATTCAAGGATCGACATAGTGGAAGTGCCCATTTACTTTATAGGTAATAGGAGTACATGGTCCATAATCTACTATATATTGTGTACGAGCCCTCCCATTCATCTAGTAAAATAAAGCTGTAACATGCATTTGTTTTATATACTACACTTGTACTGATCCTGTGTTAATATACTGTATATCATCTTTACACCCTCGAGTCACGCTACCAACTTACCTCACTCTACAACCCTACTACTATAAATTCTTACTTTACCTCTTCATATGATTTTTTTTTATTTTGTGCGGGGAATAGCCCACCCGGGCACAGGTCATCGACCCACAACGGGGCCCCAAGGGGAGAAAAAATAAGAGTTAAAATAAATTAAAAATATTAAAGAAAGCGATTACATTAATCTACACCACAAAGATGCCGGAAAACCCGCTTTTTGAAGTAAGACATTGTATGAGTATAGAAACACAGAAGAAGGCAGAGCATTCCACAGTTTGGTTGTGTGAGGAAAGAAGGTATTATAACGGGTTATTCTCATGTGGCCGACATCCACAGAGAAACGGTGGGCACCGCGGGCAAGACAAGTGTTACGAGCCCATGGCCTTGCCGGCGGCACACAGGATGCCAAATCCACCGAACATTGCTCGTTAAAGTACCTGTAAAAGAGAGAATGAAGCAACATTGTGGCGAAGAAAGATTATGAACTAAAGGAGGAGAGTTAATGAGACGAAATGCCTTTGATTCCACCCTATCTAACAGTTGGACAGAAGAAGAGCCACCCAAGATATGGGAGCAGTACTCCAAGTTAGGACGAAATAAGCCCTTATAAACTTAAAGCAACTGCTCAGGAGAGAAGTAGCTATAGCATCTGTACAGCATTTCCAGCTTTCAGGAGGCAGCTTTAGCAATGTTGCGGATGTGTGGCTTCCATGACATATCAGATGAAATGGTGAGGCCTAGCATATCTCTTAGAATTTGGCAGAATGATTGGGTCCTGAATTGTGATTGGTGGAAGATCATCTAATTTGGAGTGTAGGCCTAATTGGTAGATATTGTGTTTTATTACTATTGAATTTATCCAAGTTTGTACCTCCCCATTCGGAGATGCTGCACAGATCTGCATTGTTAGATGTAATGATATCAGCTCTAGAAACAGATCTAGTTTGAGAATTTGGGGGGGAGGGGAAAATGTGAAGAATAGTGAAGAGTAGAATCATCACTGTAAGAATGGATAGATAAAAGAAGGAAGAGAGTAGGTGAAAGAACACCATTATTGGTAGAGAAAGAGCGAGAGATCGATCCCGAGACAACTACTGCCATGGATCGGTTCTCAAGGAAGCTAGAAATTAGAGAACAAAGTGGGTGAGAGAAACCATAAGAGGGAAGCTTGGAAAACAAGGATTTGTGCCATACCCTGTCAAATGCTTTGGAGATGTCGAGGGCCACGACGAAAGCTTCCCCATAATCCCGAAGAGAGGATGACCAAAGATGGGTGCAGTAGGAGAGCAGATCACCAGTAAATCTCGCCTGGCAAAAGCCTTACTGGTGATCCGACATAAGAGAAAGGCGTTCAAGGTGACGGAGAAAATGAGTTTGGAGTTTCGATTAACCTCGTTATACTATATAAAATGTTCACTGTACTGTTTTCATATTTGAATGATATATAATCAATATTTTTGTGGAAAAGGAGACGGTAGTGGAAGTTAGAGTAAAAATAAGTACTTTATGGGAGTGTGTTAGTAGGTAGCGGCCTTCATGATGGTGGAGGAAATGATTTTAAAATGTGCTCTTCAGCATTCATTAATAAGAAAACATAAATAATTTTTAAACCTTTAGTGTTAGATTCTACAATTTATGAACGTAAAAAAAATATCCATACTCATCACTTATAAAGATAAGGTAATTCAAGAAACAGTAGGTTTAAAAAAAAAAAAATTTAGGTTCGAATGTAAGACATCAGCTGAACTTCGTCCGAAAGCTATTACGCAAGTTTGGTTTTAAAGTATTAATAAAAAAAAACGTAAAATAATAATTAAAAACTTACGAGTTGATTATGATTAGGTATATAGTGTAATTTTTATAATTGAATTTATATTTATTATTATAGATAGTTAAGACGAGACTAGTAAGTAAGGAAGGTGGAGTGCAGAGGTTGGGACGAGTTCTCCCTGTGTTTGGGGCTGGTAAAGTGTTTGTCAATCACATATGTTTCTTATGTGTGTTTCAGGTCCAGCTCCTTATAATGTCAGGCGAAAATTCGTCAGAGCCAAAGATTCTGAACCTCTTTATTTTTAATGCCAGCTACGGACAGAAGGAAGGCCATGTGAGTATAATAAAGTGTTGGTAGAGGTGTGGGAGTCTTCACAGTGAAGGATATAATTATCCTCAATACTACACCTATCACTAGCTCTTAACGAGAGTCTCTTCACTATATTCCCTGGTGTTATTTGTTGACATCTTTTCTTATCGGCTGACCTGTAGATTTATTTCAGTACAAGCTGTGAATATACTGTTGAAGGAAGAGGCAAATTATTGTTTGATAATATGCAGTTTACGTATTCAAGACAAGTCACTGATGATGTGTTATATTATGTGTAATACTTGGGGTACACGTTTCTTTTAGTTTGTGTGCTTAATGTTGTTGTATTTTGGGATTTTGGTAATACTGAAGCAGATAGCTAACACCAGAAGTCGTTCGATTTGGTTGAATTTTTTCACAGATGTTGTTTGGATGATAACAAGTATTAAAAATAGTACGGCAAACTTTATCTTAATTATAATTAAGTTTTTATATTTTTTAGTTTTATCTACGATAATAAATTGCCTGTAGTGGGCAGGTTATGAAGGATGAGGGAAATTTCTGGGTAAAACACAGTGAAAAATTGATCATATGACACCAAAATTATGTTAAATGCTTTGTACGAGAAGAAATTAATTATTTACTGTAAATATTCCTAAAAAAAAACCTGTTGTTGGCACATGTTGTTGTCTGACCTTTCTTTGTTTACATGCAACAACTGACCCGCTCAGTGCCAGCATACTCTAATGTCCACAAAAAAATAAAATTACACCATGACTCTAAAACAAAGGAAGTTCAGTAAGGTTAGGTTGGTTTCTTTAGTTGGTTAGGTCAGATTCCATTAGGTTCTGTGCATTATTGTATTATTTTTAGGCAATTGTTGATGACTGACCCACCACCGAATTTAAAAACACTGCAGTTCGCTGTGTTTTGTAGTGGACACTGTCGTAGTTTTGGCAAATGTGATAAAAAGTTTTTATTTCTAAATTAAACCTAACCTAACCTTAAAAACAAGTGGCATAAGCATTGTCAGAAGACCTCACCAACTTAAGAAAAGAAACTTGCCTAACCTTACCGAACTTTCTAGCAGTGAGGCTCCACCCCCTGCCTTTACTGTATGCCCCGTCGGTCAGTAATATACTGTTTGATTTTGTTGGTGTTTATTGTCTCAATACAGAAGGCACCAATACCTGAAATGTACAGAACAGGAATCAACACACATAGGCTACACCATCTCACACATATACTAGTACACAAACTCCAATGACTATATGCTTGGAACAGTACATCTTCCTCTCCCTTTTATTCATGATGACCGTTCTGTATTGCCGTTCTCTTTAGTTCCATGAACGGCCAGGTTTATATTCGTCGCTTGTCTCTCCATCCTTTCGGAGTCATCAACTTCATCCGTTCCAGAGCTTTCAATTCCATCCGTTCCGAAGTTTTCAGCTCCATCCTGGTATTTCTTCGGTTTTACTATAGTACGACGTGGTCGCCTAGCAGCGAGTGGTTCCTCCTCGCTGTTCCCGTCCTGCCTGGACTCGTCCGTCCCTGTCCTCGGCGTGTTGGCAGCTTGGTTGTTTTCCCGGTTTCGATGGGTGTTGTCGGTTCTCTCGGCCGTTTTGTGGCTTCCGTCTGTGTCACGGTCTCCGTTGCCGTCATTTCCTCCTTGGCATCTCCCTGGAACTCTTCTCATCTGGGATGTGCTGCGTAATATCTTCTTGGGTCCTCGCTGTAGAATAGCTGAATTGCCTCGCCTTTCACTTACCGTCCACGGTTTAGGACCATAATTAGTTGAGAGCTTGTCTTTCTTGGTTTGTTTCAGGAGCACTTGATCAGTTGGTCTCAATTCCGCTGGTTTGGACTTATTCCGGTTGTCTGTCCGGAGTTTCAGTTTCTCCTTTTCTCTTTTATCTCTTTTGCGTGCCACATCCCAACATGTCACTTGTGTGTCTTCTAAGTCATGACTCACTTGGGGGAGTTTCACCTTGATGTTCCTTCCCATGAGAAGTTTGGCTGGCGTCTCTCCCGTCATCGAGTGTGGAGTGTTCCTGTAGTGCATCAAGAATTTACCGAGTTGCCGTCTCCAATCTTTCCCCTCAGTATGCATCGCTCGGAGTGCTTTCAACATGGTCGCGAAGAACCGCTCGATTTCCCCATTTGCTTGGGGATGATATGGTGTCACTTTGTGGTGTTTTATTCCCCATTCTTCACAGAACTGTGCAAACTCCTTGGCTCTGAACTGTGGTCCGTTATCTGACACGATGACCGCTGGGATGCCGTGTGTAGTGATGCATCCTTCGATCAGGGTCGTAACGGTATCGGTGTTGATAGTTTTGACCACAAAGGCTTCTGGCCATCGGGATCCTGCATCGATGATTCCCAGTACATAGTCACCACTAGGGAAAGGTCCACATATGTCCACGTGGATTACCTCCCACGGCCCCTTCATCTCAGACATATTCACCGGATTGGCTTGTTTTCTTGTGTCGAGGCTTGCACATGGGATGCATTGTCTGATTGCCTTCTCCACGTCCTTGTTGATAGTTGGCCACCATACCTTGCCTCGGAGTAGCGCCTTGGTCTTGACCATTCCCAGGTGTCTCATGTGCGAGTTGTATCGTTCGTCGTTGTAGTGTTTGGGGCATTACGATCCGGGATCCCCTCAACATGAGTCCTCGTTTTGATGTCAGTTCTGCACGTACGTGTTTGAAAGGCTCCATTAGTTTATCCGTCCAGTCATTTTTGGCGATGGCATCTTCGAGGGCTCTTATAGTCGGATCCTTCCCTGATTCTTCGAGAATTTCAGACAGTGTCATAGCTTTCAGGATCCCGTTGGCAACCACATAGTTGATGAATCCCTCTGCCAGTTTCTCTTCTTCAGAGATTTGAGCATCGAATGGCAGGGGTTGTCTAGACAGTATGTCTGCCGGATTGTCACTTCCTTTGATGTGTTGGACCGTGAAGTTGTACTGTTGCATGCGTAGGATCCACCGGAGTATACTGGCTGATGGTTTGCCTTTCGGGCTGAAGATGGTCGTTAGCGCTTTGTGATCGGTCATGATGGTGAATTCTTTCCCGTAAAGATATAGATGAAATTTTTCACATGCCCAAATTTTTCACATGGGTTTGAGTACCCCTTGGTGGTTTTGGCATAGCATTGCCCCTAGTCCACAATTAGTGTGGTTGGTAGCTGAGGGTTGAAGTGCATGAGTGCCTCGCTCTTCATGACGGCGTTCTTCAGTTTGTTGAAGCACCGCTCTTCTTTTTCTGTCCAGGTCCACTTGCTGTTCATTCTCGTCAGGTTTTTCAGAGGTTCGCTCAATGTCGCCAATCGTGGTATGAACCTGGTCAGGTAGTTGATCAGACCTAGGAAGCTGCGGACTTCCTGAACCGTTTCTGGCCGTCTGAACCTCTTCACGGCTTCGATTTTTTCATCTGTCGGTTTGATGCCCTCTTTGGATACAGTGAATCCATGGAATTCAACTTCATCTATGTGGAACACGCTTTTGTGTTGGGAGATGGTCAGGATGTTCTCCTTCAACTTTTGCAGTACTTTTTCCAGAGCACTGTTGTGTTCACTCGTATCCTTGCCCCAGACCAGGATGTCATCCGCTCCATTCCGACAATTCGGACACTTTTGCAAAATCTGTTGTAGCAGACGTTGTCCTTGTTCCGCGGCTGATGCAATGCCCATGACTAACACCTTGTACCTGTAGATACCGGAGTCGCACGAGAATGTTGTTATGTCTCTCGATTCGGGGGTTAGCTCGATCTGATGATAGTATGAGTTTAGGTCGATTTTTGAGAATTTCGTGGCCCCGTTAATTTCGCTGAGTAGTTGTTCCACGGTTGGTATAGGATGGCGCATGCGTTTCACCGCTTTGTTTGCTATGCAGAGGTCTGCGCATATCCTGATATCTCCATCTGGTTTTGGAGCGGTCACCAATGGGGACACCCATGGTGTAGGGCCTTCCATGCTCTCGATGATATCATTATCTAGCATTTCTTGTATCTTCTGTTCGACTGCACCTCGAATGTGAAATGGTAGTCTCCGAGGTGGCTGTGCGACGGGTTTGACATTTGGGTCGATGTCGAGCTTGATTTGGAAGTTTTTCATTCTCCCCAGTCCATTCAGCGCTGGTAGATGTTGTTCCAGTATCCTCCGGGTTGATGAAGGCATCTCACTGGTCGTATTCCGGTTATTCTGGTGGATACTGAGAAGGCCAAGATCCAAGCTGGCCCTCTTACTCAGAATATTCCCTCCCTGTTTCGCTGTTGTTACCAGGATTTTGTGTGCGACTCTCTTCGATCCATTTGACAGTGTTGCAAAGATCTCTCCTCGGAGTGGGATGGGAATGTTTCCATACGCTTTAGGTTGGATATTCGTTTCCTTGAGTACTATGTTTGGTCGTATTTTGATGATGTGTTCGAATGTGCCCCCGTCAATTAGATTGACGTTTGCCCCTGAGTCAATCAACATCCCGACCATTACGTCTTCTATCATCACCTTTTCCTCTGCAGTGTCGTCTGATGTCACTCTGAACACATAGGTATGGCCATCGTCAGATTCTTTTGTGCTCTTGGACAACACCTGGTGTACGTGATTGTCGTCGTTACCCGTCGAACTGTCCTCCGTCAGTTGTCTGACCCTCTTGTCGGTTATGTTTTTCCTGCACGCGGTGGCAAAGTGGTTGACGATTCCACAGTAGTTGCAATTTTTTCCAAATGCAGGACATTGTCTCTGTCCATGTCGATGGCCAGTACCATTACACCCGAGACAGTTCAGTTTTGGGTTGCGTGGCATATCCTTACTTTGTTGTCTTCGATTGCTTTCCCAGTCCCGCTGCTGTTGTTGTTTGTATCTTGTGTTTACTTTGTTCACATTGGTGCCTTCTTCATCTTGTTCCATCTGGCAAGCTTGGGCTTCAGTTGATTCATAAGTGTAAGCAATTTGTAGAGCTTTCTGTACTGTTATGTCTGTCTCCTTCAGGTATGCACGACGCATCTTATGTGAAGTACATTTCTCCGTCAACTGGTCGATGATGGCTTGGTCAAGGTTGTAGTTATCGAAGTTGCACTTGGCCCCTTGTGTACGTAGGTGGGTTACGCAGTTGTGTGTACTTTCCCCGACCTCCTGCGCCAGCATCCGGAACTTGTGTCGTTCAAATACTTCGTTTGTTTTCTCACTGAAGTATTCATCAAGTGCTATTCTCATTGTTTTGTACGTTGGTTCTTTTTTGTCTGTCGGTATCGCTGGATGCAATGTCTTCATGATTTCCTTCAGTTTCTTTCCTCCATAGAATCTGATGAGTGCTAGTCTTTTGGCATCTTCAGTTATGTTGAATGCAATGAAGGCATCTTCAGCATGCTCTATCCAGTCAGTCCATGCTTGTGTTTGGTTAGTCTCCTCTAGCTCTAGAGGTTGTTGTGTTGGCATAGCAGTGGCCATGTTGTGAATAGATGTATGTGCTTGATCCTCGTCGCCAATTTACTGTATGCCCCGTCGGTCAGTAATATACTGTGTGATTTTGTTGGTGTTTATTGTCTCAATACAGAAGGCACCAATACCTGAAATGTACAGAACAGGAATTAACACACATAGGCTACACCATCTCACACATATACTAGTACACAAACTCCAATGACTATACGCTTGGAACAGTACACCGCCATATTAAACAGAAAGAACTTACTACGGTATGGTGTAATTTTATGTTTTTGTGGTCGTGAGAGCAGCCGTCCGGACAGTGTGGCTCATAAACATACACTGGTGACCAGAAATGATTGGCTCTGTACCACTGCATCACTGCCAAGAAAGACAAAGTACTGTGCGTCAGACAAAGTATTGTGCGCCTATTCGCCAATTATCTACCAAAGGAAGCAATTTCCATGATTATCATATCAGAACTCACTGATGAAAATATATTAAGAGTATAAACATCAAAACAAATAACACTTCGGCATTAGTCATCCATATTAGCCCATTTTTATTACCTATTATCACCCAAAAAACATCAGTGGAAAGTATTAACAAAATCGAACAACTCATTCTGGTGTTAGCCATCTGCTCCAGGATTTTACAAAAACATAAATTTTGAATTGGCCTGAAATGTCATAAGAAGGAGAGTGAGAGAGGGATAAGGGGGTCAGGAAAGTGATACCTTCCGATACAGCTGCTTCCTTAAGGGTTAATATATTTACAATATAAATCAGCCAAACCAAACATAATGAAAGTTAGTTTAGAATTTTCATGTGAAGTTAGGTTATGGCGAGTGACCAGTTCATGTTATCCGCTTTCGTAAATATTTCGGCTCCATTTTCTTCAAAATGACTGTAAACAGACAAACTTCAGTGTTTCAAATAGGTGTTTAGATTCTTAAAATATTTAGCTCACATACAGGTACAGTACTTGTTTTTCCATGATCCTCAAATGGATTTGCATTTTATGCATTGAGATGAATGTTTAAATGCCCATTCATACTGTATCAAGGAATAAAGTGTTGAGTCCATCCTTTACCTTAAATAAGCTGGTGTAGGTTAATGTGTTCAATACATATGGAAATGCATAGAAATTGCATTTTTTTACCCTAGGAAGCCGTACCGTCAAAGATGCTTGCTACTGAAGCTGCCATTTTAAATCACTTGACAACAGACAATGTACTGTAAGCTGGATTTCATGAACAGTATGAACCCCCACTTATGTCACCGTTTGATCAACCAACTTCATTTAATGCTAAATGTGGGGGTTAGGTTAAGTTAGGTTAGAAGAAACCCACAATAGCAAATGAAATATTTTTTTCCAAACAGTTTTGGCGACAAATGTCATCCTCAGTGGAGTTACAGACAAGGATTTAGAAGGACTACAGTTGTTGCTGAAACACTTTGGAATAAACATTTTGTCTGCCAGTGTGGGTTTATTCTCATTCATTGTTGTTTACATTAGGGTGACTCTCCAGTCATTAAGTTAGGTTAGTTTAATAAGTTTAGTATATATATTAGGTTAGGTTAGTATTAGAGTGTTTAACCATCAGATGAAATAAACAGGGATCCTAATCTTCATGAGATTCCGTAAACCAACCAGATGTAATTTAGCGAACCGAACCTAACCTAACCTAGTACTGACCTGACTTGACAAACTTAACCTAACAATCTTATACCAGTATGTAAGGTTGGCTTTGTTGAAGAAGCTTATCATCTGGTTGATTTGTGTTATCTGTTGTCAAAAAATTATGAAGTGTGAAAATTTGTGATTTTAGTCAATTCTACATCCAGTATCGGACTTATCTGTAGTAGATGCTTTGTAAAAGTGTTATTTTAAGTTCTGCACCTATGATTAAGGCATAAGTTAGGGTGATTGATTTTACTTTTGTCATCTGGGAAATTTTGTATTCTTAACTAACCACTTGTTTTTATTTACAGGAACATGAGAAGATATTGTTTTATCACCCCAGTTCTAGTGACTTAGACACTCAAGTACGACAAGTGGGTTTGGCCGAGGCAATTACTAGGTTTTCAAGGTAAGTGATCATTATATACAGATTAATAATGGATTTTCCTAAGGGAGGTAGAATCATAAGGATCAGTCAAATACATTATTGCATGAAGCTTGGTTTTTGTGTTTTATAGGCTCACTAACCCTATATCTGTACATGTCTTTTACATTTGTTAAACATTGAATAATTGTTCATCATTACGATGCTAATGTTTTTAAAATACCAGTACAGTACAGTACTGTATGTCTATTCATTCAAATAACCTTATTATTGCCATGATTATAGGGTCAGCCACCTTTAGGTTGAACCATAATTTTGTGGGACTGAAACTTTTGTTGTTCTCTTGCATCTCCACTCCTTGTGCTCGTCTTCAACAAGCTGCTCATTTGATGTTCACCTATTTTCCTCCTAAAGCCACAGCTTTCTTTACCTCTTTCATTCCTTGGTACTTCAACCATTTTTCTTTTCATTACATCAATACAAACACCTCAATCTTCTTGGCTTTTATTTCTTTTTTTGTAATGAAATATAGATACTGGGTAACATCCACACAGTGTTCTTGTTCCAAAAATATAATGGGAATTTTTTCTGTGTTTTCATACTTTTTCAGTGAAGTGTTTCAGTATGTCCCGTTTGTCTTTAATGTAGTTACCCAAACTATGCCTGAAAACAACTACAATCTTTGCCTCTCCTCTCCAGATTCACAGTCAGATGTACTGTACTTACAACAGGTGGAATATACTATTGTATAGGTTAATATTGATATATATTTTCAGAACTTTCAAGAAAGATGGTGACTGTGAAGGAGTGCACACACAGAAGACAAGGCAGGTGTTTTACCAGGCAGAACCTGATGTATGGTTGGTTTTGGTATGTATAGAGCATCATTATGGTACTATACAGTAATAAATAAGGCTTGCAGTTTTAGGCACACCGAAATGTTAAGGAATTAATATGGTAGCATTTAGAAATCAAAGAACCATTTACTAATTTTTTGTCAGTTACCATAAGTGTTTTATTTGGTAATTATCCTATAGTGTATGATATATGTGTGACACTGTACAGATATGAAACTGGAAAAGATCCTGTTAATTGGAAAGTTATGTGTTATAGTTAGAATGATATAATTATTATAAGTACCTGTACAGTATAACTACAACTGAGTATTAGATCAGTGCTGTAAAATTATGGCTCTTCTGTACAGTATCTTATTCCTTCAGACAGTTGGCATTGGATGGATTTCCAAAGTGCGTGAAACAGGGCCAGTGCGAGAATACCAGAGTGAGGGTGTGCAGGATGTGGTATTGCGGGCAAGACTCATCAGCCTGTACCGATCCTTCACGCTGCAACACGCCTCCTTCGCCAGTGTTTCGGCATCGGCAGGGCTACACAGTTTAAGATCAACTCTCAACACCTTTGTAAATTCTGTAAGTCTTTTGCCATTTATGTTGTACACCTGGATAACAGACATATATTAATCCTTAATAATTTTATTATGTTTAGTTTAGACACACACACAAACATATTTACAATACAAGTAAAGGAAATTACTGTCTTTAGAATAAATGGCTCCCTGTCCTAGCCTCGAAAATGCCAGCAACTTTAAAACTACCCATAGACATTCTTGGGTACATCCAGGGTGTCATCTGCGAATAATAGAGGACCTCAAAATAAAAATCCACGAACTTGGGGGCCCCCTGTACTTATTACATTCTCTCTGAAAATAATTTAGTTTTCATGTTTGTTCAAGACATCTTCAGGTCATGAGACCCACTAATCTCCCACCAAAGAAAGGGTGACCTGACATTCCATCAGGTCAGTAATATGAGACCACTAATCCCCCACCTAACGTTGAGTCGGGTCATGTCCCCAAAAATACTTTGGAAATGATTTTCCGAGCAAATTTCTATTTCCTCTATCGGAGAGTTCCAGGTTTGAGGAATTCCAGCTAACGGAGATATAAGTACAGTATACTTATATCCTGGCTAATGGAGATATTACTGTAATTAGGTTATAACATCACATTGTATACCAGATGTGACTAAACTTACCTTCTTTCTCAAGGTCTTGTGATACATAAAGTGTCATTTTTCTTTCAAGGTGTATACTGTACATACTGTATGGTATAGCATTTTGTTTCAGTTAAAGTATACTGTATGTTGTATAGTTTCTTTAGCATTACAGAATTTTCCTTTTATTTGTAACTTATTTGCATGTTGCTCTTTCCATTCATATTGTATGCATAACATTTTCATTTAATACATACTTTTTCTTGGTAAAGTTAGTACTGTGCTGCTTTTCTTGTTACAGAACCTCTCAGTGTATAACCTTTCTCTGGTTGGTTGGTGTGTCCAAGATGTTCTCATTTTCCTGCATTTAGAATTGTTCCCTTTTTTTTTTGTTACCTGTGTATATATATATCACTGTGTCTCATGCAGTTTGTGTCTTTCAGTACCTGTCGTCAGTGGAGATGAGCGGTGGAGACATCCTGGCAGTGTGGTCAGGGGTTTCCTTCTTGCCACTTGACAGACAAACATTCTTGAGGATTCATTGCTGCCTCTCCCTTCTTCAGTCATCTTTCCCAAATATCAGTCATACAGCCTTCTTCTACAATCATCATGTCGTCTGGTGTGTATATTAATAGAACTTTCATATAAATGAGTTGCTCCTTAACATAAATCATGTAATTGTAAACACTTGCTCCAGTCGTAAATTACTTGTGCAAGATGTCTGTAAGTAATATGGAGTTCTTTAAAAGTCATGTTTTTACTGTCTCACCTCCCATGTTTGGATTCCTCCTCATTCAAGATAAGGTGCATATCCCAAGAATCTCTGTACATTATGGAATAGATTTTTATTATTAAGTAAGGTGCAAACATCCTGAGATGAGTATGAACCTTGCTAAATCAAGTGGAAACCCTAGCACTGGGTGTCTAAAACATACAAAAGTGAAGAATTTATGTCTGTGAAAGAACAAGTACCACTCTTTGACAGGTGAAGGATGCAAAATGCACAAGTTTGCGTGAGCACTTGTATCCTCACATTCTACACCTTGCTCACTTTATTCATTGAAGCAGTTCCAAAGAATCTAGACCTTACTTAGTACTGTGTAGCCATGTTTGTTTTAATTTCCTGTATTTCAGATAAATTTATTAATGAGCATTTTGGGTTTTAGAATGTTGGGGTTAGACAGGCTAGATTATATACCTGTTGGCAATTGGGTCACCAGAGATCTAGCCTATCTCTTGGTCTCTGCTGGCTGGTGCCCTGGGTTTACAGTGGTGAAGCGGGGGGGCAAGGCATCCTGTTCTGGCTTTACCTAACAGTTGCCATCAGGTAATCACGGCTAACCCATGCAAGCTTGGAAAATGTCCATAAAATATTGATGATGACATTTCTGTTTTTCATGTCCCTGGATCTTTTGTGACCTTTGGCATGTCAGCTCATTTACAATGATTGATGCTTGAGTCTTTTATGTTAGCTGAGTACTAAATGCTTAATTCTTTTGTGTTATCTCTGTAACTCATAAGGCAGACTGCAGCCAATTGGATTCTTCTCACATGAAAATATGGTTCATTTGGTGTTAGGTCTGCCACTGAAAGCATGGCTCTTGTCAGATTGTCATGTTGTAAGAGGTGTCTTATTAGGCTGTGTTTGACAGGGTGGCAAAGTTGTTATGTAGAGTTACTGTAACAGGTGTACCTGATAGACACATCCAACATTGTGAGAGGGAAAGGTGGAACACTATATGAAGAAAAAGAGAACATGGGAGGGGATGAGAGGGAGCATGGAAAGGAAAAGAGATATACAGGGTACAATATAATAATAGGGTGACCTGGATGGTCTTTCATGGCCTACCCATCAGAAGGGAGCTTTCCAGGGGATTGAGATGTTACAGATAACAAGTATATAAATATATTTCAGGTGTGGTTTGGGAATGGAGGACCTTCGATCTCTTTCTCAGTACCTGAATAATCAGCTGCTTCCAGGCCGCCTGGAAGCCAGTCATCAGAAATCTTCCTCCACACCCACTAGCTATCTCGCCAGGTACAAGATCCCTAAGTACAAGTACGTCTAGTGCATGATAGATGTGAGGTAGTCTGCACGATGTAGTATCGGAAATTCTTGAATATTTGGAAAACTTATTCTCTTTACAGTGGTACTTGCTTAACACTGACATGTGCAGGAATACCCCCGTTATCACAAGGGATGCATTCATAAAAGTCATTGCAAATAATGAATTTGTGAATATCGGCAGTTTTCTCATAAGAATTAATGTAAATTGATGGGGATGCATTCCCAGTCGGCAACTTTCATCGCATATTTATAATATACAGTATACTCCTCATTATTCGAGGCTATTAGGGGCTAGGGTCGCGTGTATACTGTAGTCCAATAAATCTGAGGAATAATAATAAATTTACTAATAAATAGAATAAAAAATAAAAAATACCACATTGCCAGTTGGCAATAGTTTCTCTACAACATTAATCTTTCCTCCCACAATCCATGGGCTAACGACCGTGCATGTATGAAATGTTTATTCCCTCTTTGTTTTTGAGTTTATGGTAATAATTTTTTTTTGCACACTGTATGAACAATTGTGTATGCATGTAATTGAGTAAAAAATATATATATATAATATATGAAAATTATGTACAGTATATCTACCAGAAATTACGAGTTTAAAAATAAAAATAATGCAGCTCACAGTTTAGCTCAGTAGGGGGAGGATGATCCCAGCCCCACACCTTCCTCACCACTCCTCTCTGCCTCTCCCATAATCTGTACACTTACTCCCACAGATGTAAGAAATGTTGATGATAATCATTTATTTATTTAATTTTTTTTTTTTCACTTTCTGTATGAACAATTGTTTGAGCATGTAACAATAAAAAAAGAAAGAATAGAAATACTGTAGTACATACATTCAATCGAAATAACGAATTGAAAAATAACAATAACACAGCTTCGCTTGGCCGGAGGAGGGAGCGTGAATTTTCACTCACATTCTCTGTGTAATTGGTCCCATTGAATTTAATTAATTTCTAAACCGCAAAAGGCCTTATGTGCGGAAAAAAGTGCTCGTGTCAAGCGGGCCTTACACAGGCATATGAGAAATACAACTAGCTCGCCCGGTTTGAAATATTACAGTAGGGTATCATAATTTATCTTTTGTGGATATCAAATAGGGGCATCAAAATATCAATTGCGGATAAACAGGGTTGTGAAAGGCGAGGTATTCCCGTATTATCTTTTGGCCACCACACATGTCTTTCCTTTGGCCTAAACACTTTACATATTCAGATCTTACATCAACCTTCATATTTTCTACTAATATTAATTTTCACGACATCTTTTATTTTGTCCATTCATCTTCTGTCTTTCAGCATTATGTTGAGGGCCATGCTTTGGTTATGTGCCATCCCATTTCCTTCAGTTCTTCATGAAAAAGAAAACCTCTCTTGCCATAGCACAGGGTGACCAGATTGAAGAATAAACACAAACTAACCATTATGGGTGCAGCTGCCTGTTTGCCACCTGTCATAAGGGTGACTAGTTTGTGCCCAGGACAACCCTTCCTGTATTTACGTGCAGCATTGAGCACTATGCCTCTTCGTGTACTGAAAAAAAGTTCCAGCCTACAATGTGCTGTAGCCTCACTACCCCTAATCTGCCATTAGGCATATGTGATCCATTTTTGCTTTCTTCTTTTTATTTGCTGTCATTCATTCTCTCATTGATGTAGTAAATGTGGTGTTCCCTTTGACAGTGTAGCTCTATCCTTGTAGCTTCAATCTGCCTAGCATAACCCATCAGCAGCTTGTTCATCCCCAGAAACCAATTGCTACTGTGCTTTCTCATCATTTACATATACAGTACTTGTACTATCTGTCTAGTGCCTTCTTCCTTTTATATCATCCACTTATAATTAAACTTTCTTTTGGTTAATCATTGATCTTCCATTTTGTCAGTACCTGTACATTCATACCACTTTAATAATAATGCTGTAACACTAATAATAGGTGGTCTTTTGTTTTTCAAAAGTGCCAGTTCTTCTAAAGAATTCATTAGTGCTCGAAACACTACTGAGTCAAGGACCTGAGAAAAAAAAAATATATATACATATATATATATATATATATATATATATATATATATATATATATATATATATATATATATATATATATATATATATATATATATATATATATATGTATATATATATATATATATATATATATGTACAGTCATGCACCGTTTAACGTCCGACAGAACAATGTCCGATTGCATATACGTCCGTGGGCACCCCCCCCCCAAAGAGAGAGAGAAAAAAATAAGTGACGCCTGCTGGACCACCACTCCACGACCCCCTGACGAAGACACGATGATCCTCCCCATACTGGTTAGATATTATGTGTTAAAGGAATATGCTTCCTTACTTAGGCTTTTTTAAGCATTTGCCTACAGGTGAAATGTTAACCTACATCTATTGAGGATAAAATCTTTCACCTACAAATTGACAATAACACATTTGCTGTAATCAGACATATCTAGTTGCCTCAACAATTGCAAGTTGCAATTGGGGTTGCAATTTCAAATTCTGTGGCATTACTAAATATAGTAAAGTTTCTGGTGCACTCTAAGATAAAGAGAGAAAACGGAGGACTCAGGCGTCCTGATGTGAGAGAAAACGGACTCGTGTGACAGGGACCAAATAAAAAAAGCATAGCTACAAGTTTTGTGGACTACAGTATTATGGTACAGGGGTCCCAAGTGACAGCACTAGGATCCCGCTTCCTCTATCAAGGAATAAACAATTAAAATTTAAATTGAAAAAAAACATTCAAATAAATTACTATCTTACAAGAATCCCTCCAATGTAAGTTATATTCATCCAGGTCATTTGGGTGGAAAATTATGAGAAGAGCTTAGTCACTCTTAAGTAATGATAAATAAACACGCAGGCAGGCCTTCAACGCCAACTGTCAAATCTTATCTCAAATAAATAAACAAACAAATGCCAGACATTCTGTCACCTCACCTCCCACCACCCTCCTGTTCAAGATAAAAGATTGGTGATTTCTTTATGTTTATTTTATATAATATCTCAGACTAAAGTTAGGATAATATAATTTGCATTGCTGAAATCCTTGCAAGACAGAGATTAATTTGAATATAAACGTCATATATTTTGCTCAATATATAAAAAATGTAGAACAGTGTACAATACTGTAGTACATTTTATAAAAAGTTTTTCAACTGTATTTTTGGGGAGATTAACATCGATTTCTTAGTGCAAAGCTGGAGTGCACATGTACTAATTTGATTACGGTACTAAAATTGTTTTGTCCATTGCAAATTATAGCATGTTTATATTCAAATTAATCAGTATGTTATCAGAATCCCAGCTATGTTAATTCTATTCACCCAGGTCATATCACTGGCATTTTAAAATGAGAGAAGCTTAGTAGGACTGTTAAATAAACACACAGAGACCTTCACCTCAAACTTATCACCTCAACCCCCTCACCCCCTCGCTGGGTGGCGGGGCCGGCAGTCCCCCCCCCCCCCAGCCAGGCTTTTAGGCTTACAGTTTTTATCTTATATAATATCTCAGATTAAAGTTAGGAGATAATAATTTGCATTGCTGGAATCCTTGCAAGACAGCCAATAATTTGAATATAAACGTCATATATTTTGCTCAAGAGATAAAAATTTTTGTACATTAGTGTACAGTACTGTAGTACATTTTATAAAAAAGTTTTTCAATTGTATTTTTAGGTAGATTTACATAGATTTCTTTGTGCAAAGCTGGAGTGCACATGTACTAATTTGATTCCGGTACTAAAATTGTTTTGTCCAGTGCAAATTATAGCATGTTTATATTCAAATTAATCAGTATGTTACAAGAATCCCAGCTATGTTAATTATATTCACCCAGGTCATTTCACTGGGTGAGCATTCCTGCCGAAACAGGAATGCTCACATTCCGCGGTGCGTGTACCCCTTTACGCGGAGAGCAGCTGGCGAGCCACGCCATTTTTGGATCCAAACCTCCCGCCATCTCTCCCGCCCTCTCCCGCCATCCACCATGTTGTGTAAGCGGTGCGAGCATGGTGCGCACAAGGTCGCCCAGTCATCAAAACATTACCGAGTTCTTCACCCGCCACCCACCACAGCCGGCCCAAGTCAGTGATAGTGATAATTATAGTGAGGATATGGACTTATATGGACTTTGAGGGGTTTGACAAAGAGGCCCTGCAAGCCTCTGTGGTGGATAGTGATACAATTGATACAAGTGATACAGGTGAGGGCCAATAATCTGCCCTCTGCCTCGGAACCAACCCCCCATCCCCGTGTGCCCAGCCATCTTTTCTACTAATGTAAGTGTTAAAAAACCTAATATTATTGATATTTCTCTTAATTATTAATTGTGTGTGCATACCATCATAAAGTTAAGATAATATTTTTACGACAACATAGTTGTGTGTCGTCAAAAAGTGGAGTTTGGGGGTCGGCCTGGTCTCTATTTCAATTAATCCCATATGTTATGTTGTTCACTTTACGCGTTTCTCACTTTACGCGGTACCCTGTGGGTTGTATTAACCGCGTAAAGTGAGGGTTGACTGTATATATATATCTACACTACAAGTTTTGTATACTGTATGTGTTGTTTAATTAAGAGTTGCATGGTGCATATTTAGAGAAAATTTATTATGATTAATGACATAAGTTATAAAAAGGCTCAGTTTTCTTTCCAGTCTCAAGAAAGACAAAATAGCATAAATACCCAAAGTTCATATAAATCTACAAGTACTGTAACAATGTTTGTACCCTTCAGCTGACAGTCATTTGCATTACTGGTTACATAGTAGGGAAAAATTTATTCACCTGAAAAGCAGCACAAATGTTAGTAAACTGTTTTAATTGTTGGGTTATCATCATTTATTTCTTATTTCTTCCATACATACAACTAATTTTTGACAAAATTATGAGGGAAATAAAGATAATATTTTCATCCAGAAGTTTCAGAGTAGCCAGTGTTCAGTACAGTACTGTACTAACAGAACTTTACCTCAGGTTTGTAGGTATTGGGGTGACTCCAAGTATTCAGATACACGTGTGTGGTGAGGATGGCGAACTACAGTCATATCATCTACTAGTCTACACCTTAGCTGGAGCTACTGTGTGTCTCACTCTCCCAGGTATTGTGACTCATTTACATTATAGTACAGTGTTTCTCACCTGTAGATGAGGTTGACTCTCTTTTCTTTATTCATGCAAGCCTCTAGTGTTGCATGGTGGAAATCAAATGTAACATAGTCTCTGCTTTCATGTGCTGTCATCCATTCTCTGTGACTGTTGTATCATTTACTGCCATTCATCCCACACCTGGATTGGAGAGATTTTTCCCAGAATTTTTCTGAAGGCTCATTTTTTTTCCCGGCTATTGGTGAGTTCTGAGGATCAAACATTTCGCTAACGGAGAGAAACTGTATACTGTACAGTACTGAAGTAATGAAAAGAGATGTATCAACATGTCCATATTTGAAAATTATACTTGTACTGTATGTACTTGAAGATGAATAAGAATGAAAGAAAAAACGATATACTGTATGTTAGATGTATACCTGTACAGTACTGTACTGGTACGTATAATGTAAACTCTTCTACAATACAAAATATATGGAAAGGACAAAGGAATGAAAAATAACCTAATACTGTAGTGTAGGGTATTTGAATACTAAATTAATATTAATATAAAGATAAAAATAATGAAAATAATTTTCCCATGGTATGAAAACACAGCTGATAAACATATGAGGCATTACCTACTGTATAACAAGGGCTACCGTATGAAACAAAAGTTTTGAGAAAAAACGTGATTTAAATTTATTTTCTATTCTAATAATAATAATAATAATAATAGTTACCGGTTTAATGAAAAAGTCGGCAGCCCGAAGGCTGAAAATATACATTGGACAAAAATAACTTATTACATACAAAGACAACTAGTGAACTACAGTAGTTTGCTAAATCGAGCAAAAGTAACGGAAATTTCTATTTAATGGAAAGGGGTGGCTTGAATTAGTTCATTAAATCGAGAAAATACTGTACTTGGTGTTATCATACAAAACTATGTATGTTATGGTACGTAGCACCCTGCTCGGCCGACCTTTCACTCGGCTCTGTGTAACATTTTTGGAAGAAGCCTCGATATCACTTTTTAAGAAGATCGCATTTCTGCTCACCACATGATAGGGCATAGAAAATGAATTTTCCCTAAAATGTCTAGGTCGCCCTTAGAGGTAAAGCCTCGTATCATATACCTGTATGTACGTCAAAATGTATATTGTGGTACTGGGTAAGTACGTGAATAAGTATATTGAAAAATCTAGCAACAAAATGCATGTTGAAGTATTTGGCATCTGTAAACTTTGTGGAAACTCAATAGGCTACACAATTTATGCTGTGCTTCTGGCAACCATTTCTTATCTTCTGTATATAGTCTTTGGTGGTTGGCATGTAAAAGAAAAGGTCAACTCTCCTGTGGGGCTTTTTTTGACTAATTTTAGAGCTTCTTGGGGGCACCTCCTCATCATTCTTCATTAACTGGCTTTGGAATACCAGGTAACACGGAAATAGAAAACTCAGTTTGTGAAAAAGATCTAGGTGTATTTGTTAGCAACGACTTGAAACCTAGAAAACAATGTATTAGCGTTCGCAACAAGGCAAACAGGATTCTTGGGTTCATATCTAGGTCTGTGAGTAACAGAACTGCTGACGTTATCTTGAAACTTTACCTAGCATTAGTGAGGCCACACATGGATTATGCGGTTCAGTTCTGGTGTCCTTATTATAGAATGGACATAGATTCTTTGGAGAGAGTACAAAGAAGAATGACAAAATGATCCATAATATTAGAAACCTTCCATATGAAGAAAGACTGAAAAGCTTAGGCTTGCATTCATTAGAGAGGCATAGAGTTAGGGGAGATATGATAGAGGTGTCAAGTGGGTAAGTGGGATTAACAAGGGTAAAATGGAAGATGTTCTGAAGCTCAGTAATAACGAAATAACTAGAACAAATGGCTTTAAATTAGATAAATTCCGATTCAGAAAGGATATAGGCAAGCACTGGTTTAGTAATAGAGTTGTGGATATGTGGAATAGGCTACCGAGTGCTATAGTAGGATCGGGGACGCTAGGGAGCTTCAAGACGAAGTTGGATAGGCACATGGAAGTGCTGGGATGGGTGTGAAAGGGATCTGCCCTGTATGGGCCAGTCGGCCTCCTGCAGTATCCCACTTTCTTATGTTCTTATGTAAAGATTGTAAGCCAGAAGAGATAAGATTGTCCGAAATCCATTTTTCCAGTAAAGTCCATAGCCAGGCAGCTCACTCTTCCTGCTCCCTGGGTGTCATGGTTTAAATCAGTTGGCAGAGTGGGAGTTTTTGGTCCACTGTGTACTAATTCATCAGTTATGGCCACTAACAGATCTTTTTTCTACAGTGGACAATTGTTACACCAAGACCCACCATTGATGGCTGATAGTGTTATAGAATGGTGAGGAGAACTGGTGACCCATTGTGATTCATATATTACCTTGGTTCATTAACTGGGTGTTATCCAATTTTTCCTTATTTGACAGCCTTTTATTATTAGAAGTCACCTGATTGTTGGGTCTGCTAAAAATTAGGATTTTAGAATCAATCGTGCCATTTTTGGGGGACTCCTTGGTCTCCAGTTATTGGTGGAAGAAATAGGTACTTCAACAGCAACCTTTTGCTTTTAGGATTTATTCTTCCAATTAGTCAGATATGAAAATCACTTTGAACCATTTACATCTATGAAACTAATTGTGTTGCTGTTTTCATTCCTCAGAGACAGAAACATTAACACCATCAATATATGAAAAAATTGATCGACTATTAGAAGCCAAAGTGTCACAACTAGCAAGCGACATAGGGGAACAAATTAACAAGAAAGGCAGCGCTGGAACAAGTTGTGACAGCAGTAGCAGCAGCTCTTTTAGATACGTCTACCATAACCATATGAACCTTGCCACGAAGACGACTGTTCATGGATCAAACCAATCTCTACCTGTGGAAGTGATGAGAACAATAGGGGACATGTACACTGATATGAAAAAGTTAGTGTGTGTAATATAACACTTATTTAATTAACTGACTGTCACTCTACTTTACATTTTGTTTTTCTTCCCACAATATAGATTTCGTACCCATGATACCTTACATGAAGATTTGTTCATTGATCAGTATGTTTCAGAACTCTCTTAAATGAGTACAGTTCAGTACAGTACTCATTGAGGTATCTGGCTCCTGATGCCAAAGTTTCTGTAGGTGGCCTTCCTGATGATCACATCTCTAGGATTATTCTCTCATCCAACAGTTGTTAGCCTTTGTTTTGAGATTTCTTTATCTCGTGATCAACACACAAGTGAAGAAGTAAATATAATTGCTATATTATTAAACTAGTAGAATAGCTTATCACTTATCAAAAGAGATGGTATATTTATTTCTTTATGTTTCAGGTGCAATAGTGGAGAATTAGTTGTGAAAACATCCCAAGATCACTGGGTTGTAGGACGTAGTGGAGATGGTAGAGAATTTTATGTTGTTGTCAGCCATAAAAATGCCAACCTTGTAGAGGTCACAGGTGAGCAGTTGTATTTATTATTGTTAGTGATACACAATGTACTACGGGAATACCTCGCTATTTGCAACCCCACTTATCCACAATTGATATTTTAACATCCCCATTTGACATTCGCAAGCATACCTCTCTTATTCGCAAAGAAAAATTAAGAGACCATACAATAATATTTCAAATCGCACAGGCTAGCCCGCTTCACACTAGCGCAGTTTAGAAATTAATGAAGTTCAGTGAGACTGTTTACACGAAGCATGTGTGGGAGACACTCATCTCACGCTTGTATCTGTACTTCCAAACAGCATTGTGAAAATACACGCCGAGCATTCTATAATATTCCATATGGCAATGGAAAATGCTAGTTTAAATGTTTACAATCATTTATAACCATCACACACACACACACACACACACACACACACACACACACCCACACACACACAGTGTTCTTTTGTATTATTTTTATGGTATTGTAGTAATTTTATTGTGGATGTGGAGTGTACCTGCATATAAAATAATAAGTTGCTATTGAATACGAAATATGAAGAGCGTAGCTGTGTACTGTATGTGTGTGATAAATGAACGTGTGTGTGTGGCTTGACAGGTCGCCAAGTTAGACTACTCCTGTAGCTACATCCCTCTAGCTCCTCCCCCTACCAGGCTAAGCTATGTGTTATTGTTATTTTTCAACTCATATTTTTGGGTAGATATATGTACAGTAATTTGATTTTTTTTTTTTTACCTTGTTATGTGCACACACAGTTGTTCATACAGAATGTGCAAAAAAATAAAAATAAACATAAGGTCAAAAACATAAAGGGGATAAACATTTCTTACACGCATGTAGTTAGCGCACAGATTGTAGAAGGTGGGAGGAATGTTGAATATCTTAGCCGGTGCTTGTAGTGAACCTATTGCCAACTGGCAATGTGGTATTTTTTCTTTTAGTTTATTTACTAATATAATTTTTATTTATTCCTCACTTTCACTAGTACAGTACTACAGTATACACTTAACCCTGGTCCATAATAGCCTCGGACAATAAGGAGTGTATATTGAAAACTATGTGGTGAAAGTTGATGGCTGGGAATGCATCCCCCATATTTATATTAATTCTTATGGGGAAAAGTGCCCCAACATTCGCAAATTCGTTATTCGCAATTACTTTTAGGAACACATCCTTTACGATAACCGGGGTATTCCTGTACGTACTGTAATTTTATTTGGTTACTTATTCACTAAAAGGTTGACTTTGGTATTATCTGTCCATGTGGGAGGGAAAGCTGGTGTTGTATATTAGAGAGAGAAAGGGGAAGGTTATGGGTAATAGAGAGACTTTAAGAAATATGTAGTGTAGGCCCTGTAGGGCAGCATGGAAACTCTTGTCACTGATATGCCCTAAGAGGAGAGTGACTCAGGGCTGTGTGGTATTGGAGATAAGAAGATAATATTTGTCCTTTAAATATAAGATTGTGTGTGTGTGTAAAGTTAAACTCATGATTTACCAATATCTTTTCTTTGATGAAAAGTTTTTTCATATTCCTCCCAAAATTTTATTTTACCCTGAGCAAAATATTATTGCATGTAAATTCATTTATGTGATGTTCTTTTTTCCAGATGAAGTTAACCGTATGTGTGCCAGCCACTTCAGTAACATCTTCATGATAGAATGATACTGGTAGAGACGGCTTAGATCATAAGTTTTTATGACTTAGGGTCCCGTTGATCTTCAGGTATTTTTGATACTAGGTCATATTGATCATATGTTTTGTACAGGTTCAGTCCCAGTCCATATGATTGCCAAAGCTTAATACTATATCATGATGGAGTAATGATCCATTAGCATATCTTCAAACCCTTTTTGTATTTATATTTAATTTTATAGGAGAAGTAATGTACTTTTACACCCTTTTCCCCAAGAGAGAGAGTTCATATGATGATGAGGGTCATTATATGAGCCATGCAGTTTATTAAACTATGTTTGGCCATCCCAGGCAGAATTTGCTTCAGAGTACAATAAAATAGCTCCAGTAGATGCTTGGATTGAACCTACTTTTAGCAACCTTATCTGTGGAGGAGTTTCTGACAGTGTTGTGAAATTACATTTTAAAATAGGACCTACTTAATTATAATTCTCTTGTATGTAGGTTTGATTATAATTTCCCCGGGTATGATTCCTTGGCTCAGTATTTTCTTTGTTGATTAAAGTTTATGTTATGCCATTCCTTCAAACTTGATTTTTATTTTATTTTATTAATTTGTTTTTGCAAAATTTTTCCTGCTACGATAACCAGTTGGTCATACTCTCTGTCTGTAAGTTAGTTTCATGTGCATATTAATTGAGAAAACTGCAAGTACATAAATCTGTAATGGTTTATACAGTATTAGGCTATATACTGTACCTTATAGTATTAGGCTATATACTGTACCTTATACAAAGACTTTGGTTGGGAGCTTTATAGCCTCATTGGTCCTTGGGAATTATTTAAGGTTTTACAGAGAAAGTATCTGTTAAGTGGCAGTGTGAGAAACCATCCATGCTTACCAATAAGTTGTAGCTAATTTGGGCTTTCTGAAGGCCATGTTGATGTCCTGAATGTTTATTGTACTCCAGCGTATGAAAGTTAATACGCTTCTCTCTAAGTGAAGTGGTTTGTGCAACTGATATGGGGATTCATTTTAAAAGGATATGTTTTACTGTTAGAAGTATTTATTATTTTCTATTTTCATATTTATGAAGTTTATATGACAGTGAATGAAGGGAGAGCCTGTCTTGATCTTTATTCTGCCCTCCCACCCACCCTGCATCATAGTGGGTAAAGGCTTGCAAGAATAATTTATATATATATATATATATATATATATATATATATATATATATATATATATATATATTATGATATTTTAAAAATTCTGTACAGTGCTGTTCCCCCAAATATTGGAGAGATAATGTTTGTAAGTTTATTATTATATACAGTATAATGTAATTGAAGAACTTTATATGTCATTCTTGAGGTGTACATAATTATGCTTGGATTTTGGAGAATGATTCTAATGTCAGAATGTATACATGTGCTACAACAAGTTTTTATCATCATTGTTTTGTTTAAATATGCTGTGATTTTACAAATTTAATGTTTAGAATAATTAAATTCATAAAATGCAGTATTTGAATCTAATCAGTGTTTATCTGTAATTGTGAATCCTCTATAGTAAGGGCTGGTGTTTTTTGCTCCCCAAATAACTAATGATTGGTTCAGGTTGCATTGTTAGGTACAAGTTTTCAAAAAGAAGTCACTTATCTGTGTATGTACTCTACAGTATCCAGTGTTGACCATTTAGTCTTCTATAAACACCAAGTATTTTACCTACCCACTATCTAACTCAAGATGTGTACAGTACTGTACTCACATTTGAACCAGTTAGAAAAAGACAGACATTCACGAGATAAAAATGGTCACATACCACATTTAACATTGCATACAGTAAGACACACACACACACACACACACACACACACATACACACACACCTCCACACACACACACACCTCCACACTCACACACTCCTCCACCCCCACACACTCCTCCACACCACTCTAAAACTGTCAGCTTCCTCTAATTAAGTAAAGAGGGTATGGAAAATTCCCCAGTCCAGAAAATTAGAAGAGCTCAAGAAGTATTAAATTCTATGGTACCAGACTGTGATGAAGTAAAGCGTGGAGAAACTAGACAGGACAAATTGAAGGAGTTAATTAGGACCCAGCAATGGCTACACTTGGTTAGGGACATCCGGACACAAATGCAACAGGTGGTAATGAATCATGATGCGTTGTTTGTCTTAGGTCCAAATGAAATGGGAACAATTAAGGGTTTGTCTGCTAACATCCCATTGGTCAATGAACACCCTGTAAGAGGACCTCAATATAGGTATCCCGAGAAAGCCAAGGGTACTATTAAAGAAATGATGCGAGACATGAGAGATAGGGACATCATTGAACCATCAACCGCTGTCTGGCTATCACCTATCGTGTTAGTAACTAAACCTAATGGATCGAAACGTATGTGCCTTGATTTCCGAGCAGTCAACAAACACTTGAAAGTAGATATACAACCTTTGCCAAGATTGGATGAATTAGTTGAGAAGGCTGCCGGAAATATATTATGCCACCTTAGATTTGAAAGATGCTTACTATCAGGTGATTCTTGACCATCACAGTAGAGATATAACCACCTTCAGTGATGGATATAATTTATGGCGGTTCAAACGCCTACCTTTTGGTTTGTCTGCCCGCCCAGACGTTTTTACTAGGGAAGTAAACAGGGTCTTAGCTCCTTTAGCAGAAGAAGATTGGGTCAGGAACTATCTAGATGATGTCATAATGTGGGCTAATGATTTCAATACCCTCATGGGCAGATTGGCTAAAGTATTTGACAGGTTTGTAAATATGGGAATCAAATTAAATCTATCTAAATGTCAGTTTGGTCAAAGACAAGTAAAATTCTTGGGACATATTGTTTCAGAAAAAGGCATTGAGCCGGATCCAGAGAATGTAAAGGCAGTAACAGAGTGTAAACCACCCACTAATGTCAAACAAGTCCGACAATTTTTAGGGATGTGCGGGTTTTATCGTAAGCATGTTTCAAATTTTGCCAAGATTGCATATCCTATCACAGAACTCACTAAGAAACAAGCTGCTTTTGCTTGGACAGATGAATGCCAGACAGCTTTTGAAACGTTAAAGCGGATATTAGCTTCCTTTCCAGTACTGGTAAAAGTAGACATGGATAAACCATTTGAGCTACACAGTGATGCTAGTAATTTTTGTGTAGGGGCATCACTGAATCAATTACAGGATGACGGCTCTTTGCGTCCTGTTGGGTATTTCTCTCGGAAGCTAAAGCCCGCGGAAACACGGTATTCCACCATTGACCAAGAAGCATTAGGGATAGTGTTAGCCTGTAGATTTTTCCACCATTTTTTGTGGGGTTCCCAATTCACCATCAAGACTAATCACCAGCCGTTAACGTCTGTTTTTAACAAGAAAACTAAAAGTCAAAGAATGAATAGATGGATATTGGAAATGAGAGATTACGTCTATAAGATAGAGTATAAACCTGGAAAGGCCAATCTAGTTGCGGACGCCTTGAGTAGGCCGGTAGGCTCCTTAAGGAAAGTAGCCAGGAGTAGGACGGCAGGTCAGTTCCCTCAGCTAGACTGGTTAACGCATAGGCAGTTAGGAATAGAACAAAGAAAAGAAGAGAGATGGGAAGCATTGGCTAGTTATTTAGAAGGAGGACAGGTACCCAAACATAAATATCCCAAGACGACTATTGACAAATTTGAAGTAGTGGAGGGGGTATTGTATTTAGTGAAGGAACAAATTGATAAAGCATTGATGTACTGCCTTGTAGTACCTGATAATTTGCGTGGAGCAGCATTAGAGTGGGCACATAACAGAGAGACGTCAGGTCACTTAGGACAATGGAAGACCATAGCCAGAGTAGAGGGCCTTTTCTATTGGCCCAATTTTTGCAGGGACTGTGAAATTTGTAGAATCATGTGAAGTGTATCAAAGATTCAAAGGGACAAAAGGGTTGGAACAGCAATGGCAGGGGATGTCAGAGGTAACTAAACCTTTGGAGAGAGTATCTGTAGACTTGACAGACTTACATAATAGTGTGAATGGGTATCGCTACGTGTTGACCGTCATAGATCACTATTCTAGGTTTGTCAATTTCTATCCTTTGAGAACAAAATCCAGAGAATTTGGTAAATTCATTAATGTTTTTGGTAGCCCTGGAGTAGTCATTGCAGATAATGGAAGTGAATTTACAGCAACACAGTTTAGAGAATTATGTAAAGTACCACCCTAGAGGTAATAGTGTCACAGAGAGAATGCACAGGACCTTTAAAACAACACTTGCAATCATGTGTGAAGATAATCCGCTTCAGTGGCCAAAATTTTTTTAAGTCCCGTGCAGTTGGCTCTGAACACGTCTGTCCATGCCACAACTGGGGTACAGCCTCATTTTGCTTTTCTTCGAGGCATGCACAGAGACAAATAGGAATTAACTTCCCTATAATAGAGAATGAGAGTAGTCAAGAGTTGAAAGAAGCCCATAGGTTGATAAAAGAGACGTCTGCCAGGATGTCACGAGAGACGAGAGAGAGCAAATAGATCAAGAACGAACCAAACTATGCAGTTAGCAGAAACACTATGGGTGAGGAATGACTGGCCCAGCCCTGGGACCAGTAGGAAGTTGAATACCAAGTGGAAAGGTCTGTACACTATAACGGAAATTATACGAGATGGTGCCGCTTATGAGTTGACTAACCCCTTGGATGAAAGTGAGGTGATAAAGAGAGCGGCTGAGAAAATAAAGAGGTATGTAAGTAGAGACATGTTTGTTCAGCTGAATGAGCCCCTTCTTCCACCTTATGATTCTTCCTCGGACTGAGCTTCAGACGAAACAGATGAGGAAAGTGGTGACGGAATTGTGGAAGGTCAGCCTGTAAGTACAGTAGATTCCCTGTGAGGCAGAGGAGACCAGTAGTTAGAATAGATTTGTAGGACATATAGTTCCAGGATGTTGCTTCAATTGAATATTTTTGGCTTTCCAGTTTGATAGGTTGATTTGTTGAATTATAAGGTTTTTGGTTGGGGAGACAGTTACTCAGGTGGTTTGTCGGATTAATTTTACTGTGGGTGTTGACCTCGTCAGTGGAAACGAAGTCACCCCGACCGTTTAAATCCCAGTTCTTATGAACTGAAGTCCGGAAATCCAGTTGCTGCCTATGTTGTCGAAGGGAGAAATCTCAGTTTTTACGTGTGTGTCGGAAGTTTTTTTGGGGGGTTGTTAACTCACTCCGGGTGATTGAGTCAAATCCAGGTAAAAAAGTCACACGAAAAAAAGAAAAGTTAACTATCGAATTCTCACATTTTTTAAGGTTAATATGTCAATCAGTTTCAGTAAAGGAATATGCAGAACTGATGGTAACCTAACCTAACCTTTATTACCGGCCACCATAAATTAATTGTGACTTTTTTCCTGTGACTTTTTTTCCTAGCCAAAATTGTGACTTTTTTCTGTGACTTTTTTTCCTGTGACTTTATTACCGGCCACCATTGAGTCACCCCGTCCTTAAAATGCCAGTTCTTCTGAACTGTGAGATAGAAAATCCAGGTTTTGTGTTATGAGCCCCATTGTGTACTTATAGAACCACGGTTTTGTGTGGAAAAGGTGAATTATTATTGAAACGAAGTAGTAATCTGAGGAAGTGTCTTATGTAACTAATTCCCCAGTCATAGATAAGAATTAAAATTCCTTAGTACCTGTATATGTAATTTCATGCAGAGAACTTTTGTTGTAGATGTAATGTCAAAGAGTCACTGTTTATGTGTTGGTGCCAAAAGTATGTTGAGGTAACACTGATGAACTGTTCGGGACATGTTCCCTAGGTATACTGTATTGTACTGAAATAACAGAATTGATAAGTTGTTGCATGTATAGGTAACGGAGACTCGAGTATGAAAAGTTTAAGTCTCCTTATAATTCTCTTTTTAATGATATATTGTGTACCGAAGGATTGTAAACTAATGTCCGATGTGTATGGTAGCGGAGACACTCGTGGGAAACGTTTAAGTCTCCTTATGTTTTGCTTGATGTATTAAGGTACTGTAATCACGAACTGTTAGGATATTGTAGAATGTAGGCCTATATGCACTACAGCGTAGTGTTTTTGCATATTATTCCACATAATATGAATCTTTGTAAGGGGAAGGCTATGTACTGCACACATCATTGTCATTCCTAAAAACCCCCTTGAATTCATATTATGCTAAATAACATTCAAATCCACTGCGCTTGTAGAATCTCAGAGAACGGGAAACATTGATAAAGGATAACTCACCTACTCAATGTTACTGAATCATGTGTTGTATTGTACCCAGGTACAGTTATATAATGTTAATTGTATGTATTCATAGCATTAAGGAGAACTCAGGGTATCCATAAGATGATTGGGGAAAGTCCAGTTGAACCGGACTATTGTACTGTAGGACTAAGTGTGGATCATGATTTGAAGGTCATACTTTGATATCTGTGGAAGTTATGTTCGCTACACGTTCACAGACGTATCCTGGCAAGGTTGCCAAATTTATATTGCCAGATTCTGG